ATTTATTATGACTATATTTGAATGTAATTTACATTTGATGAGACTAACCAACACCAAGTAGTGCATAATTGTAACAAAACTGGAAAAGGATACACTATTATCATTCTCAGTATACAGTGAATGCACCTTGACCTTTTCTTTTTGTGCATTTCTATCAACTTTGTGGCCAGCATCAATTTCTCAATTAGATTTAGATCCAGACTTTGATTGGTCCACTCTAAATGCTTCAACCTAAGCAGTTCCATGAGTCATTGTTGTTTTCCTTCTGGCCATCATGATGCTACCACCACCGTGTTTCACCATGTGACAGTTTTCCTCATTAATGTAACAGCACTTTCATTTTGCTGTCTTGTTTCTTCTCCATAGCTTGTCTTACGGCTTTTACATTACACACGTTTGGACTTTAATTATTAATTAAGTTATCGCCTTTTTTGTCGAGGAGAGTGTGCACAAACAAGGAATTGTAATATGTATGAACACTGTTTACTTAAATAAAGATAAGTTGGAATAGTTGGTTGTACTGGGTTTTCTCATTACAGATGCGTATTTGCATAAACGACCTTCTTCACAACTTTATGTTGGTTTATCACATGCAATCGCCATAAACTGAGTAGATGTCTGCATTTTAAATATTGAAAAATATGTGATTACTACTCTCCATTCTAATTTTTTTAATCTTTTGTGAAAATCTTTGCACATTAGACAAGGATTAGCACTTCTTGTGTCCATTTTTAACATTTTTCACAACTTCTTAGCTGCATGCATAAGTAGGAATCTCTGTCTTCAAATTAGGAACCAGACCAACACGAGTTTACTTCTTTGGATTAATTCATCATGATTTATTTCCCAAATCAGCAAGTTAATTGTTTTCCCCGAGTTTCATATTTCTACAATAAACAAATCTGACCAAGAGCAGAAATAAAAGAAGTCCCTAAAGTGACAGGAAAGGCGGTGCACTCACGGGTCCCGTCGAACCGAGTGGCGATGGTATCCAGGAAAGTGTTCTGAGGCGCGATCAGACCCCGCATCACCGGCATCCGGGAGCGCGTCGAGCCGCGTCTCTCCCTGCGCTCCGAGCCATGGCTCTCCGCGGGGGTGGTCACGAAGCCCGGCAGGAACCTGGAGGAGTTCCCCGGCGCTCCTCCCAAGCCCTGGAGGAGGGCGCCGAGACGAGACAGCCGGGACTCCACGGTCCGTGGTTGTTTCCGCCGAGCACCGCGCGGGTGATCCCGGCTCGCGGAGGTGCAGAGATGGAGTCGCTGGAGGCAGGCGAAGGGGGTCGAGGATGGAGGGATGGAGGGACCGCGGCGAGGTTGGTCACATTTACGCACGGATGTGCTGCAACGCCACCCCGCTCACCTCCCCCTTTGCCTCTCTCTTCCTCTCCTCCTTTGCAGCTCAAACACTTTCTTCTCTCCAAACATTCGCCCTCCTCAGCATGCTGACTGAAAAAGCTTTTCCTTTTTTTTCTTTTCCTCCCTTCCCCCATTTCTGTCTCTTTAAAATTCAGTCTTTTCCTCACCTCCCATTCTTTAATCTCCTGGTGAATGCTGATGAAGGTTTAATAATACGTGTCATTATTATGTTATTAGTAATAAAATACTAGCACTGCAGTCTGTCGCGTTTCACACTTGAAGCTGCTGAATTCACTTCCAGAACAAAATGAGCAACTCCGTCAGGATTTGGCATATTAAAAAGATTCCTCGAGATTAAATTCATTTTGCAATTAATGTTAATTTTTCATGTAAGTGTTTTCAATGAGAACTCCCAGCTTAGGTGTCATGATATGGAAATGTTTTCATATTATGCTGTTTGAGCTATTATCTCAGGGATTATGGATTATGAACAGGAAACAGGTGATCTGAATATGCAGCATAGCAGGAAAAGAAAAGCTGCAAACAAGTGAGGAAGGACGGGACTTAAATGAGGTCAGGTTTGACGTCCTCTGTAATATTTATTTTGATAAGAATAAAAGTTTGAGTCAGCGGGCGCTCACAAATGATAACATTTAAGAAGAGTTTATTCACACCCCTGATAAATTACCTAAACATAAACTCATCATTCTCTGCAGGACAACAATCAACAACATTGGAAGATTTTAGCATTATGTTGCAAATATTAGTTTTTTGTTTAACTTTTGTTTTTTGTTGTTTTTTTCCAAACAGATTTAGTTCTGACCTGATTGATTTTCTGAAAGCACAACGTAAGTTGGAAAAATGATTCACTGAAGTTGTAGCTACTTGTTCTTGTAGTACATTTATCTTTTCATTTTAAGTCCTTAATGAAATTTAAAAATATTATTGCCAATAATGTTTACTTTGAGAACACCTGGCAAAAAACCCCCAAAACAATTACGCCATTTAAATTCTGTGAGCAACTGATATTCATTCTTAAGATTTGTTGACAAAGCCACAAGGTTTGTTGTGTCTCTAGGGGAAGTTTTTATTCCCTAGAGACACAGAAAGTCAAGGATGAGCTGGAATCTTCAAATTTACTGTCAAACTCCAGCAAAATCAAATCAAATCAAACAAAGCATTTGTAAGTTACGGAGGTCGGATTCCCACTGCAGAATTTCACAAAATACAAACTTTTTAAAAGCGCATTAAAGCAATAAATCTAATACTTCTGTTTTATGTTTATGCAGTTTGACCAGCTGGTATTTTGATGTTGATTCTGAAGCTTTCCATTTGCTCTCCAGGTGCACCCGAGTGTGAAGCATTCGATTTTCTTCCCTGACTCTTCCCTCTGCAGTTGACTCGGATGAGGCAAGACTGCATGGACCCACTTGGTGAGGATCGGTTCATTGTATAGCATAATATTTTGAGTTTCTGCAAGGTGATCACTTTTTGGCAGAAGTAGCAGATAAGACAGCCATTCTGCAGGAAATGTCTGGACTTCCCATCTTAACTTCTGACACCAATAAAATTTCTATAAGTGTTTTATTGCGACTTGACTTGAAATTGCTACAAAAAGACCTTCGATGATAAACTTAGCCAATTCCAATATGCAGCTTGGTGCTCTTCCCTGTGGTTTATTGTTGCCAGATTTTCCTGAAAACCATTCAGGGTTGCCGCTCATAGACTTCCTGCTGCACAACAGAATCCAAATAAACCTCTCCGAAGGAGGACTTTAAATAAGCCCAGTGTAAATACCATAAAACTGATATATTCCTTTCCTCTCAGCCTGTGACTGTCTTGGACTGACCAAAACTTTCATTTTTGTTAGAAAAAGCCATGTGGGAATCCCTGCTTGTCTTAGAATGCCTCTTATATAACAAAAGCATCACTTTGTCATCACTTCAGAGTGTCTGGAACATCTTAGCTCTAAAGTTTTCACACCTGCTGCACTTTAGCTACTTCGAGATTCCCAAACGTCTCTCGGAGAGGAAACCAGCCATAAGTAAACTTCTGTTCCAATCACTTTCAAAACAAGAAGCGAGTTGCATTTGATGTCACCTAGTGCTTTTCTCATTACATGCTGAGATATAGACATCGATTCATGCTGTGCTGTGAGCAAGAATTATCTGCCTTGCAGGTTTCTTCTTTTTTTGCGCTTTTGTCACACTTGAATGTTCAAAAGCATTTTAATATCCATGTGCAGTCATGTCATGTCACAAGGCAGATGCTAAATTGAACCTCTGCACCTGCTACAGAGCTACCTCCTGGTAGGTTGAAATAAAAACAAATTTGCTCAACAGATTCTCGCCACTCCTTATTTTGCTCCTCTTTCTGCCATCTGCAGCCCATAAGTTAAGAAGGTACTGCCATCTGCAGGAAATAACGCACAATTGAAAGGAATGGAGAGCTCAATGTATAGCAAGCTATTTGAATATTTATTCCATAATTACTACCAAAAGTGATGTCTAATAACTCTATCTAACAGATCTATCTCTGTCTAACTACATCTATCTAACATGAACAAACAAGATTTTGTGTTAAGTATTTGGGTTAAAAAGCAAAACATGTGAGCTGTTCTACCCAAATTCTGTCAAACATAAAACTATTAGCTGTTGGTATATTGCACAAAATCTAACTAAAGTATGTTTGAGGTTGTTTGTGTGTAAACGTATTAAAAAAAATGTTTGAGGCATATTAAAACTTTTGCAGATAGCATATTAAAGTCAAATCATAAAATCATCACAAAAAGTAAAAAGATGACGTATATTCAAAAATGTAAAGGTGAAAATATAAAGTTGAACAACAGTCTGCAGTTCAACAGTAACTTTCACCTTTTTTCTATTAATAAATAAAATAAAAATTTCATCTCTTTTTGTAGTTGAAGCTTTCTACCACTAGAGGTCAGTGTAGGATCGATCGATGCTGCAGCGCACTATTTTTGGCATATTGAGCCTTCTATTATTTTACTCTAATTCATTTTAGGTGATTATTCTGCATTAAGGTTTTACCCTCAAATAATTATAATTGGTTAAACTATTTTCTCCAGATTTTTTAAAAAAAGAAAAAAAAACATATTTTCCCTTGTACTCACAAAACAAATTTTATTTTACTTTAATTAGACAAAATATCATTTTCTACTGGTTTTCCTCAGGAGATTTATATATTTTATATTTATTTTATGCTTATTAGTATATAATTATATATATATTTAGTTTTTACTTTATATGACATATTTGACAAATTGACAAAGACAATAATATCCAATGTTCAAACTTATTATGTTGGCATTTTAGTAGCATTCTTAATATTTATTCAGCACATTCATAGCTCAATAGAAGACATGCTTACTTTGGACACTATTAATTTACAGATTTATCCAAACTTTTATCTATTTGTTTGTTTATTTGTTTTTTTTTTTTTTGACTATTTAATTTTTGTTTTCAGCTTTAATATTTGTCTTATTTTAGCCCATAAATGAAGTGAGTGATATATTTTCCAGAATACTTTGTTTTGCTGTCAGTCATCTGGCCTTGAGCGCGCGTTATTGGACCAGCATCTGGCGCGCGTCTCCGCCTCCCTCTCATCGCTCCAGCCGCTCGCGCCCGCCGAGGATGCGTGCAGCTGCTGCGCACGCTGATCGAGCGCCGCGCCGCGCCGCGCCGCGCCGCCGCTCCCCCGTCCCGAGCCCGTTCCCTCCTCACCGAAGCAGAGAGATCATCTCCGCAGACGCGACAACAATGGGAAGACTGGACGCGTGCGGCGGCTCCCGCTCCGTCTTACTATAATTCACACCGTCGCACTTGGCTTTATTCCCGGCGAAAATGGCGACGGGAGCAGGCTGGCAGCCTCCGTATAACACCTCGACGAGCAACAGCAAATACACCCAGTCCCCGACAGGGTCCGGCATGTTTTACGACGGGAGCTTAACGCTGGAATACACCCCAGACCTGCATCTGAAGATGAGCAAGAAGATAGCCCAGCTAACAAAGGTGTGTGCGTGGAAGTGAGTGGATGACGTAGGTTGTAGTGGTTAAGTCATTTAGAGCAGGTGGGGGATGCAGTGCTATTTGTAAACATGGTCTTCTGCAGTTATGGAGCTATGTAAACATCATAACTCTGCAACAAGCATCAGTTTTATAAACATATTTCCCATGTTTCTGCATTAAGCTTCATGAATAAGATTTAGATTTTACTTGGTGTCTGTTTGTTAATTTGGAAATTGGTGCAACACAATCCAGGAGTAGACCTAAATTTGTGCACATCAGCAGATCATAGTTTACTCTAATCACATTCCATACAGTCAATAAGCCATTGATGCAAATATTTCTGGTGACACAGCTGCTTAACCTGTGTGTGGTTCTCCTAGAACCGATCTGAATTATGTAACCTATGGAGGGCTCGGCTGAGCTGCTTCTTTGTTGTCTACACCTGAAAACCGTTGGAGGATGCAGAGATAGTATGAGATTCAAGGTGGCAGCTCCGTTTAGCGCTTCGGGGCTTCTCGTGTGACGGCGTTGCACCAAGAGAGACAAGAGCAGGAGTAGAAAAGGGAGATTTACATAACAGTTACGGCGATATTATAAACCCAGAGCGGGCATGGGGATGACGATGGAGGATTAGTGTCTGGGTAGAGGCACAAAAAAGGAAAATTGACATTTGGGACGAAAATCACTTCTGATCTGGATGTTTTTCACGTGTTTCCAAACAGTTAAAAGGAAGTTCAACTTGGAAAACCCTCCAATTCATTAAAATGTTTAATAATAAACTTCTCAAGTTGCTTCATTTTCAGTAAACGAACTGACAGATTTACTGCTGTTCATAGCAGAATTGTTTTAATTCAGTCACATTCAATTGTTTTTGAGCTTGAGTGTTCTCCTTAATCACACGCCACAGCAGATTTAAGTTTGGGCTTTGACTAGGCCACTTTGAAAAACATTCTGTTGGACTTGTGTTTTGAATTAGGTGAGCTTAAGATCACTAGATTGTTAGATGGTCCTTTTCAGATTTTATTTTTTTATTTTTTCTTGAAGTTACAACAAATTGTTCAGATCCTGAAGCAGGACTGAACCACAACCATGTCAACTACTTTCCATGCACTGGGATGTTTTATTTCTGTTTTACCCTCACAATTCCCAGTGTGAGTTGGATTATTCTCGGTGGGGGATCCTCAGTTATAGACTGAAAACTCAGTGAAGATTTCTGTTCTCCAGCTTTTGTCCACATCTTTCAACTTCATATCGAGGCTTTGCTCACTTCAGTGGCTGGCTTGCAGCTGTGGATTCCACTGGAGCAGCAAAGCGGGACATGCTGCGTCTTGAGCTGCAGGGTTTAAAACACGGGACAACAGAAAGCAACATTTTGGAGAAATTCCTGATTCGCTACGTTTTGCCTTTCAGTCTGAAAGCGCTTTTGGTGTCAGAGGTTTGCTCTCTGTAGCTAAAAAATTCCATAATTTGGTGCATGAAAACGTTGGACCAACAGGCATCTCCCCCTGAGAAATGGGCTTTCATTAATCCTTTAATTACTAAATATGGTGTTAATCCTCCAAAAACAATGAGAGCACAGACGTAGAGTTACACATGCTGCAGTTATTCTTCTCCTCAACATTTCTGGCCTTTCTCTCGAGCTCAATCAATAGCCGCTGACTGTGGCCTCAGAAGCCTCCCTCCTTGGTGAGCTGTTGTCATTTTCCTTATTCAGCCTCATCCATCCTGCGCAGAGCAGCTCCATACTTGACATGTAGATCCTGATAAAAGCAGCACGACGCTAAATCCAATTTATTATCGACAGATTGAACGAGAATATGCTATTGGCTGCTTTTTGCTGCTTTTAATGAGAGGCCTAGATGATTTGTCGTGTCATAATCTATTAAAAAAAAACACAGTGAACTCTTCCCATTGAGGGATTTCTGTCACAAAGCTAACTATTTTTATCTGTTTCTCTCTAAAAGTTAATGATTCTTCTTTTTTTTTTATCTTAAAACAAATGTCAGTTTTAGTTTAATTTGATTGCTTTTCAGATTTAAACATTTCACTCAGTGCTTATTTTTAAACTCCTCTTGCATCGCCGGGCAAATTTTATTTCATAGCAGTGGCGACAATTGTAGCTCTTAGAACTGAAAAGATTGCTGAGCCTTGACTTACCCCATTACTAATATGTCAGTCAACACCAGATGGGGATGAAAGTACAAAATCTCAGTACTCTGTCTGCCATTTTCTGTCATTTCTTGCGGATTTTTCTACTAAAATATATGCAAAGAAACCACGAGGCACAGGGTCCAAGCTGGACTTTGAACGTTTTATTATGTCAGAGCTCAGGATAACGAGTTCAGTCAACAGCGGAGTTTAGGATACCAGGGGACGTTTGACGGCTTTGGCAAATGATTATTTGTTGAGCGGCGTTTATCAGGAATATATTTCACTCTCTAACAGGATTTAATTGCACTTGAATTGGGAGATTGCAGGAGAATATTTATGCAAAGCCAGCTTTAGCCCAAACACAACTGCAAGGTGCCTCCATTCCTCTGAGATGGTGAAACAAAGTAGAAAGAGAGGCTGGAGAGAGAGGGAGAGATAAAGAACAAAAAGAGGGAGAGATAAAAGGATGAAAGCACAAGGAGAGTGAGGAGCCAGAGATGAAAGCAGCAGGCATGCCAGCGTCATTAAAATAATCATGTATAATTGAAGGAACATTTCCATGGGTGACTCAATGCTGGGAAGCTCAGAGTCAAGGAGAGGAGAAAATCCACCTTCAGTTCCTCTACTGAGCCGATCCACGATTCACCACTGAAGAAGAACATTCAAGCAGGAAAACCACATCAGGAGGAATCGGTCTGCTCTGGATGCTGAGAGAATGTGTGTAAAAGTTTCTAGGCTGTTGATTCATTGCTTTCTGTCTCTTTAGGACTGTAGAGGTAAAGATGTTTTCTCTGGGTCTCTTGGATTTGACTCAGATGCCCATAAGAAAGAGAGACTGGGTGTTTTTTAAAATCATTTTCAGTTTTGTTTTATGTTTTCATAGAGATACATAGATACTAGATTCAGTTTATTTGTTTTCCCTGGAGATTTGGTTTAAATTTTATTCATAGCTGTTAACTATAAAACACAAAGGAGGACAAATGCACTGTAGGTTTTTCAATTCGAGTTAGTTTGTTCTTTTATGTTCTTTATACAGACTTTATAGTTGGTGCTTTGGCATTAATCGTCCAATCTTTTAATAACGCATTTATGAAGTGATACTTTAAATTTTTCTGTAAACTTTTAACCTTTTTTAACTCAAAAACACGACGGGCCGCTGCATCAATGAATGGCTGCTAATATACATTTGCAGACTAATGGTGGAAGGTTTTAGTTTTTGGTTCTATAAATGAATGGTCATAAAGTAACGATGTGCATTTATAACCTACAGTGATGTAGGGTTGCAGGTTGAAAGATGGCGCCCGTCTGGTATCAGCATGCTGTTTTGATTCATTGGAGACTTCAGTTGTGGATGGAAAACTTCGGGACATTTCTTCAAAAGCGATTACACGTCGAAGTATTGATGTATTGCATCACCTCAGAAAGCTTTTATGACACCGCCACTGCTGCATCGATTTAAAAGTGCCGTTAAATGTCAGAAAGACATTAATCTTTCTTCTCTAGTGGACATCACAGGCCTGTCTAATGCATGTTGTACAGTATATTTAAGTGAAACCCTTTTTAACTTCACCTGTTACTGGAGCAAATTTTGGACCGTCTGGTTCTGACAGGTCTGCGTTTCAGCTGACCGTGACCGAACATTAGCTGCTCTCCGGGGGCTTCAATTTGCCGGAGCTTAAGCGTTTTAAAGCTTCTGCATATCATTTACCTCCAGCACTCATAAAAACCTGCTTATATTCCTGAGAGCGAGCGCAAGCATGACTGACAAGATGTTATTCACTTAAGCCTGTGCATGGAGAGTGAACCAGGAAGAGGAGGGGATGCCCTGTAGCCATATTGGAGCTTGTGCCGGGGACAAATTTCTGCTCATGTTTTGTCATGGTGACTTGATAGAGTCACGTTCATCTGATTGTTTGTGAAAACTCCACATCTTTTCCACAAGGATGGAGGAAAAACTCAGGGAAAAACGTTGGGCTTTATTTTACATCACTTAGTGAGGCAAAGCTTTGTCTGCCTACAGTCTGGAACATGTTTGCCTCTTTCTCTGATGTTATTGGTATTGATTTTTGCACAGTTGATCTTCTTTCTTCCCCTCCCCCATCCCTCTCCGTACAACTATCGATCCTATATTGAAGCTGTTAATAAGAGCTTTCGTTCCCATCTCCATGCTGTCATCTCCTTCTGCCTCTAGGTAATTTATGCGCTCAACACCAAGAACGACGAACACGAAGAGGAAATCGAGTCTCTGAAAGAAGCTCATGAGGATGAGGTACACTGTCCAGTCTCTTCTCCGTGTGTGTATTATTATTAAATATATTAACATATGATTTAAACATTAGGATCTTGACATCTTAAAATTGTGAGGTTTTCAATCAATTGCCAAAAGAAAACAATTTTGAGAGCTGTCATACAGATACTGATGTAAAGAAATTAATCTGTGGCAGCATCATGCTGCTTCAGTTTTTGTTTCATTTTAATTTTTTTTTGTTTACTTTCAGATGGAAGTAATTTATCTTGGGTTCAATCACAAGCTGTTCCAGATACCAGCCAGTTCTGATGGAGCATGCATGCAGTTCAGCTCATATTGCCTCTGGCATTTTGTTTAAATGTCACCTACTACAGCACAATAGCTGCAGTAACATCTTCCTCTGTATGACCGTTCACTCATAAATCTCATTTTATCAGTGTAGAGTCCAGAATCAACCCTAAGCCAATAAAATGTAACACACAGACGACTGTCTGTAGTGGTTTGCCTCAAACACTTCAGTTTTATTAAAGGAGAGAAGAAGCGAAGGCTTTTTGAGTTGTTTAAATGTTTGTTTTTATTAGGATTTACTCCCAAGAGAAGCGAGAGGTTCACTATGAAATATGGTGTTTATGTAATTTGTTCTGAAACTTATGTTTTCAAGAAGCAGCTTTTCTCTCCTGCAAACATTTCATTAAGTCCTGAGTGTTGCTACTTTAATTATATTTATTTCTTATTGCCCAATTTTTGTTTATGAATCATGCCAGCTCTGTCAAAGCAAATTCTGTTTGCTTTTGCTCAGGTCCAACACATAGTGACAGAAACCAGAGACAAAATCATGCAGTACAAGAGCAAAATGGCGGACGAAGCGGACCTGCGGCGGCGGCTGGCCAGTCTGGAGGAATCTGTGGAACTGCACGACCACATGAAGAGACAGGTCACAGAGCGCCGCCGGCGTCTGTGGCTTTGCAGACATAAAACTTCACGTGTGTCCTTTACATCGGCTTGATCTCTTTTTTTTTTTTTTTTATTGCCAGGCCTTGGCAGAGTTCGAGATGTACAGGCAGAGGATGGAGGACTCGCAGCTCTGCACCGAGGCCCAGCATACGCAGAGAGTGGTTTCCATGAGCAGAGAGGTACGGCCTTTTCCAGAAGATTCAGGGACGCAGTGAAACCTTGAGGCTGCAAAGTAGGAAAATGGATTTGTGCCACGCTGTTCATGCTTAAAAATCATTGCAATGCTATAGTTGAGTAGTTAAACTACACTGTCATTGATGTAAAAAGATATAGTCCTAAAATATCGATTCATTACACACGACACATTTATTTCTCTTATTTTGGTGTTTATGGCTTACAGTTAATGAAAAACCCAAATTCACACATCAAGGAAGTTAGCATAGTGACTAAAAACCGCTTTAAAAGAAGGATTTTTAATTGACAAATGTTATATTTTGGCTCTATCAAGTTAAGATAACGTCAAATATTTACTAATAATCAGGGAGAAGGTAAAAAAAGAAAAAAGTCATGCTGTTTCCCGCTTTACTTCCTGTATTTTAAAAAGTCCTAATGAGCCATTATGTAACCCGTAATGGAATATTTTAACTACTTAAGAGCCAAAAGTCAGTTAAGAGACATAAGCGCCCCAGAAAACAAGCATTGCATAGAAGAGGCAGCTTTGATCTCTCCCTTTGCTGCTTGATTCCTCTTTTTTTTTTATTTTAATTATTACTCCTAAAACTGAATTGCCGCTTTGAGCAAATTTGCATAATTTTCAGAGTGTTTGTTTACACAATACTTCAAGCAGGAAGTGGAAGTTTATTTTGGATTATTTTATTCCAGCAACTTAAAAAAAAAAATATATCGTTGAGACTGATGACTGGCTGTGAAAATTGCACAAAAGTGGATGAGAATAAAAGGCAAGAAATATCACATCATATCATATATCATATCACGCCACCTGCAAAACAATCATATCGTTTGGTTTGATGACAACTGGAATAAATGAATAATTTAACTCTATTCTGATGAAGCTGAGTAGGTTCAGTTGTGTTGTCACTGTGTTGGCAGCAGTGTTCATCTTGTACCACATCAGAACTTCATGAACCAGAACCAGCCTGCTCGGGTCGCATAGCATTACATCACACGTTATATTTTTACATGTTTTTCATTCAGATCTTGAAGGCAGCAGATAGGGCCGCAGAGTAGCTTTCAAAATGTAACTGTAGTGTCACACCGCTTGAACTTTCCCTCTTTTTCCACAACTTTGAAGAGTTTTTTTGTAGGATTTTATGTGTTGCGACTAAACAATATACCAAAAAAAATAGTGTATATACCGATTCTCTCTCCCTACCTCTGTTTCATTTGTCTTTACTTCCTTCTTTGTACCCTTCCGCCCTTCAATCTGTCATTTCTCTCCTTCCCTGTATCCCTCTGTGCCCTTTTTCTTCTGTTCCTTCCTTTTTGTATTTTGAAATCGCTATAAAGAACTAAAACTGGATTTTGGACATGAAAAATGTGCAAAATCTGTATAGTATTGAGCCCTATAAAGTCAGTATTTTGTAGAATCATCTTTTGCTGCAATCTTTTGTATACTATCAGCTTTGTACATCTGGAGATTGAAAGTTTTCATCTCAAGCTTAGTCAGATTGGATGGAAAGCAACTATGAACATCTATTTTCCAGTTGTTCCACTGATGCTTTGACTTTTTGGTTTTTACTTTGACTAGGTCATTGGAGTGCATTAATATTCTGTGATCTAAACTATTTCAGTGTATCTCTGGCTATATGTTTATAGTTGTCGTTCAGCTTGTCAATACTGAAGAAAAGTATTTGCATAGTGGTTTTGATCTGGGAAAATTGTGGAAAAGCTCGAGCGCCGTGAACACTGAAGACCCTGCATGCATTCATGGCCCACAGAGGGCTTTAACCTTCTTATTTCTCTTGGTCATCAGTGAAAGTACAAACAGAATAGATCATGTTTCGTGGTTTCAATAGGTGGAAGAGATGCGCCGCGATTTTGAGGAGAAGCTTCGGGTGTTCAGCCAGGCTCAGGCCCAGTTTGAGGCAGATAAGCGGCGCGCGCTGGACGAGCTGAGGGCCACCCACCGACACGAGGTGGAGGAGCTCCGCAACAACCAGCAGAACCACACCGCCACCTCTGCCGAGGACCAGGAGAAACTGGCCGAGCTGCATAGACAAGAGGTGGGCCACGACTATGCTAGGTGTGCAGTTAAGGAGCTACATTCTTGATTGGCTCGGCTTACTCTGAAGATCTTACCCTTAGTTATTTAGCCGGAATTGCTGTTTTTGAGGATTCCTTTTCTTATGTTTTTTAATGAAAACTGAAATAAAACAACAGCTTTTCTGGTGCTGTTGTTGGTTTACACGAGCATAATTTAAACTAAAACTCGTAACTTTGATCATAGACCTTTCGTTTTTATGCATGTCATTCCATCTTTTTTATCTCGCCTCGTTTTATCACATGCCTTAAAAAGCATTAGGCGGAAATAAAACAGTGGGCAGACTTCAAATGTTTTCTGGTCTAGTTGCCGCAAATCTCCGATTGCATTCTGGCAGCCTGGAGCTACTGGCATGCTGGAGTACAACAGATTTTCTTTCCACTTCTCCCACTCCGTGTGTAGGTGGAGGCTTTGATGGAGAGGGTGGAGGAGCTGACGAAGGATAAAGTCCGTCTGGTGGAGGAGTACGAGGCCAAGCTGGCCAAGGCTCAGGAGTATTATGAGCGCGAGCTGGAGGCCATGAGGCGGACGCACCAGCTGACCACAGAGAACCTGCTGGCTTGGAAAAGGACGGAGGTGACAGGGCGAAACTAAAATAAACAAAAAACCCCCCCCAACTGATTCTTCTTCTTGTTTTGCCGTGTGTAATACGTCTCCACTCCCGTTTAGGTGGAGCTGCGGAAGGAGTTCCAGGCTCAGGAGGCGGCGCTGCAGCGATCGCTGTCCAAGTTGAGGAGCGAGCTGCAGAAAGCTCAGGAGGAGGCCCGGGAGAACCGGGACAAGACCAACAGGCTGCAGACATCGCTGGCCAACGCAGAGGGAACCATTAAGGTGCATCAAAGTGAACAAATCATATTTAAAAACCTAGTGAAATCAATTGAATTTGGTTGTTTTAGTGTGAAAAACTGCTAAAATCTTTAAGAAGTATAAATACTTTTACCGACGTGGTATAGACACTCTATGTTTGCAATATCATGAGTATTTTCCTTTGTGGGCTCAATTAGGTTGTCATTTCACATCAAAAATGCACACAATTGTGCAAGAATCCCCGTTTATCTGGTTACACTCTGGTGAAAGTGGGTTAAATTGAATGAAAAACCACTGCTGAGAACAAAGGCAGAAGTAAAAGCCTCTGGGTGGAATCTGTTTTCGAGCAGGAGGAAAGGTAATGTAGTGTGCTCTGACAGAGCTGCAGGCTCGTGTGCACAGGAGAGGCTCGAACGGTAGCATCACAAGTGTGTGTGTGTGTGTCTGGGTGTGTGTGTGCGTTGCAGAATCTGCACAAGCAGCTGGAAGAAGCCATCCAGGATGGAGAAATCTGGGTGATGCAGCTGAAGGACACCGAGTATGAACTGGAGAGCAGCAGGGAACGGGTGCAGCAGCAGGCCACAGAAATCCTCCACAAAGCCAGTAAGACGTTACTCTGAAGTAGATTTCTGACTCTGGACTGCTCGTGAAATTTCTTCCAAGATGAGTACTGGCATTTAAAAGCTGGAGACGAATCACAGAAAGCATTGGTAGATTTATTATGGGGTTTAAATAAATTTTAAGCTAGAGAAGAGTTTGTAAAGTTTAAAAAAGAGAGGGCGAGTCCAAAAGAGCATATTTATGTGTGCTGGTGCAGAGTTACCAGATAAAGTTGTAATTCAGTAAATTTATCTTTGGGTTTTAACAAAGTAAACGTTTATGTAAATTCAGTTGTTTTTCTGTATGAAATTGGTATCGGTTGATAGTGATCCTCAGATATCTGTATTGGTATCAGAAGTTAGAAAAAGTGTGTCACTGTATCCCTAATTAAAATAAATGTTAGAGTTGGAAAATATCTGGTTTTATTGGATAAGATGCACAAACTAGAGGGGAGAATAAAGATGCTGCTCAAACCACAGGACTAATTATGATTACTTGTAATTTAGAAGTATAATTTGGGAGCATAATTATGAGACAACAGATCCCAAACCAGATATCTGAAGGGCGCCACAGGAGAACTACGCAGCTGAAATGATTTGTTATGGTCTTGTGTCTGATTCTGGTTTTTGACTCTGATGTTTCCAGGTCAGATTGGTTCGTTGCAGGCCACCCAGATGGCTCATGAGGCGACCATCAGGAACCTGGACCAGGAGCAGAGTCGCCTCAAGGAGAAGATCGGACGGCTGGAGGAGGAGAGGGAGGCCCTGCTGAACCAGAGCCAGGCCGCCAGCGACCAGCACAAGCAGCAGGTGCTCAAACTGGAGCAGGTACGACCTTTCCCCGTCCGCCGCCGCGAGGGAGGGATGGCGAAAACAGACCATTCACACGGATAACTCCTTTCTCCGTGCATCAGTCTCTTCGGGAGGAGCATCAGGGCTATGAGAAGGAGCTCTCCAGGCTGAGGGCTCACTACGAGGAGGAGACGCTGCGCTTTAAGGAGGCTCAGGTCCGAGCGCTGGAGGAGCTGGAGGAGAAGCACCGGGCGCTGAGGGAGGAGGCCCAGCAGGAGAAGGAGGATGAGAAGAAACTCCTTGTTACGGTGAGGCTGATATCGGGCCGGGCGGCACGGATTAGGAAGTTTATCACAATGTTTTGTGAAAACAAACAAAACAAATGTTAAAAATGCTATTTATGACTTGTTTTTGTATGGCTGTGACTGCATAGAGCAGCTTTCATAACACCAAAACAACAAATACGCTCTAGAAAAACATTCCCATCTGAAATATCTTTCTTCATTTAAAGAGCATTTTATCGTATTTTCCTGTTCACTGATACTCTTGTGGTACAAACAATGGAAATAATTGTAAAAATAATGTAATACTGTCAGTTTTTATTATTCAAAATGTATTGAAAGACAAAAAAATCTAAATTCATATGACTTTCACTTTCCAAATTTTAGCGCATTTCACTGGTTATTTGAAAGAGCAACACACAGTACATGGGAATTATGAGTAGCCAAATCAAATTCTTGTTTGTAACAGAATGTGATAAGTGTATTTAGCCCTGTTTATCATGCAGCAAAACCCAAAAGACTTGCAGCTGTAATTGCATTTAAATGTAACACTCTACAAAGTATGAATTCAGGGGGAGAAAAATGCAAATGCATGCAAAAATAGGAAAACCATTTATTATTTTTCTACCACTTCACAGTTGCACTCTGCTTTGTGTTGGTCCATCATAGACGATCCAAATCCAAAGTTTGGTTTTTGTAGCCTTCGAAAACATGAGAAAGTTTAAAGTGGTATGAATTTGAATGTGATTTAAAACAATAAGTCATGTTGTGCAGCTGTTTCATTTTCCCCTCACATCGTCCCGATCTGTTCCAGAAACTGAGCAAAACCATCAGTCGGCTGCACACATCTAATTAGGTCAGCATTAAGGCTAGAGCTTGAGAAACAGCATCAGCCTCCGTTTGTTTCCCGCTGCGTCTTTCACCCTGTCATCAGTTCCGTCGTCCTTCCCTCTCTGTCTCCCCCGCCCTTTGCATTCTTCCTCCTTTGTGTCTCACTGTTTAAAGTGGCTGTGTGAGAGGAATACAAATGTCTTCTCTGCTGGAGGAGCAGGAAGAACTACTGATCACATTATGCAGGTTAAATTAATTTAACCTGGACCATTTACTGTGACGGTGTCCTTTTTTTCTTCTACCTGCACTGGAACATCGATACTGCTTTTTTCCTTGCTGTTTAATCTGATCTCTTATAAAGAAGACAAGATCACTCTCAGCTGTTGTCGGTCCGCTTTTGTACTCTTATTGCATTTCTCTCTGAATACACATTGTATATTTACTCAAATTTTTTTGGGGTATTTTACGTATACACTGTTTACAACAGAGAGCAACAAAATTGAATTTTTGTTTGTCCTTTTTTATGATCAACTCCGATTCGAAAGACAATCCAGATTCAAGAAGACGTTTTGTAAGTGGAGATCAAATTTAAATTGGGTGAGGATAAATCACAGTGCGAGAAGCTGTAGATTTTTTTCTCTCTGTGCCATTTCATTTATTCTAAACAGTGTCTCTTTCTCATTAATCTTCTGGAATCAGGAACATAAAATGTGCCAACCTTTGTAAAAGTATTTTAACATTTTCTTCAAGCCGAGTTGTGGATTTCTGCTGCTCCTCCAAAGTTACCAAACAAAATGTTAGTCGCTAACAATCGGAGAGCAGCTCTTGAATAAAGAGCCATCTTGTGGCTGTGAATTAACCAAACACTCGTTGAGTTTTGAGTGTCTCCTGTCACATTGTCCTACTACATCCCATCGCTGAGCTCCTCACAATTTGAATTTATTTTTGATTTTTTCTTAGTCATTGCATTTTCTGCTCCAGTTCTGACCAGCATTGTTATTTCTCTGATGCCCTCCCCATTGCTCCAGACAACCATCATCTGAATTTCTTACAATAGGGAGGCAAGCAAGCACTTTTTACCACCTCCTATAACTCTGCATAGGCTAATGCGTTGGATGGAAATGAAGTTTAAATTCTTCTGCATTTATCTCATTTGCTACATCTGTTTTTCTTACCTCTTATGCTCTTAGTGCATTACAGGCACCAATTTTTTTTTTTTAATTTAAATGCCTGTACTCATTGTAAAACCAAATGGAAAAGCAGATTGAGATTCAACTCTGGTTTTCCAAAATATGGTGATAAATGGACATTAAGCTTCTTCACACAGAGCAGGACTTAGCCATGTTGGAAATTTGAGTGCTGCGCTTTGACATAAGGCCTATGCAAGGACACCAATGCATTTCAATGAGTTAGTCCATTGTCAAAATGACGCAAGAAGCTACAAAGAGCATGTAGCTGAGGTGAAACTTGCTAAAGGGCAAGTATTTTGACATGCACACTCACATATATACACATTAATATACATGAGCTTAAGACAAGAGCCTCTGTTGTCACTTGTGGTAAAGATTTCTGCACAGCTCCCATCTGGCCTGCATGAATTGAGCTCTTGCTTTGCGGTTTGTCCGCCTTACAGACAGGAATACTCCTGCGGTCACACCTTCGCGATTCAGAACGTTTTTGTGTTTGTAAATTACTCGCAGGATCAATATTTATCCAGCTGAGGCTGCAGACTTTCAGGGATTTAAAACTGCGCAATAAAACTCCCAGATGGAAACGCCTGTTTTGCGGTCGCTTCATCTAGTTGGGGGGAAAAAAAGTCGAGGTGATCTAAGGCGGCAGTTTGCAGTCGATTTTTATGCATAATGTCTCATCTCCTTCAATGAAACTATACAAGACAACACATGAAGGAAGAGCAAAGACAGCAAAAATGACATCAATAGCATGAATTTTACATGCGCTTATAAATATTTAACGACACGAATTCAGCTTAATTAATAGTATCTGAAAGGAAAGAGGAAAAACCCGCTTCTGCAAAGCCCCTGTTGCACAGAAATGCTTTGTGTTTTTATAAAGTAGCACACGTGGATGAATTATCAGGAATAAATAAGAAACGGCGAGAAGCGGACATGAGGAGGATATTTCCACGAGAAACGGATTTGATGCTTCAGTTTGAAGGATTAAACCGAGTTGTCGCTTCCACCAGACGGCCTTTGAAAGTGTAAATGGGAAGTCATGTGTCTCCTCTGCATCCAGAAACGCTCTGCTTCGCCGAACGGCTGCCAGGCCGCCATACTACATCACGAATGGGATTTACAGTAGTATTAAATCTGCTGGGTTTTTTTTATGTGTGTAGATTTTATTTTTAGTTTATTGAAGGGTAAACGTGGCTCCAAGCCTTTACTGTCTGTGCAGGGAGCTGATAAATTGCATCAGGATGATGAATGAAACACACTTTTCAGGGCCAATTCATTTAAATCTCACTTCTTCTTCTTTTTGTCTTTTCTTCTTCTGTCTAGAAAATGAGTCAGGAGTTTGAGATTAAACGTCTGTCCTTAGAGGAGCAGAGAGATCGCGTCCAGCAACAACTGGACAACTTGAAAGAGGAGCTCACGGCCAAACTCAACATGGCCAATCAGGAGGTGGGAAACGATTCCTACGCGTCCGATACTTTCCCAGGGACGATGCGGTGACCTCTTGGCCGGTTCCTCCTCAGGTGTCCCACATGCAGGAAATCGTGCGGGAGGGAGAGCAGAACCTGAATTCGGCTCAGACGCAGATAAGCTGCCTGAAGGAAACCCAGGAGAAGCTCCGGATAGAGCTGGACGCAACCAGAGGCCGCGTGCGAGAGACCAGCAACCTGCTCACTGACCTGCAGGTGAGCGTCGGCGTCACAGTTCCTGATTTTCATGGTTTTCACTCACTTTTGGTATTTTCATATATATACATCAGAAAATGTTATTTTTAAAATAAAAAATTTGCATAGTGACATAGCTATGCAAAGTGACATTTAAATTAAAATGTTAATATCAGAAGTGGGTAAAGTTCCCAAAAATTATACATAAGTAAGAGTAGTGATACTTTATAACTAAATTGCTAAAGTAAAAGTAAAAAGAAAGATGTAAAAAAATACTCTAAAGTGTCCTTTTTTTGTAATTCTGATTAGTGTTATTCTGTTGTTCTCTGCACACGTATGTAAAATGTGTTGCTCTATCGGATCAATATTTGGACCTACAAGTTCAGGATAATCAATAATATGTAAAGGTTTTCCATTTCTTCAACAGCAGAAAAAGAAATATATTGTTATATCAAAGTGCCACACTGGGATATCTGTGATTTGGAGTTCATAGAAAGAGAAATCCACTGGAACAATCTTATAAACGGGATTTTCCACGAAGAAAATCTGAGAAATCTCTCCAATCCGACCTCTAAAGTCTCCATAGCTTTTATCTTTCTCACATGAAACATCAGCACAGATTCTTCCACTAAAAACAGAATTAAGCTTTTATGAATCTCAAACTGTGTTTTGTAGAATGGCTGCTAAATTTGTCATTTATTTTTCATTTAAATATGTTCCAGATCTGGATAAGTATGGAAAATAATAATAATAGTGTCCAAAAAGATTTCCTCTTTCTTTCATTTTCATTCCTTCCTACTTCCTTTATTTCTTTGCATCACTGCATCCTTTTTTCTTCCTTTCCTCCCATTGTCTCTTTTCTTTCTTTCCTTCTCTTTCCCTTCTTTTTCCTTGCCACACCAAATCCCTTCTTCAGATTTGAAAGACTAATACAATGTTAATCACACCAGTTATTCCCTTATACCTCTTTCTTACATCTATAGCTATATTATAGATGGATAATTATTGACAAAGTTAGTAATATTTTGAAAAACGCCAGGCTGCAAGATATTAGAAAACCCTTGGTCTGCTGCTAAAATTAATCTGATGATCAGAAACATTTAATAAAATGGACATTCTGTGCAAGGTAGAATTATTAATTGTGTGGTTTTTTTCAAGTTTAATCCAACAAATGTAGACCCTGTAACTGTTGAGAAGCGCCGCCGCTTCCTTGAACTTCTCCTTAACCCCTCTCCCGCTGATTTGATTTAAACTTCGCGTCGCAGACGTGCAGTGAGTTTGCAGACGGTGGGTCGGAGACAGAAAAGTGGCGAAACGGGAGGACTGAAACACACGTGGAAAGCAGAACGGAAAGTGCAGCACTGAAGGCCAGCTGTGGGATAATGATGATGAAGCTATTATGAGTTGAGTGGCCGCGTGTCTGAAAGGAACTCTGTCGGTGCGAGTCCTGTGAGCATAAATGTAGTGGGGAACGTGCTGTTTACCGAGGACAGACTGTATATTTCAATGCTAATTCTGACTATCGATACCATAGTGCGTTTTTACTCCATTATAATAATTTTCCTGCTGCTTGAATGAAAAAGTAAATGAGGGAGACGTGGATTGCAACAGAGAGAATAAAGAGGGAGAGATGAAATGAGAAGCAATAATTAGCTGAAATTGCAGTGGTCTGCTGTTCTGTCTTAATTGTGCTTGTGTCTATATAAAGGAAGGGATTTGGCAGAGCTGAACGCAGGATTTTACCTTTTATTCGTTTTTTAGCTCATTGCATTTTAGACAAAAGCACAAAACCGACTGGGGCTAGATTGTCTTTAAAATTAGAACATGCTTTGTTTTGTGGGGACTAAAGCTGGTTTGTTCAGTTGGATGAACAGAAAAAGAGGCCGAAAAAGTCAGCAAGTTTTCCATGTTTTATTTTTATCACCTTTACTTACTGAGATGTTCATCATATTACCTAAGGTATGTAGCAAATGTGACACTAAAATCAGTTATTTTTCAATAACTGAAGTGACTGGTTTCAATGCTGAAAGTAGCTGTGTTTTTATTACAAATGTACACAAAACTTTGTAATATTTCACTAACATAGAAAAAAAATGCAATTTTGCAATTATGTTTCTATTAAGAAAGAAATGCAGTTTCAGTTTTACCAAATAAACCAATTTTGATGCGGTCAAAAAAAAAAAACACACCTCACTCTTGTGCCAAAAGTTTTTATTGTTAAACGAGTCTTTTCAAAAGTGGCGTGTTTTTATCAGGAGGATATATTTCCAAAAAGTCCAATTATGCATCTGCATAAGTCAATGAAAACGCAAGTAGTGACGTCAAAAAGAAAGATTGTTTTAGTAATGGATTCTGCTGTTGATTATTCAGAAGATTAATCATATGTAAACAAATGTCACTTTCTGTAGATTTTTTATGTTTTCTTAATACAATGTTAGAAATGCATTTAGAACTCCATATAAATAATTAAATTCCTTGCAAAAGTTACAGTTCCTTTAGTGTTGTTTTGACCAGTGTAGCAAAAGATGCATCTGCAGAACTTCTTCACAGAGAAAGAAGGGAGTATATATATATATACAATTTTGGCTTAATTACTGCTCCGATGGTGTTGTCAGAGCAGTAATTAAGCTAATGACCTTTTTAAGTAAGAAAAGGGTGTGGAGACAATTAAACACATGCATAATTGCAGCAATAGTTTAATGATGACTCCTTCTAGTCGGGAGATAAATGCAAACACACAAACTCTGGAGTGAGAACAGCTTTTCTGGAAAATAAAATGACTATGCATTATTAATTGCTGCAATAGCTGCAAATGTTTCCAATCACAATGAAGAGCTAGATTTAACTTTAAACAGCTGAGACGTCAGAATGTCCCCATAACAGACTCTCTCCAAACATATAATAAATTTATGCAGAAAAAATCATTTTCAAGCCGAACTGCTATAAGTCTCTTTTTTATGTCTTTTTCTCTTTTCCGAAAAGTGAAATTTCATATAGAAAAACAAACATCTGAGACCTGCTAAACCTTATTTAGATGCAGTAAAATGTCATCTGTCATAATTAGTCCTCTGAAGCAGCAGAGTTTGGATTTACACACTCAAGCAGCTAAAAAATAAGAGCATTTAAAGGCACATAAGCTCTAAATCATCTTCAGCTGCTGGAAATGACTGACCTAATGAAGTTTACATCAAAACCAGCACTCTAAAAATGGATACGGAGTCTTGAGGTGGTGTGTCTCCTTTTTTTTTTTTTAAAAAAAAAAAAAAAAAGCTTTTTCTGCTTAATTCAGAAAAATAAAAGGATACAACAATGCAGCTGAATTCCCCTGTCTGTGCTCGCAGGAGGAGATTGAGACCCAGAAGCAGCAGCATGATGCCAGGGTGATGGCCATCCGCACGGAGGAGAAACAGAAGATCGACAAGATGGCAGACGACTTGGATCAGAAGTGGAGAGATGCTCTGCGGTGAGGAGGAAGCGAATCCCATCTCATCCCTGTCAGCCTGTCGGTCTCAGCTGTCTCGTTTTGATTTTTCTATTTGTTTTCTGTCACTTCTGCCCCTCCTGCTGCAGTCACCCTTATTATCAGAGGGAGACGGCTTCTTGCCTAAGAACGGACGGCTACTAATGAGATGGAATAAAAACAAACTCCTACTTTTCCCGACTGACATATTTGCAGATCGACTTTTGCAGCTAGACAATAAACAGACAAGCACAGAATATTTACACAGACGCATCTCAATAATTTCCTTCGACGGATAAAGTTTTTTTTTTTTTTAATTACGAGAATAAAGTCAAAATTAACAGATTATTCTCATTATATTATGAGTTTATTCTCATGATATGGCATTATTCTTGTCAATTCATGACTTTATTCTGGTAATATTATGTTTTCTGTTTCTTTTTTTCCCCTTAGTTTGGCCCTAATATGACATCATCGCTAAAAACCTAATTTGTTTCAATTGAAACTGTGAAACTAATAAATAAATCTCGTTAAATATTTTCGACCTTATTCCTGAAAAACAAGATTTAAAAGTTACAGAGAGAATGAAGAAGTCGCTTAACACCAGCAAACAGGGATTTTTAATACCGGAATGTTATTGTATGTAATGTGTCCAAGAATATTAATGGAAAGTTCAGTGGAAGAAAAATCTATATTTTCTGCTGCAAGTCACAATCATCAAAAAAAAAAAAAGTCAACCTGTGTGTAATGTTTCTATCTACGTCATTCTCCAGGGAGGAAGTGCGTTTGTTGAAGGAGGAGCTGAGCGAGGAGTACGATGCCGACAAACAGGCGGCTCTCAATCAGCTTTCCCAACAGAAGGAGCTGGAGCTGATGGCGTCACGAGAAGCCTGGCAGAGGAAAGTGGAAGATCTGCTGGAGCAGGTAAAACATGGTGGCAATAAACTCGCTCAGGCTTAGTGAAATGTTATAAAGTGTAAGGTCGTGACCCCTTCTCTTCTGCAGAAATAGTTGAAAACTGAGCAAAAATAAACTTGTCTCAACCTGTAAAAACTTAAACCTGACTGAATAAAAGAAACCCAAATGAAAAACATCTCTGCAGGAAACGATAAAAGTGAAACAACGAGCAAGTTGATTTGAAGAAACATTAGAAACAAACTAGCTCTCTGTTTCTCTCTCCATTTAATTTTCTCAGAACACGAGAAAATGATTGTAAAATAAATCTGAACCAAAATAAAATAAAAGCCAGAAGTTTGACACTGAGCTCTGGTTTCCCTGAAACAGAGGGCAGTGAGTCATTCCACGCTGACTAAGGTACGAAAGCATAAACAACCTAACAGGCTTTAAAAAAAAATTCATATGAACCACAAAAATGGGATTTTGTTTCTGCAGCGCAAAAAGATTATAAGGAGCAAATGTAGACAGAGTGAAGGGCTGCTGGAAATAGAAAGCTAAATTTGGACCAGATGAGAGTGGGAGGATGGATTTCTTGATCTGTTTTTTGCTTTTGCTGAACAAAGCAATAACCTTTGACCCCTCTGCCTCCTTGGGTGCGTCTGTGAGTGACGGCTCCACTTGAAGCCGCGGTCTGTTGACAGGCTGAGGCAGAATGGCCTGTCAGAGGAGACAGACATGCAACCAATCTCACATTCACAGGCTTCCCGTTCTGCTGGTGACTTTATTAACTCCAGTTTTCAAATTCACATCCAGAAACTGTCAAAGCAGCAATTAATTAATTAGAAAAATGAGGGATTTCATTCCAGGTTTGCTCGTCTTTGCTCTCAGCAATGTATAAAACCTTGTTTTTATAACTTTCTCTTTGCCACAGCAACATGTTTTTAGCTCTGTGAGGATATGCATATGCATGCTGCATGTTATCCTAAAAAGGACCTGGAGTGTGTGTGTGTGTTTGAAACGGATAGTGTTTTTTCGTTTTCTCAAATCCCTGCAGCTACTGTTTTGCTTTTTTATTAGAATTTAAAATTAGCAGAGGAAAGACGGTTGGAGGTGTCGGGGCCGTTTTCTTCAGAGCGACGACTATTTCCTCACTGTTCCTGGGAAACACGCTGCCTCTGGGTAATTCACAACTCCACTGAGTCACAGCGCAGACTTGAAAGAGGCACATCTGGATTTTACCACAATGACAAACATTTGACATCAGGTTTGAGTCAGACGAGCACGATTTCAACTTTTGTTAAAGAGCAATCAAACACTTGAAGGCAATTGTTTTATTTTGCAGAAAGCCGTACAAAAAATTGCTTTTTGTTAGTTTTTTTTTTTTTTTGACGATTTCAGTATACTGCAGAAAAATTCCATCTTAGGATACGGAGCTTTGCATTTGTCATTTTGATTTTGGTCGAGTTTTTCTGTAAATTTGAACTTAAAAGCTTACTTCAGACAAACTTGATGTTGGTTTTTGCATTGAGCATTTACTATAAAAACGTTAAATAATTTAGTTATCGTTTTATAAATAGAAACTGAAAGATGTTTGTCCTGTCTGAAGGATATTGCGTTCTCCTGATGATTTCTGTTGCCAACTTTTGGTCCTTTTGGCTTTTTTGTGTATGAATAAAAATATATTTTGCAGATCAAATAGGAGTAAAAAATCTAATAACTTCCACATCAAATATTGAAGAACGACTTGAAGAAATAGACCCTTTTTATATTTTTATACTTTGATTATTTAGGAGTATTTACCTTCAGTTGAGAGTTTTCTTGCTTGATTTAATCATTACCAAATAGATTTTGGTGTTGCTTGTTGTAAAATCAGTTATTGATTACATTAATTACTCATCCCGTTTACATCTCGATTCTGTGAAGCTGCAGTCGATCTGGTAGTTGTGTTTGTGCCCTGCGCAGCAGCGAGCCTCTGCTCTGCCAGAAACCAGACGCTCCGACTCGACGGCGAGTTGAGGGAAACATGCTCATCCGTTGCGTCGTGTTGACAGTTGCTGACAGCCGCGCACAAAGCTGCCGTCTTGCTTCCAAGCCTCCATTCTTGCACGGATCAAACAAGAAAGCCGGCGGAGAGACGTCGTTTGCTTTCACAGAGCCAGGTGGGAGATTTCTGCTGCTTATGCACGAAGATTTTCCAAAGTATGTTTTAAACCCAGATGTAAACACCGCTCATGTCTACTCGAGCGTTAATTAAACACCACGAGAGAAAGAGAGAGAGAGGAACGCTCGACTTCTGTCTCACAGCTTTCCTCTTAGCTGCAAACAAATTGTACAATGCACTTTCAGACTGGATATAAATATTGTATCATGTGTGCTGGATGCAGTGATCTTAACTGTATTGACCTAGTTAGAGCTCCGCAGAAACACCAGCAGAACTGCAGGCTCAGAGAGTCCTTTAAGGCGAGAATAACCTCATGACGACATGAGCTGTTGGCTCTTATTTGTTAAATCAGGCTTCACATGATCTACTTTTGAGGATTTTTCTCTCTGCACTGTTGATTCCGTTCACTAATTAATTGTTCCAGGAGTTAATTAGCCGTGCTTTTATTTCAGCGCTAACAGGTTCTGCATTAGTGATGCCCCCGTGTGGCAGGCTGAACTCACAACCCTGACTTGCTTTTAAGCTGTTCGTTTCACTAACGGTTTCCATGGAGACTCCATAACATGATGAGTCAGGTTGATGTTTATGTCCAGCATGAATGAATCACATTCGTTTTGGGCTTTGATGCAGCCGTAGCGTCATTGCTTGTGTACATTACAACCTTTGACTCAAAGAGATTGATGTGCAAGTTTGAATTTGTTGGGAGATTTCTTTTGACACACACTGGGTCAAAAGTTATTACAAAATCTGGCTAAATGTTGCCTTGAAGCTTGAAAGTTGGGTGTTTGAATCTTAACCCAGGTGGATTTGCATATTTTCCTCTTACAGGTTAAAAATGTGGATACAAAATATTTTCAAAAACTTAAAAGCATGGTCCCAATGCTGACTAGTAGAGTGGATCTAAATGTATTATTTTCTAGGTATGTATGTATGGTAGCATATATTTATTTCCACGCTATATTCCCCTAGATATTCCTTCCTTGCCTTCTTCCTTTCCTCTGTTCTTTTACTACCCACCTTCTTTCCTTCCTTCCTTCCTCCTGCCATCCCAGCTGTGTGTGTTTCAGTGTTTAAAAGAAGTTATTTAGAGAACATGAAAGTCTTCCAGTGTTGCAGGCATGGCTGGATGTGCCATGATTATCTATAATGACATCTTTTTCATTAAGATATTTTAATTGCCAGAGTCTCACCCCAGGCTGCAGCTCGTGTGTGTGTAGGGGTTTGTGCTCTCGAGTGTGTTTAATTATAAACCAGAAGCTTGGAGGCTGCTGAACATATTTGCTTTATTCTCCCTGTGAATTCAAAGGACTTTTTGTAAGGCGAGCAGGTCAGCTGGCTGCTCGTCTTTAAATCTTCAGCCAGTGAAGAAGCTCACAAACGTCTTCTCAATCCTAATTTCCCTCATCTTCTCATTTTAAATCCATCTTACCTTACAGCCTCTGCTCTTGTACTTCTTCACCGATAAATCCTGTCGGGGATTTAACATCGGCGGCTGAGGAACCAGAGCCGACTCTCTCAGAAACTCTTGCCAGTCAGAGTTTCTGAGGGAAACTCTTCAGTCCAAGCTGTTTGTGCACAAAAACCCCCACTTGGCTTGTTGTTCAGCAAACAGCGCTAATGCTGCTCTTCTGACTGGCTGTGAGAGCAATAGGAAGAGCAGAGAAATCCCAGCTTTTAGCTCTAATCTATGCGTCTATCAACATCAGTGTCAGAAATCTGGACTATCTCTGATGAGGATTATCAAGTGCAGGAGCAAATCAGAAAAGTGTTTATCTAATTAAATGAGCTGCTCTGCGTTTTCTGAAAATCAGGTCTTCTGCACCACAGAAGTTCAGAGTTGGCATATTTGCCCCACATGTTAGAGGTGTTTCCTGTCCATAACTCTATTTCAGGCATTAAATATGTTTTGTGTTCCTTTTTTTGTGCAGATATCACTCCTGAAACAGTCCCTGGAGCTCCAGCTGTCACAGTCTCAGTCTGCTCTCCAGCAGCTGCAGTCTCAGTTCAACCAGGAGAGGGAGCTGCTGAGCCAACAGCTTAAAGGTTTGTCGGAAAGTCATCTTTTAGTTTCAAGATTATTTATTTAGCTCTGTAAGTTAAACGAAACACTAAACGCGCTCAAACTTTCATCTCACATGTAAGCTGGAGTCCTTTTTGCAGAAAAATCAAAATAAATTTGAAAAATACTGCATCCATCGACGTTTAAAATGCAAAATAATGTTTTGCAAATGTTTTAATTTGCCTTGATTACATGTTTCGAGCAACAAGTTCAACTTTTGGTGTGATTTTATGCAATCAAAGAAGTGAAGAGAAAATCAAAAAGTGTGGCATACAAATTCAAATATTACATAATTAAGCTTTATGTTGGTCTGTCACTTCAAGCCCTCAAATCGAAGTTTGTTTATGACGTAGTGAAATATAAAATGTCCCCATCACGTTAAATCTTTGTCCTTTCGGCCGTGTGACGCTAACTGCTGACAGAAACAGAAACTTTTCCCGTTTTCCATCTGCAGAGATGCAGAGGGAGCATCAGAGGAGGGAACATCGGTTACAGGAGGCCCACTGCTGCGCCCTCAGCACCATGGAGGAGGCCCGACAGCACCAGATCAGAGTATGATGCTCCCACAGAGATATCTTTAGACCACATTTCACACAAATAGGCTCTTGTTGCCCTTCTCAGCAGCTGCTGTACCTCTTCTATCTGTAATCAGCAAAAGTCAGGAGAAGGTAAACCCCATTTATGACCGCAAGAAAAGAAAAAAGATTAGCGAGCATCTAGCTTGATTGGTTGCTTCAAGAGGCCTCCAGTGAATGGTATCAACCCGAAGTCATTTCCTTCTGAGAGGAAATTAAAACCTCTTTCTGTCTGGAGCTGTTGCTTTTGGAATGTTTTTTTTGTTTGTTTGTTTGATTGTTTTTTTCCAGTTAAAGTGTCATGATTGTGTTTGAGTGGAGCAGCTATGGGAAACAGATGCTGTGCAAACAACTACAGGTTGACTGAGGGAGAAGCCTCCCCGTGTTTTAGTGTTTTTTAATGAAATGAAGGCAAATATTCATGTTGCATTTGCCTAATCCTAAAAATTTATGTTATTGAGGTATTTTTATAAAATACTTTCCCTGAAGTATTGATGTGACGTGCCTTCTTTGGAGTACAGTGTAGGATGCGTCATGCTGTGGGCCTATTAGTCTCCCAAGAACCCTATAAAAACGGTCAGAGTGAACATGTAAGAAGATTTTAAATAAAAATCTGCCAGTAAACTGAACATTAGCAGCAACTGGGTATTTTTGGAGAAGAAAATAAAAAATAATAATGAAAAAAACTGCAGGTAAGGATGTACCAGACATTTGTTTTATAGTTTAGTTCATCCTTATAGAGACTGTGTAAAAGCAAATGCTCGTTTATGTAAATGGGTTGTGAAATTGATCTTATTTGAACTGCGGTTTCATCTCTGTGAGTCACAATTTCAAAGAGGAGCCGAAACTTTGATTTTCGACCTTTTGACGTTTCTTCTCTGCCCTCTGCAGGCCCTGGAGGAGCGTCTGAAGCAGGAGCAGAGGGAGGAGGTCCACGCTCTGAAGGAGGCCCACAGGAGAACGCTGGAAATCCTCCGCCAGCAGTCAGAGCAGGAGCTGCAGACGCTCAGATTCGAACTGGAGGACGAGGGGAAAGCGAAGCTGGGTAAAAAGAGCACTTCCCTTTTGGCTTTAATTGTTTTTTTCTTTTTCTCCCCACGATGGTAGCGTTTTTATTCAGGACTGTTTTAATCCACTGAAATGTTTCTGCTTTGACTCAGGATGTTTCTGTATGTGCTCGGATTATATCGCTTGTGATTTGTTTGAAGATATTATCAAAGAATCCACCTTTTTTTCCCTTTTCCTCAACTAAAGCTGAAGAGGAACACAGCCAGACTGTGGCACAGTGGAAAAGTTAAACATATATTAATACATTTTAGTGACTTGTTTTGTTTTCATCACTGTCCTGATAGGAATAGTGCATGTGTGTTGGGATGGAAGGTGTGGAAATCACTATGTTCTGTGTTTAAACACGCACGTCTGTCTGGCAGCATCTCTCCGAGCAGAACTGAACCACCTCCACGCCACGGCCATCGAGCACCTGAAGCAGATCCACCTCAAAGAAAACAGCGCAGCTAAGAGGGAACTGGAGAAGGCGATGGAGCACAGCCACCAGCAGGTAACCGTGAACGTCTCTGTTCGGACCTCCCGAGTTTGTCCGGAAGGATCGATCCGCCCATTTTACTTTTCAGGAGCAAGAACTCCTGGTTCGCATCTCCGACCTGCAGGGCGAGCTGTGTTCCCGTAGCAACCGCATCACCGATCTGGACCACGAAATCCACTCTCTTAACGAGACTATCGACACTCTGACCAGAGAGCTGGAGATAAAGGGCAAAGAGGTGCTGCGAGTTCGCAGCGAAGCCAAACACCAGATAAGGTAGAAACTCCTGCAGGTCGCCATCAGATGTTTTGTTAAAAAGTGCATCGCCGTGCTAGCGGAGGAGTGACTCGACATAAACTGACCTAGTTTGTAAAACAGAAATCCGAACACAAATCACAGGGGAGTAATTATCTGAAGAACACAGCATCCAGAGATGCTTTGAAACTGCAGGTCTTAATTACAGCAGAAAAAGAAATAAATGAATGCTGGGTTTCTCTTCTTTTTTAATTTTTTTTTTTATGAAGCTTCAACTTCAAAACATGTTCCTTCTGTTTGCACAGAAAGCATATAAAACCCAAACATACCCTCATTAAAAGAAAAAGTTTTTGTGTGGAAAAACTGGGAATGATTTCAGAACTTGTTGCGGCTTTAATCCCATACAAGCACTGAAAAACAAGCAAATCGGTGGGAAAAATCTAAATTTTCTACTTAACGGTTTATTGAAGCAACATAAAATTAAACCCCAGTTTTGAGTCTTTCTTTGTACCCACCTGTCTTCAATTAAAGAGAATCTGCTCTGTCAAAAATAAAGTTTAAATGTCCTTGTAGTATTTTTTATTGTTTTTGTACCATGGCTTGACACAACAAAAATGTTCATGTTTGGCTGAGGAGCAAGGACAAACAGAATAACTCCAGATTTTCAACACACAGACGCAACCATTGATCTCCTGAAATCTGTGTAAAGCTGCAGGCTGACATTAAAACCCAGCACAGGTTGAATCGAGTACGAGAGACAAGAGATAAATATATATAATACAGTCGTTATCCATCTTTAAACATGAAATGGTGCTTGTTTGATATCATAAATACTCTTAATGATTTTTATTTTTAGCACAAATTATTTCAAGACTTTTCAGACACTAAAGGTCAAGGAATGCTCAGCAGTCTGTGTCATTAACCTGCCTTCTGCCATATGTCTCTACACCATTTCTGTTTTTTTTTTTTTTTTCCTTAAATTGCAGACAGGCAAATTAATACCCTGACACAGTAGCTATGGTTACCACTTCTTTTGAGCTCTGAGGGACTAAATTCGCTCCAGCTCCTTTACCTTCCAGCCAAATTCAGTTTGCAGCTGCACATCTGCTGTCGCCCAGTAAGATTAAATAAAACGTGGTAATTGTTCCCCAGCTGGAGTTTAGTTAAATTAGATCGACTAAAATATCATAACGGTGGATAAATCCCTATTATGAAGTGTAAACTTTGCTCTGGCAAATCTGCGGCTTATCTCTGCGGCTAACGAACCATATCCGCCTCCGCCACAGAGCGCATGAACAGGACCTCATAAAGAGGCACGACAGGGATCTGGATGAGCTGAAAGTGGTTCATCACAGAGAGGCGCAGATTATGCTGGCTGACTTCAACAAGGCCCAGGAGGTTCTCAAAGACAAGATTTCTGCTCTGCAAATCCTGTAAGTCACAGTAGCTGTCCTCCGTCATGGCGGATACCTGTCTGTTCAGAGCCGGTTTTCATTTAGAGGCAAAGTTTGTTGTTTTTCAATGTTTCTTTTTGTTGTTTTTTTTTTTGGCTTGTGCATTTCCTTTGTGCGCAGGTTGGAGGGTACGGAGGAGAAGTTGAGAAACAGAGAAAGCCGACCGGAAGATCTGCATCTCATCGCAGAGCTCAGAGAGATGGTGACCGAAAGAGAAGCTCTGGTTAAGAAACTCGTTGTGAGTAGATATTGTAGCCATCTGGAAAAGTTCTGAATACATTCTTTTAAAGTAATTTTCTGAATAAAACAGAAACAAAGTTAGGGTTTGCTGACTATATTCCTAAAATATAAAAAAATTAAAAGACGAACATCTGAATGACAAAGAAAACTGAGACTTTTGTGCAAGTATGTAGAGTTAAATGTCATCTTTTTAGTTTCATTTCAGTTGGATTCAAGCTTGCTGCTCATGAGACTTTATTCTTTATGGCTAATAGACCTAACAAACCGGCACCATACAGAGGGTTTTAAAAGTACTGCACTTGGCGGTAATGGTAGTAATTTCTGAAGGAGTTAAGACTAATTGATGGTGATAAGAGTTTGGATGCTTTGTAACATCAAACCTGTTGCTTCAGGATGACAAGAAGTTCTACCAGCTGGAGTTGGTGAACAGAGAGACGGGCTTCAACAAGGTCTTCAATTCCAGTGCCAACGTTGGTGTCATCAACCCTCTGATCAAGGTGAGCGCTCTCTTCACGCTCGTAGGAAATCAGATTAACCACAGTCGCTATGAAATATGAAAACGTATGGAGTTGGTGTTCTCCAACTCTGGATAATTGAGGAAAATTTGAAATCAATTATGAAAAGATTTACGTAATATTAGATGTATTATTCAGAGCACAGTTATCGCCCTTTGGTAAATAGAAATTGCTAAAAAAAAACAAAAGGGGAGGATTGTTATACTAATTTTGCATAAGAGATATTATGAAAAATGAGCGTTTCTGTACAGGCGGTGATTTTATTTGATCACAACTTTACTCCTCTTGTCTGATGGATCAGGCCTTGTTGTAATGGCAGATTGTGTTGTAAAAGCAGTTTGCTTGCTTCACTTTCTTTTGTCTTCATAATGTTCAAGCTCAGCACTGCGTCTCATTATGTCAGTAAACCATTTGTCTCACTGCGACGTGAGAAAACAAAACCACAATAAATAATCTCAAAACATTTTCCACAAAAACCTGACTTTAATCTTGTGAAATACAAATCAGCTGAAGGAAAAATCTTACAAAAATATGCATATAAATTACATTTTCCTCTCAAACTGCAAGTGGATCAACAGTTTGAGGTCCATGCAGTCAGAGAAACCTCTTCCTTAGCCTCTTATCACATTAAAAGCACATTAAGCTGTGGAACGAGTTTAACAGAAAGTGTTCTGTGCTTTAAGAGCATTAATTCTTGCATTAATACCTGTAAGTAGAAAACTGCCATATTAAAACCAAACTGCATGTCTCTTTTGCAGTTTAAAAGACTTAAAATTGTCAAGAAATGCTGAACGTTTTGTCTCTTTTTGTCTAACTTGTTGACATTTGTGACAAAATATTTACAGAATACCTACAAATGACTTATTTTTATCAACATAAAACAGAAGCACAAAAATAAAGCATTTCTTTTTGTTACACTGTTAGATTCTAGCTGTTGTTTTATTATGCACATTGTAAATCAGACATAAACACAATGTTATGATCTGTGCAGCTCAGGCTTTTGCACCATTTGATGGCAAATAAAAAACCCTCACTGGAAGATTTTTTATCGTAAAGCTTAAAAAAGGGGAAAATATCAACATTTCTCCACTTTGTGTGCTTAATTTATTTAGTAGGATCTCTTCCGTCATCCAGAATGAAGGCTGTCACTATGCAACTTAGCATAATTACCCCCCATTGATCTGCACGGAACAAGACGGCCCAGAATAATAGCTCATCTCCATTGATTAAGCTTCTGTATTATATTGAAATCGATCGGCGTGAAAACAGGGGACGGCCCGAACGTCCGTCTGCTGCTCTGATAGAAAAGCGAAACGCTCATTTCTTGTTTTTGTGCTTCTGATACCCGCATGTCGCCTCCACTGCGAAGCACAAATAGACGTGGTTTTGCTTCGAATCCCGCAGCCTTTGCGAAGCTCCTCGCATCCTTCCATCAAGTCTGTCGTTAGGTCTGATATCCGCTTTCATGTGTTTGCGCACTGCTGTCACAGCCGATGCCGGCGAGAGACAATAACGGTTGATTTTGAGTCCCAGCATCAGCTCATCATCTCCTCGTTTTCTGTCCTCCCTGTCCTGTGGGCTGCTGGTGTTGAATAACATGCATTCTCCTTTTTCTCAACTACACTCCCGCCTCCAAAATGTGGTAGACAATTAGAGAATTTCTGATGAAGCTGTGAGAGCTTTCTTTGCTGCAGCAAGGAAACGAGAAGATTTTAACCTGATTTATGCGAATCAAGCAGCATCTTTGAAAGTTGTTTGAGGTTTTCCAAATGTCAAAGTTGAGAGTAAGCGCAGTTGAGGTGCAAAAGATCACAACCAGGTCCAGCAGGTGAAGTTTTAGGTGTGTTTCAGGTTTTCTCGGTACCATTTGAGCTATGTGGTCGTTGGTAACACCCATATTTATCTCACACACTATCAACATGAATGGTGTTAAATCTGGTTCTTTATATTTTGTGCTGAATTTGGAGTGAAGGAGTTGCTTAGATTTCAGTCTTTGCTTTATTATTTCTCTCTATTTCAATCAGTTTTTGCACTTTTTCACATTTTGTGACGTATTTGTTTCTGTTGGGACAAAACTAATCTGCAATCTGTACAGCCACGTGTTGGTGGGATTACATTTTACATCAAGTTTCACTGATGCAGCAAATTATTCTTTATGTAAATCCATAACTAACCCACCTCCTCACGATACTCAATGATGCGTTAGACAATTAATTCACCCCCTTCATGCTGCTTCTTACCATTAATGTTGAGCTCATCACAGATGGCAGGAGGTAAAAACTTTGCGCTGCCTCTTTCGATTACACAAAGTTAATGAGATGAAGAGGAACTGGATTCATTTTGTAAGACACAAAGCTGAAACGGAGCAGATGTTGGAGGGTTTTGCGTCACCTCAGAGGATCCTCTCAAACTCCTCCTGCTTCAGCTCGCGCTCGATTAAAGTTTGCAGCACTCCGCCCAGTTTTATCCGTTTCTGGGTTTCATAAGCCGTCTGGAAAAGTGCAGGTTCCAAACTGAATGTTGGACACAGTAGAAATACCTCCTGTAGATTCATATTTATATTTTTATATTGTGTTCAAGCTGCAAACTTAGACAAAAAATAGTTTAAGTTATGGAATTTTGACTTGAAAATGAAGAAAAACTCTGAGTTTAAGATGTTCTTCCTGTAATAAATAAGGCATTAAATGCTGAATCGCTGTATTAGTCAACTGTATTTTTATTTAGGTTGACAAATTTTTTTCTCTGTGACAATTTAACTCTGCTTTTTTTTTTTCTCCAGAGTTTGACATTCATTCACAGTTTGGTGCCGTTTTTGTTTTCTTGTTACACATGTGACAAGTCTTTGTGCTTTTGTGTGGAGATGGGGAAGAACAAGATCATAATTTTGCACAAACCTTTTTATGGCCCATGAATTTTAGAGAATCTGATAAAAGCACGGAAGAACAGAGCTGTGAGTTTGCCTGAGGCTGTAGAAAGCATCACAAGAGCAGAAAAATACTCCATTTACTGAGACGATTCACCTCATGAGAGTGGAGCTTGTGATTAAATCAGAAATGTTTTGCTGTCAAGTCCAATTAAACCAGCGTTTAACCCAAATCAGCTCGCTGGCCAGCATTCATGTGTCGCCCCTCTGTGTGTCTGTAGTCAAAAGCAGGCAGCCAATCAGATCAGCGCCTCACCAGCTTCCCTAGCCATTCAGCTCTCCGATTCGTCAGCCCTCCCACCATGAGCCACGAAGGCCAGGAGGAAGTGGGGCGGGAGGAAGGGGAGGTAGGACCAGGAGGCCGCTTTGCGCTTCCTCACTCCCCCCTCCAGAGGTCCCTCCCGAGATATAAGAAAGCCCTGCCACTGTTCAGCCCTCTTCCTCCTCCTTCTTCTTCTCCTCTACCTCAACATCCTCTTCCTCATCCCCCACACCATCCCATGCCGAGCCTCGCTCCTCCTCATGCTCCTCAGGATCCCCTCGCGCAGCATCAGGGCCTGCAGAGCTGTGGGAGGTGAGAAATGATGTGAGTTCCCGCCGCCGCTGCAACTCTCCACTTTGGTTTTCACTGCAAACAGATCACGTGTTCACATCCGCTGCACCTCCACCAGCCGCATCTCTGACATCACTCGTCTCGTTTAGTTGTGTCTTTGACGCCCAAACTCACTGAGCAGCTCACAGGTTGACTGAACACACAGGCTCCATTCCTCTGAGACTTTTCTCATTCATTTACGTTGAAAGCTGAAGTTGTTATGGATTATTCAGGTTTTATGTGGTAAAGCAACAGTCATCCGTCCATCATTCATTCATCCAACCATCCGTCATCCATTTATCCATGCAACAAATTATAACACAGTCTAGCCATCCATCCTTTCATCCTCCCTTTATATTCATCTGTCCTCCTCTAAAATCATACTAAGCCTATTAAAGAATAGTTTTTAACAAAGACAGAAGTATCGTCCCAGAAGACATGAATAATGTTAACACATTGACCACTTTTTCTGCAAGTTTGAGTGCCGGAAAATGTCCCAACCGGCACCTGTTGCATCGTTCAGTCTGCAGCTTTCAGGTTTCAGTATCATCAGTCAGCATGCTCGAGACGTTTTAAGACAAAGGGGCAGCTATATGTAATCCTTTATGATCACGCTGAGCATTAAGGAGTGCAGAAACTAAAACGCGGGCCAGGTGGGATTGAAATTGGAATTTTAATTTGGGCCTGGACCCATCACGGCTCCGATCGACTCATTTTACACAGCGCTGCAGTCTTTTGCAGCCAGACTTCATTAGATCAGGGTCAATACGCAAAAATAATGAATTCATAAGCCCCTGTTTTGATCCACTGTGTCTGAACATCCCATTTTTTTTTCTCATCCAGCCTCCCCATTTTGACACCGCGGACAGTTTTGCCTGTCATCCTTAACTTTCATCTCCATCTGCTGCTGGTTGCAGATAACTAGAAGAGAATATAGGTGGGAAACTCCAAACTTTGCAAGTTCAGATCAGTCTCAGTGGGACCTGAAAGGGAGAAAACTGCACTGCGGCAGCTTAGGAGTTGGAAAACTTGAAAGAAATAGAAGGGGGGGAAGAAAAAAGAGAAGAGCAGCAGCTGCTGCCTGTTTTCAGTGGACACAAAACAGATGAAGGAGCGCTGCTTGCTGCTGCTGATTAGAAATCACTGGAAGGTTTTGCCGTCGGGGGGAATAGACTGCAGCTGACTCAAAGAGTTGGTGTGAAACCTGAGGATTTTGTTTTTGGGCCATTTTTATCCATCTTAAGCCTCTGCGGATCCGTCATCACTGTATTCTGTCACCGGTTCAGTCCGCAATTACAACACACGAGCCGATCACCGTTAATTTCTGCCGTCTGTCTTTCTTTCCCTCCTCTTCTTCTTAAGAGCTGTTATGTCTCTTCATTTCCCCGCAGCCTTCCTGAAGCCGGCGTTCCCACACCGTCGGACTCGAGAGGGATCGAGGCAGAAAAAGTCAAAGAACATGTCCCGAAAGAGGAAGACTTGTACTCGCTGTACTTCTCTTTCTGACTGGCAAAAAAAAAAACACCCAGTTATGTCAAAAAATTTAAATAAAGTAATGGGACAGGGAGCTAAAGTGTGACGCAGTGATTCGAGTCGCTTGATGGGTTGAGATAGCAGACATCCGGTCCTCATATGAGCATTTCACGTTTCCATTCTGATTTTTTTTCACCTTTGGGTTTCCGTACATGTTGAGCGTGACAAGGAGCAGAGCCTCATCATTATTGACAGCTCGTGAATTTAACAAGAAGGAAACCAGATGATTATCTTCACTTTATTTAAAAGTACTTTTAAAATTTTTATCTTGCATTAAATTAGAATAAACTTTTAGTTGTTTTAAAAGTTTAACACATTTGAGCCCAAAACGCACTGATCTCTGGGACACAGAAGCGTTTCCTTCTTTGACAAACCGTTGACAGCTCCACGCCACAAAAACCAAAATCTTCCCTTCATCTGCTCATCAAAGTTCAGGTGATTTGTTCTTTTTTTGGCAATTGTCATTTCAACAATAGATTCTTTGATCATCCTGGAGCTGATTATTAATTTTGCCTTTGTCACTTAATCGACTGGCAAACAGACAAAACAGTTTGGTTGTTTTTTCTGTTTGAAAGCATTTCAGGTGATGTTCAGACCCATTTTATTCTACACGTCCAGCGTTTATTGCCTTCATCCTTAAGTCCTTTTAAGGATTTTTAAAAGAAACGATTGAACAAAATCAGCTGCTTTCGCCTCAAGACGGAGTCTGTTGGTTTTCTATTATTCTACTTCACCTAGTAAAACTATTTTTCATGTAGAAAGCAGTGATCGATCTGTTTCTTGTTTTTAACTCGGATCCGTCTGCCTCCGTGCTCATGTGTGTTTCTGACTTCATCATTCACGTTGGTTCTGGTTGTGCTTTTTGGCCTCTGCAGTAAAAACTACACCAGCAAACAAACAAAGGAAGAGCCTCACTTCAGCCCGCTGTCCCAGTGCTTTGCCTGTGTACATACAGTACATGTGTGAAGGTCGTTTTCAAACGTCAGAGTTGACCGAGGGGCACTCGGTTTTCGCTTTCAGTTTTCGCTTTCCCCGTATTTTTGTTTGCGCTATTTGTAACGTATGAACACTGTTTTTCCTGTGGTCTGTTTGTTGCGCCACAGGACCAGAGATGTAAAGGAAGAGTTCTGCCTCTTTTTTATTATTATTATTATTATTATTTTTGTTATTTAACGCCAAGGAGGGTTTAGTCCAAGTCTAACGACAAGCGTCAGCGTTTGGCGTCCGGGTCTGAACTCCTCTGCTGCATGTCTCTGGCTGTGCAGACAGACCACAGAGCATGTGAAAACAGACACACTCATGCTGCTCTCATTCACTTGAAATGCTCATGTCTTCTCAGTGTACCGTCCCATTTTTCTTTCTTTTTTTTATTCTTTTCAAACTCGAAGATTTACGTAGACATCGTGCTGGACTCCATTCAGAAATCTGTACAGTTTTTTCCAAGCTGCATGCTCATCTTCAACCTAAAAGAGGCTCGGTTTGTCCTCGGAAAGAGTCCGATGTCTTCCTTTACAGAGCAAGTAGACGCTGCAGGAAGTGTTTGAAGTAATACCAACTAAATCAGAAAATCTGCTAATTTAAAGGCCGTCTGATTAGACTCTTAATTTGATGTTTCACTGAATGATTTAGCACCCTCCATGTTTTGTGGCGCTCCCATTCTTAATAATTACTCCAACCATCTGAAAGTAGCGTAGCACTCAGGCTGAAAAACCAAATCATGTTTCTTAGCGTTAAATAGATTTTCGATTTAAACAGTCTTGAATTTTCCCCACTTAAGAAGTGCAGCTCATGGTTTTTCTACTTTTTTGACGTCTTAAAGTGTTTACACATCTTTACTAGAGGTGCCAATAAAAAAACCCCAAAAGACAGAGGGTGCAGTCTAAATTTTTCCGAGTCTAATTCAACACTTCCTGAAACACTAAACATCACAGAGGACCCAAAAATGTGTCCTGTGTCACGAATGAAGCATCCAGTCTCTAAAGTTGTGCTGAATGTGCTAAACCTGGTGAAATTGTAAATACTTCTATGTAAAAATGAAGGAAACAAGGAGAGTTCAGAGGATCTTAACGCGATTGAGGTCCAGATACACTGAACCACAGCTGGTTCATTGCTCCATGCACACTGTGAACTTTAGATTAATTTAATGACTATATAAAATATGGGCATTTTATCTTAGATATCTGCACTGTAATGTGCAGGAGTCCTTAATTTTTTAGCTTAATATTTTATCTCACAACAGTTTTTGCTTTTAATTTTCCTCCTGAAGCTCCTATTATGAATGGTTAAAGGACCATTGCGATATTTGTAACTCGTTTTCAAACCGTTATACTCAATGTTTTAAGATGTTGTTTATTTTATTGTATTTTTTTACTCTGTTATTTATTCATTGTTTCAAAAGTTTACAGAACTTAAATCAATAGGCTTGTTTAACTGAACTGAAAGTGGTCTGAAGTTAACATGAAGCTCATAATTGCATATCTGTCATGCCCTTTTTGAAGTAAACACATTGCAGTTATAACAATATTTATATTTATATCACTTCTGTTGTATGTTATGGAACAATAAAACACTGATTGTGAGAAATTAACTAGTTTGGGCTGTCATTTTCAGCTATAACTCCTTCCTGTAGAAATTATAACTAAACACTTTTTAGTCATGGAAATGTTACAACACTGGAGAAAAAGATTCTGACTACGGTTTATTTTCAAGGTAAAGACTTTAATTTTCTGACAACTCAGTGGTTTTTTTAAGGACATTCTCCACCATAGCTGTGACTTAATGATAAAATTGGGGATATTTTTATAAATGTCACATTTTTAAAGTTTAGAAAGAGCAGTAGACGATTTATGGCAATTTAATATTTTACCACTAGATGGCGCCTATTAGCTTTACGTTTTTCCTGTGGCATAGTTTTGTCCTTAGTGTTGTTGCATTTCAGGGCAGAAGACCCTGAATTCGTATTTAAAATGTGCTTGCATTTTGTTCCCTGAGTCTTTTGGGACAAAAATCTGCCCACAGCATCACAGGTCTACTACCATGCCTTGCAATAAGCACGAACTGCTGATGTTGGAGGTTTCAGGTAGGAGTTCCTTTCATTTTCCTGATCTTATAAAGAATCAGGTTCATGCAGCTTTTCCCAGGAAGCCTTGCTGTCAACCAATCACACGTCGGAACACGTCAATAAAGTCGAAACCCACCAATCAGCTTCGAGCTTCCAGCTGAAGATTGAATTGAAAACTGAACACAAATCAGAGATTTTTGCAAATATGTAATTCTTGTGTTTATTCTGTGCTTCACACGTCTTTCTTACAGAAATTATGAAAAACAAAAACATTATTTGTCTTAAATGTTTACGTTTTAAGCTGACAAGCAAATAATTTAAATCCTCTTTGCCAATGTGATGTTTTTTTTTTCCTCTTCAGGACTAAAACTTAAATTTACGTCACATCTTGTTGCTTCAGTGTGAAGCTGACGAATCTAACACAGATCTCAAGTATTTTTGTTTTTCATGCAATTTCTCACAAACAAAGCATGAGAATTTGAAATTTGACTCCAGTCTTGAGTCACATGCATAATGTGATGTTAGTGCGTTTAAAGTTATTCATTTGCTTTAAAACTGCCTTATTGTAGATGAATTTGTTGATTTAGTGAGTGAATAAGAAGCGACTTAGTTGAAGGACATTAAAAACAAAACAATGACATTTGTCTCTGACTTTATCAAATTCTGCTTCCAAAAAAATTAGCTTCAGCTGCTCTATTCTTCTTTTTCTATTTTCAGAATCCTTAACCTTTCATCGCTTTAGCCGTGATTTGGACCTTCTTCATTTTACATGTAGCTTGTGTACATTTTAGCGCCACCTTTTGGACACAGCTGTATTAGCACTTTTTTTTAATTAAAATCCCAGAGACTGCAGATGGAGAGTGTGTGTCACTGCTGATGTTGTTTATTGCTGTTTTTTGATTTAAGAATGTTTTAATATATTTGTAATGTTGGTTATTTTCAAGCAGAACGAAGCCACTGACTGACCGTCATCGAAATGTGTTTCATGGAAACTCTGTCGGTAATTATTTATTCTGTTGCAATGAAAATGTGGAGTTTAAATAAACATAATTATATTTTTGGGTTCAAACCCCAAAAATATCAGTAATATTTTAACCTCAAGTAGTTTTAATGAATTCATAATCCTTTTACAATATGTTTTAGTGAATGCAGGAGAGGACATCTTGAAGATTGTCTCAGTCAGAGCAGAAAGATAGAAAAATGTTCATGCAACAGGAAGCAAACCTCAGAGATGCATGAATGTTTCCCACTTTATGTGCATCGTGTTTAATGTCGTTTATACACAGTGCGGTCAGAAGATGCAGTGCATACACACAAACAGGATCAAAGATGATGAAACGAATAAGAGAAACAGAGATATAATTACATATTTTTTTAAAAAAAATCTGATATTTCTCCAAAATTGCCCCTTTTTTTTCTCAGCGGTTGAGCTCTGCTAGGCTCTGCATGTGTCCCTTTCTGCTCTCAGCTGCTCAGCAGGACGATGATGTAGATGAGCAGCAGGCAGATGAGGATGAGTGTGAAGTTGACAAACAGCTCCTGCAGGTTCCTCTTGGCCTGGGGGTTCACCTCGATCTGAGATGCTCGACGGATGGCCGACTTGGTCATGTGCTGGACGCGCTCCATGAGGGCGGCGGGTCAGTGGGGGTCGGGGATTTGGGGCGGTTCAGTCGGGCTGGTGAAGCTGGAAGCGGTAAAATCTCTTGTCCGCTCTTTGCGTCGACTGTTATCTATTTCAAAAGAGAGAGAGGGAGAACATTTTCGGCTCTAGTTCACCATATAGACATGCGATTTGACATTTACATAATAAATTTGCATATTAAAATTTGTTTAATTTCCAAAACTGCAGTGGAAACACTTTTTTTACACAACAGAAGTCACATGATCAACATCTGGATGTTACCACTGGCGTAAACCACGAAGAAGAAAACAGGAAGGGGTTGGACAACGAAGGTTTTGCATATTTTTTTATGACTTATTGAGTAGAAACTTGCATGTAATTCTAATTACATAACTCGCTTAATAGAAAGACTGCAATTGCAAAATAGTTTTTCTTATTGTTTTGACACTAGCAAGAATACTGACAAAGTTTTCCAGACATTTTGTGATGCAGACACATCTATCCTCATGTTGCTTTCTTTTCATTGCAGCCTCTGCAGGTTGAGATATGTGACCCCCATGTCCTTCGGCGCAGGGTGTGACGATAACAGAGCTGCAAATGTGCGCCATCTGAGGCCCGATGAAGTGCTAATCTCTGCTCTGTCTGGAGAAATGTCAAGACCACAGAGCGCTGGAGCCATTGTTGCAAGCAGGCATGTAAAAGAGACAAAGTGCCTGGTGATAGAGTCGTGCTTCACTGCGGTTCTATGGTCTGAACTGGGGCTTTCCTGGGATCAGCTCTGTAAGGTCACTGTGGGTTCCTGCTAACCACTTGTCGGGTATTTATAACTCGAAAAATAGTTATAAAATGGTGAATTTAAATTGCAGTACAAACCCGTAGGGGATTAAAGATTTGCATCTGACTTGATTTTTGCCACAACTATAGCTCAGTGGTGATAAGAACCGACTTTTCTGTTCCCCTTCACAAGATTTCAACACATCTTTTTCATGCTTTCACATTTCTTTCTTCCTTCCTCGCCTAATCTGCCTTTAAGTCACTTGTTAGCACTTTAGACCTTCATCCCTCAGTGTCAGTTTTTACTCTTAAGTTCTGATAAATGACAATAAACACTTGCTCTGTAAGCTGGAACATGATTACGGCAGAAACAGGCCGTCGCGTTTTGTTTTCCGTGAGATTTTCTTAGAGATTAGCACAGTCCTGCAGGAGGGATTTACTTCACTCTGCCCAGCGTTAATGCTGCCATTTATGGGATTTTCATGCTGTCCTGGAGGAAAACCTGAATATTTTATTTTCACAAAGCTCTCCCATCTCTTTGGAGATTTTTTATTTTGGGGGTGGGATGTAAAATGTGGCCTGTACTCAGGAAGAACACATACTCAGAAGATTTTGAGCCTTTCATTTCAGAGTTGAAGCTGAGATTTAAGATCTTTAATTTGTTTTTGTTTTTTTGTTTTGCAATTCTGCAGGATCAGTAGCTGTAACAACTCATAAGGACTGTGGTTTGTATTCAGGTATTTTACATCTACTGGTGTCCAAATTATCCCCACTTCTTGACTGAAACCAATGCAGGGCAGTGCATAAATGTGACAGGAAGGATGAGGATGCATTGTTTTTAAAGAAATAATGATCTGAAACTGTGGCATGCATTTATATTCTGCAGAATTGTTCCCACTTTTTTCCAATTATTTAGAAAACAGCTCAGTCTGTGAACACAGATTTTCAAGTCTTGCCATTGTTTTAGGTCTGAACTTTGACTAGGCCATAGGAACACCTGTGTAAGATTTAATCTAAGCCAAATCTGCATAAATGTTTGGAAGGTGAGCCTCAAATACCAGCATTCCTTCCAGTATCTTCCAATTTTTAGCTCGTTTTACCATAATAAGTTATTTTTTTAAAGCTCTTTAATTCATGTTTGTAACTTTGTTTTTGTCCTGGCGCCATCTAGTGGCTTGTGATGTAGCAGTATTTTCCTTTCTACCACCTAAACAACAAAAATCCTTTGTTGTATTATAAACTCTGCTTTTTGTTTGTGTTGTTTCACGATTGGTTTCTAAGATTACATTATAAACTGATGGGTTGATACCGAGCACTTTTTGTATTTATTTCAGTTTTTCTTGCTCTACTCTAAACCGTTTCCTTGTCATCACTCGGCCCTCTGCTCTTTTGTTTTGCACATCTCGTGTTTCAGAGGATCAAACGGACACAGCTGCTCTGTCTGCAGGGATCGGTCCGTCTGTTAATAACCGGCGGTAAAAACGAAGCGCAGGTGGACGAATCGCAGAGGATGGGCTGCCCTTGACTTCAATGTGAAGTGAGTTAACACCGCACTACGTCGTCCCGAGGCTCTGAGAACCCGTCTGCTAGGAAAACGGAGGCTGCTGTCTGAGAACAGACGGGTCGGGGCTGACCCTGACATTTTTCTTTGACCTGAACTTTCTAACTTTAACTGATTCCAGCCACGAGATAAGAGCTGAACAGGAAGGACATCAGAGATGATGTAAATTAATGTGTGAATGATGTGAAGCGTTAAATATGTGAGAAAACTCAAATAATTGGAGTTTATTTCTATTTCCAGACTTCATTCCCTTTGCTTTGTCTAAATGTTACGTCCTTCCATCTTACGTCCTAAATTGGTTCCTTTGTTTCTTCCTTGACTTCTTTCCCTCCTTGTCTTTCCTTCCTTCCTTTGATTTTCTCCTTCTTTCTGTCCTCTTTTTATTTCCTTGCCTATGTTCTCGTCTTCCTTTCACATTTCCTTCTCTCCTTGTGTTTCCATTTCCTTCCTACAAAATCATTTGTAGATGAACACTTGTATGACTCCTGATCGTGTCAGATTTTCTGTTAGTTTGCCTTTTTTATCCTCTTTTGTCTCATCAGTTCCCAGAACATTCTTCCAAAAGTTTGAATATTTTTGGTAAAAGCCTTGGAAGTCTCCCATGGACGCCATTTATGCCCAGTCTTTTTTATTTTTTAATTGTTGAATTGTGATCTTTGACCTTAAGCTTAGGAAAGGCTTCATAACACCTTCCAGATTTGTTGAACATGACATTTTCTCACCTTTTCTGAAACACTTTACCCTACTTCATGTCGTTAAGACATTTCTTGAATCCATCAAACTGGATGTGGCCAAAAAGTTTATTTAAGTTATTTCATGGATTAGCAAACATTTGAATTTGACAAAAGTCAAAAACATGTATTTGATCCCTTTCAAGTATCATATTTGCACTTTGAAGAGTTACTATTTTCTAAATTTTAGATAAATGTTATCTTGAAAGCACACCTCTGCAGAGTGAAACATTTTCATGCCGCTCTGATCTGGAGCTCCTGAAGTCTCCGAGATGCCAGTCATTCCTCCGGTGTGACTTTTATCTGCGTGTGTGTCAGCGCATGCAGCTGTTGTGTTGAGCTTCACACACACAGGTACACACACATCCTGAAAGGATCGCTGTGCTTAACCTACAAAACATTTAGTGTGTTTGGTTTGATGCGTTTGTTGGCAGGAACTTTTACACATCAACCTGACCGACGCCTCAGCGCTATGTAGGTTAGACAGATGCTCGTACTTTCTGATGCCGACCTAATATTCGAACTGGGGCAGCAGCAGGTTTGAAACCAGCTGTCAGGATGTCATTCTGCACATTTAAAGAAACCAAATGTTGTGGGGCTGCTCTGAAGCTGCAGGAGAAAGCCCAGAAGTCAGAATGTCCAACCATCAGGTCGTGACCTTAAGCTCAAGTACGAAGGAGCTGTGCAGAAGGACGATGAGTCAAAGCAAACCAGTGAGTCCGATTTTGAATGGCACAGACCGAGAGCTTTCAGTGACCTAGTCAAAGTCCAGACTTTAATTTGATTGAGAGTTTTGTGACTGTCGAGTGAGCCAGAGCTGTTCCACCGTGTTTATTTTCTATCAGCAGTTAAAAGTTTAGGAAGCTGAACACTTTCCCACAGCTGTGTAATAATCGTCTTCACTTGTTTTTCTATATTTCGCTGTGACGACATTTAATCTTGCAATCAAAATTAAAAGGTGGTCATTGCTGTGGAGGAAACTGGACTCTACAAATCACAAGCAAGAGCTCGTTCTTCAGCTTCCAACAGATCCAGGCGGTGATGTCTAATATCATTTCCTTTCCTTATGATTGCGGAGATTAGATTCAGCTGATTTGGCTCCTCGTCGCTCTGAAATAAGATCATGTGCTCATGTTGGGAGTCCAGGGAGCGAGTGTTTATCCCTCTGGGAGGTTCAGTCCAGTTTCCATCCCCCTGCTGCTCCTCTTCTGTTTACTCTAAGTGAACACTGACATTTTTACAAGAGGCAGCGATTCGTCTCGGCATCGCAACATTAAACATCGCCTCCTGACCCGCCAGATCAGATCTAACTTGGGCGATCCGTCGTGGTGTTCCTCGTTTTTCTGCTCGTTAAATCCGAAGTCGTTTCCCGACTTCCTGAAACCGAGGGGAGGCAAAAGTTGGTAGAGGATGCTGAGTCTTACCTTGCGGAGATGAGAGCGGAGCTGGTTGGAGCTGGAGACAGTAATGTCAGATATGCAGCGCTCCGCAAGGCTGGAAACACTGAGGAGGAGACAGGAGGAGCAGAGAGAGAGAGAGAAAGAGGAGGAGGGAAGGAGGGAGGAACATCCCGGAGAGGATTTTAAGAGAGCCAGGATACCAAATTTGTATTTGCTCAGTTTAGCTGTTTATTATCAACTCCACTACGACAAAGCAGAAACAAAACCCATGTTGATGTGGGATCACTCCAGGAGTATCTTTTACTGCAGTTTGCATTTTAATTTAATGTCTCACTACTTTTGAGTCAGATTGCTGGATGCTCTCTCCAGTGTGAAGAACAGACATGTTAAAACTAAACATTCACCAGAAACACAGACCTGCAGACAATCTGGCTTCAAACAATCTTTATTTTGCCTCATTTCCTTTTGTATTTATTTGTACGAATCACTTTCACACAAATACTTTCAGTTAAATAAATGATCATTTTTGATCAGTTACTTCAAATTGCTGTTGTTTCTTGATAGTCTTTTTTAAAAAACTACTTTTATTCTCATCTTGACCCGAGTTTCCTCCTCCTGTCCGCCCGGTAACTAATGGGTCACTGTGTTTGGACCGCACCATTTGTTTGAAGCGTCCCGCTCCATGACGCATCGCAGAGATCCCTGACAACCCGGCCGCAGCTGGACCCTCTCTATTGTCTTCGTCCTCCTGGGACACGCACGGGCGACTCAACAGCTGATGGCACGTCTAAATATACAACCTTGACGATGAGCGCACCGATAAACAGCCCGGGGTTTTGTGGGGTTGTTTTTTTGGTGAGGCCAGGAATCCCGTCGCTTTAAGATTCACGCTCGGCTTAACGCGCCGACCTTTTTCTCGTTTAGAGCCAAACGCACATGTCCTGCACGTGTGAGGAGCCCTGGACAGCGTCGCTGGGAAAGAAAAACTGGAGAGAGAGAGAAAGAGAGGGAGAGTTGGAAAAAGTCCGGAAAAAGTAAAAATAACCCGGACGAGTCTTCTCAGGAAACATCCCAGCTGCCTCTTACGGAGGATCTGTGTGTAAATAGACCGTCAGTCACGTAAAGCGCGGTCGGATTATTGCCGATAATCGCTCACTTCTACCTGTCACACAGATACAGGGGGGAGTGTTTACATCCTTAACAGATTTCTCACTTTAAGTCGAATTGAACTGGCAGTCACCTAGTAAATACTAAATGTAGTTTTGAGAACGTCATTTTTTAAAAAGCAACAAATACGAACCACAACTCCCTAGTTTGAGATGAAAAGCAAAATCCCAACATATTGTGGTGGCAGTGTCATGATGTGGGACTGCTTCCATGCTCTGCCATGTATCCCTGCTCTAAAACTTCTGCTTTTCTTAGTTGAAGTGACAGGACAGTGGTTAGTGATGGAGCCAAGGTGGAGATATTTTAGAGGAACTTCCTGCAATCCGGGTTTAGAGGAGGTGTGAACAGTCTGGTTTAAAAAAAGATAGCAGCCGTAAAAGGTTCAAACGAAAAATAATGACATCCCCCGTCTCCCTCCGACACTGTTTTTCCTTCTAGGTGACAATAAACACAAACCAAAAATCTAGAAATATCTCTGGGATTCCTTTTTAAATCATCGAGCTCTTCCTGTTCCCTGTGACCTTGCAAAGACATTTATTTTTATAGCAGAAAAGTAATTACATAAAGTCTTACCAGGAGGAAAATAGTTTTCCCTTCTCTGTTTTTTTTTCTTTCCTTCTCTTTTCTTTTCTCTTCTTTTCTTCTCTTTTTTCAGTCAGAGCAGCGGCTCTGCTGTGCTGTGCAGCCTTACATGGTGAAATACCACGCAGCTCAGAGCCGGGCTGAAAACAGAGAGGAAAAAGGCAGAAAACTGCAGTCGGCTCAAGAAAACAGACAGCTCCGATAAGGGCCTAGTCAAAGACTGGCACGTTTAATCACCGCTGGTCAAAGTGCAGCTTACATAATGAAAACTAAAGATGTTCTTACTCTGATCTTGTCTTTCTAAATCGGGGAAGTTGTGCTGGATGTTTGCAGAACTCTCAGGAACGTTCTGCCTGTTTCTCTTATGCGTAGTTTGGATGTTCATGCGATTTGGACCTTCACAAAAAATGTTCTTTTTCTTCTGCTTCACAGTGTTTCTGACTTGGGCTTCTAACAACATGCCAACAATTTGTCGCTTTAATCACTCTCAGCTGACTCTTCAATGCAATTTCACAAAGATTGAGTTATGGGACAACTGAATTTCCAAACGTGGGGATTTCTGAAGATGCTTTAAAGTTGAGACAAAGAAGTTTTACTAAAAACAGTGAAGTCCACGTGCATTTTATGGCTTGTAACTTAATGCTCTCCTGCCTGTAGAAACATATCCTGGATCTACATTTGGCAACAATTTGATCACATATGTTTAACCCAAGACTCAAACCAAACTAGCCACTGTTTGATCTTACGCTGAAATGTGTCTCACATCACTACGAAGCCAGTAGTTGTGTCACACTGACAAAGAAATTGACTTTAAATAGTTTCACCAATGCACAACAAAAGCTAAAAGTAACCACTGCATTCTGTGTTCGCAGCACCATTCCAGCACACTCCCACCTGTGTGTTTGCACCGTGCACAACGCTGCAAAAAGCCACTGCTGCTCAAGGTCCAAAATGAAAGCCCACAAAGCCCCGGCACCTGATCTGTGTGGTCCCATCGCTAAAATAATCACCCAAATCCAGGGCCTCCAAAGGACGGCATTCCCCAGTGATGCTTGTCTACGATCAGTCAAATTCACAATGCCCCCAGACCCGGGGGTCCCTAAAAATAATAACGCTAAGCCGGTTCTTAGACACACACTGGGTTCCTCCAAAAATGGAAATCCAGACTCACTGAAAGTATTGGAACTAACCTAAGATAATTTGACAGTATTCCTCATTGTTCCTGTGCGAGAAACAGGACATTTATTTGATGATCCAAAACATTTAAGGAATAAAAACACACAAAAAAGAACCAATCCATAGTTACACTCAAATGCTCTTTTCTGCAAAGTTAATTTAGCTAATAAATCAGAGTATTATTAAGCAGAGTGCCAATGAATCTGCAGCTTTGTTCCTCCAGTGAAGTCAGGGAGGATTACAGGAAGCATGCTGCACACAGCCCAGGAGACTAACAATGTAACTAGCTGCTCTTATCGGTGGCCTTCAGTGGGCATTCTTTCCACTGATACAGTATTGTCATCACATCAGGCCTATTAAAAGACTCCCTATTCTCAACAGCTGCTTTAAAACACAACAAGGCAGCCTGGATAATACCAGACGCTCTCAATCTGGAGTTACTTTGAGTTTAGAAGTTGTTGCTTCACGTACGGACTCGCTTGGGAACTGTAGAACCTCCTAATGCAGACATGAAGGTAACCTTCATGGTAATCATGGTAGGATTATGATGGTGCGTTCGTGTTGGTAAACCAATCTGCATATCTTGCAAACACACTTTCAAAATGCCAACTTAAAAGTCACCAGTTTATTGGAACTTTACAGTTCCAATAAACTGTAAAGACGCTGGTTTCAATAGACAGTGTGAAATCTACATAGTATAATCTATTCACCATGATGTTTCCTCTCCTCAAATGCATCAAAATCTGAAATCTAGACAACATAAACAGCTAGAACTGCTGAACCACATTTGTTGTAGTGTTCAAAATACCACCAATACATCCACTTTCTCCAGATCTCCCCAGTGGGACTGTCTGGTTTACTCTGGAGGATCTCAGCACATTCCCAGGCCAGAAGCAACATATAAATTTGACCAGCGAGTTAAAGGTCTGCCTTTGGGTCTTCTCCCACTGGGCCATTCCCAGAAAACCTCCAAAAGAAGACATGTTTTGTGTCAAGACCGTATAAGGGATGGTGAGGAAACGTAGAAGCAATAAATCAAGACAATCGATTCTTTTCTTGGCTTGTTCTTTAGTATCACAGACTGCATCAGACAAGAGCCCAAACTGTCTCCAACTCTTCTCAACCATCACTCAACAACAAGACACTCAGACTCTCCATCTTGAGGGAGAGACTAACCCGAATAGAGAAGCACTCCTTCCGGCAATCTGACACCGTGGCCTCAGTCTTTCACCCATCAGGTTACATTAGAGGTGCAGAGCTTTAGGAATGTTACTGTTGAGTCTTGCTTCCTGCTATTCACTCACCACTCTCCCCAAACTTTCTCTGTCACTGAGATCTTCATCAGGTGAAAGTTCATCCAAGAGGCCGGATGCGTTACTGGAAAGCCGCCATGCCTGAAGATAATAGTGAGACTCTGGTGCAATAACAGATGCATATCATGAAATAATAGGAGTTTATTTGTTAATAGGACTTGAACAGGTGGAAAGAGACCAGCGGGGAGGATCGACTAATGTTGACGCTTCAATGGAAGGTAAGTGGTTTACCTTTGAACCAATTTTGCAGGTGAGGAGATGGCGGTGCGGTTCTTACGGTCCAAAGAGCGAAAAGCTGGATGAAGGAGTAAGTGAGTTTGAGTAAGATTGAGTTCAGCAGAGAGGTGACCAAGTTAACTGGTCGGTTATTTTCCTGTTTCAGGTCCTAGCCAGTGGTGATGGTGAACTTTGGACAGTGGACTGGCACAGGAGGAGCTTCTTGGTGAATCCTGAGCGGTGAGACAAGCGAACACCTTACCGTTACTTTGATTCCTGTAAATGAGTTGTGCCCAAAGTCCGTCCTGGAGGGCTGGCATCCTGCATGTTTTAGTTCTGGTTTAACACCCCTGGATGAAATGATGGCTTGTTAGACGACCTAAGAAGAACATTGACATGCTTAAAAGGTTGTTACTACTAACAGGACAGATCTAGAACATGCAGGATCTCGGCCCTCCAGGGACAGCAGGACTTTGGGAACCCCTGCTGTGAATGATTTATTATCTGTTTGCTATGAGCATTTGAAAACAAAGTCAAATTTCCTGTTTGTGAGCAATGTTTTCTCTCATCTGATGAATGCCAGACCCTATCATGTTTTGTTTCCCAATAGATTAGCAGAGCTACTAATTAAGTTATTAGTAGCTATGAGGATGTTGCTGGTTACAAGTTCTCTTTCTTCTGACTTTGCTTTGCTAACCCTGAGTCCTGCATCCTGAGAATAAGTAACAAAAGCAGCAGATATAAATGTATCTATCGGGTCTCCAGTTCGACACAGGACATAAAGACGTATCTTTAGTCACCGTCTTTGATATTCCTCCAGTCTCCAGTCTCCTTTTTGAATTTTACTTATTCCTCCTCTTAATGTTCTGACTGTAACTTTTCCTCAAAGAAACCTTTGTTAATGAAGAACCTTTCTGTTCATCACAGCTGATCCAAGACTGAGAGTGTTTGACGTAACACACATCAAATATCTGATTTATTGATGTTATTCAGAGCTGTGTGATTTGATCAACAGCTCTCTAAGAGCTCTGGTTGGCTGTTCACAGCAAGACGAAGGAGCACGATTGGACGATTGGGTGTCTGAAGGGTTTGTGGGGAGTCTTTGACTTATGTTTGGACGAGTTGGACTGGACCAGTGGAAAAATATCTGATCTATTTATAAAGGCCCATTTAACTGAAATGGGTCATCTGTGGCCAGCATAAGAACACAGTCCACATGTCGACCTCCGTAACAAATACGTTTGACATAATGCCATACAATCATCACAGATTGTCCCAGAGATTTTTCTTTACGCTTTGATTTTCACATCCATTATTCCTCTGGCCTGCTTGGACTTTTTCAAAAAATCTTTTTGTATATTTTGGCTCATTTCAACCATAAACCTCCACATATTTTAATGGGACTTTAGCAGGTGGGTTGTGTTTAACTGTGATGTCGAAGAAAAACAACTTTTTGTTTTCAAATGTGAAAACAAAAACCTGAAAAGTGTGGCCTGCAGTTGTATTCATTCGTGCCCCTAAATCAAATGCAAAGCAACTAGTTTCCTTCGCCAGTCACTTTATTTACTTTATTCCCAGTTTGCAGTTTTAAAGAAACCATATAAGGGACAAAGTAAATATGTAAATGCTAAATTTTATAATCTGAAGTCCTTGTTGTAAAGCAAAGCAAGTTTCTGCTTTGTGCTGCACTTAATTTCTAAGTGGAGGGATCCGGGTTATTGTTTGGAACGTCTTAACTGCATGCAGAGGTGGTGAAACAGCGCCACCCTGAGGAGACTAATATGAACTGTGTTGGTATTTAAGGTGACGTCAACTTTTTGTTGCTTTTTTTGGTTTTCTGTTAAATGTATCTTTATGTTAAATCATAATATGATGTGTCATTTACTGTAGTTCTCTCAACCCTTATGATCACACTTTACTCAGTACAAGATGGTGCGACAACAGTCCAACACTAATATGAGTCTAAGTAGCAGTATGTCTTTTGATACATTTGATATTTGAGCAAATAGCAACACAAAAATCATATTTGTCATTAGAGGTTATTAATGGGTGGCTTCATTTTTCTTGATGAAGATGCCCTCTCTCAAATTTCATCCAAAAATGACAACAACTCCATTTTCTTAGAATCATCTTTGAGAAACTTGGAAAAGTTTCTGCAACCTGCAGGTTGGTCAATTCACAAATTGACAGCAATGAGTAAAAATAAAACAAATGAAGCAGAAAAAGAATGAAAGAAAAAGATTGAAGAACGATAGCATAACCTTTTGTCAGAAGAGTTTCCAGGATGGTCCAAATTTGGACTTCCTTTGTGAAATCGCACCATTTATATCGAACAGAGTAGAAATGGAAATGTTCTTAATTGTCCCTCAGTGGGGGAATAAATCAATATAATGGATTTGAATCAAACTAAACAGAGATGTTATTATCCGTGATGCTTAATGAGGCTGGAAAAGAAAAAAAACTGAGATAAAGAAAGAGAAAATATCTATTTTTTTCATGGGTTTTTTTTACAGATCAACACAGAGAGAAAAAACAGGCTCCACATCTGCTGGCCTGGTTTAAGCTGTGAAACCACAAGCAGATAACCTCTAGCTGTCACTTGCAAGGGTGTGAAAAGTCTCCCTTCTCGGTGGGACAATGTAACACGCGATGCCACAGTTTGCAACCACTCCATTTTGAGATATAAGGCAGGTAAAGTCACTGTAATTCAACTTTTATCTGAATATTGTAAGCACAATAATTGTTTTTTGACAACTCTGATCATTCCTAGTGTGAAGATAAAGCGCCTGGGGTCAACCTTTGCTTTCTTCTAAAAGTTCATGTTGATGCCTGCTAAAACATGCTTGTTGATGCATGTTTTCCTCTTTAAGACACCAGAGGAAGTGTGCATTGTAAAAAAAAAAAAAAAAAAAAGAGATATGAGCATCGCATCACACGTCTGTGGCAAAACAGGAAATAACCTCGATGTTGGAAAGTTCTGCTCAAAGCGATGAGGACGATGAAGACGATGGCCTCGCTGCTGAGCGTCTGTGTGTTTCTGCTCTGCTGCTCCGCCGCCGCCACCGCCTCCCAAGGTATGAAATATTGGACTTTATGATGAGAATTTACAGAAGTGGACCACGTCATGTGATCCACTTCACCATAATGAGTTTATTTCTCTCACTTCATGTTTTTATCTGCAGATCTTTGCTCCGATGCGTCTCTAAAGCAAATTCAGTTTAGTGAACCCATCAAAACCGAACTGAACTGTAGCTTTTAAAAAAGTAATTATATCGCAAGACAATAGGTAACATTAAAAAAAAAAACTGATATTTTTATTTTATTTGAACAATTGAATGGTTACGTAATTAAACACTTTCAGTTCACAAATATGAATAAGACGTTTCCTGTGAGTTGATGTGGTCTCCAGGTGTTGAGATCAAAAGACTTATTTTTTTCTCAATTTATTTCAAGACTTTCATAATTTTGATGGTTTCACGCGTTTATCTAACAGCTTAGATAATATTTATCTAAGCTGAAATTTGATCCCTGGCTGTGCAGCAGATTCATCTTTTTCTTAAAGAAACAATTTTTGCGGGGGAAATTAATGAAATCGTGAGCATTAATTTCACATTTTGTTCCCGCCTTTACTGTCTTTCATATTCTGCAAAATTTTACTGAGACGCACACAAATCAGATAGGTTGCAAATTTGAAACCAGAATTGTGCAGCGACGTCGATGCATATGATTATGATCACTCTCGACTTTCAACTCAGATCTTTTGAATCTTCCTTTTCTTGAGTCTCACATATCGCTTTTCGTTTTCAGCATGAACGTTTTGCAATTTCATCCACTTTGGAAAACAGAAAAAAATTCTAATTCCTTCAGTAAATAAGAGTTTTAAACCCGTGTCAAAATGCTCTGACTTTGAGCGTAGGCGGGTTTTATTTCCACCAGGCCCACATCAAACGTTGCAGATGTGAAGAATCAAAGTCAATTGCAGAAAGTTTGTGTTGATCTTTAAATTCGATTTCTAAAATATAATCCTTACTTTGCTGTGGACACTGGATACCAGTAATGCAACATTTTGGCGTTGAACGAAACAGAATTGATGTTTCTGTTATAGATCACATTAAATAAATTGTTTTTTATTCAGTTTTCATGTTATGAAGTGTTTAGTGGAACAAATGACAGAGAGGAGAGCTGAATCATATCAGTGTTTTGTTTTTCAGACCTGGTTGAAACCTGATTTTACTTTCGTTCTTCTTTCTGTTTTAAAGGATGCAGCCATTTTGTTGCAACAAGCTAAAGCGTCATTTTTTCTCTAGGATACAAACTGAAGTCGACTGATGAACTGACTCTGCTGTTTTCCTCATCCAAAGGTTGTGACCAGTTTGTTGCAGTGGGTGGAAACTTCGATGTTCCTCTGGGATACCAACTAAAAACTACTGATAAAATTCTGAAGTGGAAATTTGATGGCAAGATAATAGTTTATAAAAAACCAGAACAATTTATTACAGGTAAAAATGATATTAATGACGATGGATCCCTCAAACTTACAAATCTGAATATGGATCATGAAGGATGTTACACCAGTGAGGTTTTTGATAGGAATGGAAAAGAACTGGCCTCAAAGAGCACAAGAGTATGTGTACTAGGTAAGTATATAATTGGTTACATATTCCTCATTGAGTCAACGATAATCTCCATTTGTTCTTTTTCATTGCCTAGTTATTAAAGGACTTTAACTTCTCATCGGTTCATGTCACTGTGATTCCTGAAGCGGTCAAACATGAGCCGCTCACGTTATTCATTTTACGATGTCTCTGTTATTAATGCGTCATGTTTGAACCCACTCAGACCCCGTGATGAAGCCCACATTGAATATAACCTGTCAGGCCTCAGAGGTCGTCTTTACCTGCAGCCATAATCCGGTAAGGGCAATTTTTTGTTTTTATTAAGGAAAAAAAATAAAAACCTGGATAGAGCAGTATGGGATTCTTTCAGGTCTTTTTTTACATAACCTTAGAGAGCTTTAATAATCCAATTAGATAGTAATAGAAAATAATGCAGTAAATATAACATCTTGAGACATTTTTACCATTTCATGTTTGCAAAAATAGAATAATAGATTAAAATACAAATAACATATTTTTCTGATTATTCTTTATGATTTTCTAATCTTTTTTTTTTTTTTTTTTTTTTTACATTTTCATTATTCTTTTTATCAGCAACCTGATGATCGAAAATATGACACCATAAATTACAAATGGTTCCAAAATGACAGTATGATAAGCAACAGAACAGAAATCTCCATGAAAAGAAAAGTTGCAGAAACTAAAAACCTGCCTGTTTCCTGTGAAGTTGGTAACAAAGTCAGCTCTGCAAGAAGTGACTCTTTGACTCACACCTGCATCGGTAAGAATATCAGCACCACTGATATGAAAAACTAGTAGCACATTTTGAAGTAAATTAATCTTCCATCCTGAGTTTGATCCATCAAAGTTAACTTGATTTCCCTGTTTGTTGTGAAATGAAGTTAGTAAAGAAGCTTCCTGTCTTGTTTGTCAGGATTAACATTTCTCACCAATCTAAAATGTATTTTTTTTTTTTTATCTAATTGCACTAGAACCTGTGAAAAGGCCTGGAATAAATGGAACATGTAAAGATTCAGAGCTCATCCTTACCTGCCTTGCAGCTCAGGTGAGATTTTACACTCTCAAGTTATTTCTTCTCATTTAATTCAAGTTGCATTTCAACCTGAAGTGTTTCCCCTGTTCAGCCTGACCCTCCTCTAACCCCTGAGGGTCTCTTAACCACATTTTGACCTCGTTCTCCCGCAGCAGCCTGATGACGCGCAGTACAAGTGGCTGCGGGACGGTGAAGTCGTCATCAACGAAACAAAAACCTCCCTGACTATAAACTCTGCAGAAAGCAAAAACAGAAATTTCTCATGTGAAGTTTACAACCAGGCCAGTTCTGAAAAAAGTGACTATTTTAGTCATTACTGTGGTGCCTCTAGTAAGTATATACAGCATGTATTACATTATTAATGTAGCTAATAGCCTTTTCTGCGTCTATAAGTTGGAATATTTACAATAGTAAACCATGTTACATTAAAATGAAGCGTGTTTCTAATTTTATACTTTTATCTAAGCTTTCCTAGACATCCTAGAGGAGCTCCTTGGAGATGACATGTGGTTTTATATTGCTGGTGCAGCAGGTCTGTTTCACTGAAACGCACTCAAATCAACCTCAACTTGTATAAGTCATATATTTTTATTCATGCATCTGATTTTTTTGTGTGTTTTCTTCTGTTTTAGGTCTTTTACTTCTGATCATCATCCTCATCATTGTGTGTTGCATTCGATGTAAGAAGAAAAGAGGGAAGAACGGTAAAGTGTTTATTTATCTGAATTCAAAGTTCAAACTCTCTCAATTAATGCAGATTTATTAAAATCATCTTAAGATGATTTGATTAATCCACCATCACTGCTTCCTATTCATTTCTGATATTAAATCTCTGGAGTACCCCCAGGCTTACTGCTCGGCCCACTTTCATTGTTTGCTCTCAGTAAATGCAAAATTAAACAAAAGATAAAAGTTTGCATTTTTTCATAAAGTCTGTGGGAGTTCAATCACAGTAAATCTTATTAGAAATTAAAATATAGGTTTAAATTTATGAAAGCAAATGTGGCAAGTCTGAAAATTAAGAACATGTTGGCCTCACTGACTATTCTGGCTGAACAATATGTCTCCCTTCTGGTTTGATCAATGAAAGTTGATCAAATCATTAATATTCATCATGTCAGACTGGAAAATAAAAGCTCCTTCCTCTGCCTGCTGATTAACACCTGCTGCTGTTTTCTGACCAGATGAGGCGGAGCTTCAGTACCAAGCAGGACAGTCTTCATCAGCAGCGTACTGCACTCATTGATCATCCTCCTCTTCAACACCATCACCAGGAAGCTGCAGCTCTTTACAAACATTTCCATAATTTTATATTTTTTTAAAATCTGTATTACTTGAGTCAAGCATTTCCTGCAGTTTGCTAAACTTTTGACCCGATTCTCCTGTTGAAGATAATTTTTTCTTATTTTTCTGGCATTTAGTGGAGTGGAAAGTGTTTTTATGACGTAAATGTATCTCGGTTCAAACTATGCATATGTTTACATATATATCTATATATATTTTTTTGTGAAGACCCCAGCTTCTCTAGCTGTGTAGCTTGTTCTGCTAATGAACAGACTGCAGGCTTCTTTATCATTTTTTTAAACTCGTATCATTTTGTGTTATGAATATTTGTAATTCATTGAAGACAGTGTTACAGATTTCTGAATATTTCATTTTTTCTTTATTTAGCTGTAAGCTTTGATCATCAAACTATGTGTGAAAATCACTTTGTGTGCAAAATATTCTGTTTTTATTCTTAATTATTCAAACTAGTTTCACGACGATGACGGATTGAGGTCTCTGTTAGCTTGTGTCGCAATAAATAAAACCAAAAGTAAACTTGTAATTCATTGAAATGCTGTCAAAATCCTCCAACTCAGTGCATTTAGTGAACATATGTCAGTGCTGCCATTTTGATAGAAGCAGCTAGAGAGCTAAAAAGTCTTTTGATATTTTTTTCAGACTTTACTCAGTTGAGAAAATGTTGAGAAAGTCGGAGAAACAGAACCAGTGCTGACGAGGAGGTTTGGGTTCTGGCTACATAACATGATTCTCCATGGAAAGCAGAAGAGGATCGCTACCGAGATCGGGAAAAAAAGCTGTTTGTAGTAATTTTTCTGACCTGTGGCAAATGTGATATTTCACAAGGCAGCAGCATCAGAAATCCTTCCTCCCTCTGTAACCATCACCATTCCTGTAAAACTCTGTTTATTAGCAGGTTTTTTTTTAACTTCTAGGAAACAGTCTGGTTATTTTTGCACCAGTGTTTTTGCTGTCTGAGCATTTCAGATGATGACTTTTCAGGCATGAAAACCACAAAACTTTTCACCTGAGAACATTTCCGCTTTCTTTGATGTTTATTCGACTATTGAATTGGTTTTTCTTTTCCAAAAACTTAATCAAGTTGCAACCAAGAAGTGGTTGATGAGGAGAATTATTGAAACGTTTTTTTTTTTTGATCTTTTGCGCTGAGGGAAGAATTTATGTCAACCCACAGGAAGTGGTGAGAAATGTGCAATGTAAATAGACCTAAAGTCGTGTTTTGAAATGCTTTTCTAATGAGTTCTGAGTGTAGATTGATGGTAGTTGCAAATAAATAGACTTTCATTTCTGGCAATTTTATTTTGTTGAGAGGATGATGTCATTATTAACGCTGTCGGACTGTAATTTTTGTGCTGCTCTATGTTTGTACTGCATTCAAATTGTGGCTTTGTGTCCCACTTCCACTCAAAACCAAGAGCTGGCGCATATAAATGGTCGCGGCAGGAAATGTTCTTGACGATGGCAAGTTGTTCTGTCGAGTCCAGTGTGAAGAAGATGGCATCGGACTCTGTGCTGTGTGTGTTTCTGCTCTGCTGCTCTGCCGTCGCCTCCCAAGGTACCGATCAGTTCCATAAATCCTTTTAGAGTGTTAATACCAGCGGACATGACATGTAGGTTTCATACTAAATAATTGATATATCTTAAAATTTCTACAATTTTAATTGAAGTCTGGTCCAACTTTTACCACCACTTTGACTTTTCTTGTATAGAACTGATGACAGTAAATTATTGCTAGACTGTGAGGTACCACCTATAAAATGTTCATCTTCTCTTCACCCTGCTCTTCTTCCGCTGTTTTATTTTCCTTTGTGATCCACAGATTGTGACCAGTTTGCTGCAGGGGGTGGAAACTTCATTATTCCTCTGGGATACCAACTAAAACCTACTGACACTCTGAAGTGGAAGTTAAATGGCAGCATAATATTTGATAAAAAACCAGGAAGGATAGCAACTGGGAGAGAAAGTGACATTAATTCAAACGGATCCCTTCAACTAATAAACCTGTCAGCGAACCAAGCAGGACTTTATACCGCTGATGTTTTTGACGAAAATGGAAAATTACTGATCCAGAAAAGCACAAACCTGTGTGTACTGGGTAGGAACAAAATCACTTCCAGTTTCACATTATTGATCTGTTTGGATCTTTTCTTTGTTTCTGACTCTTGACTTTTTCATCCACAGATTGTGACCAGTTTGCTGCAGCAGACAGAGACTTCATTGTTCCTCTGGGACACCAATTAAAACCTACTGATACTCTGAAGTGGGAGTTTAATGGACACACAATATTTCATAAAACATCTGCAGAGGTAGTTATTGGTAGAACAGATGATATAAATGAAGATGGTTCCCTTAAACTGATGAATCTGAGAATGAGCAAACAGGACGCTACACCTCGGAGGTTTCTGATGGAACCAGGAAAGCAAGAACCATGAAGGAAACAAATCTCTGTGTGCTGGGTACGTACAAAATGTCTGATCTGTTTGTCACGGTTTCTATATTTCCTCAATAACAATCAAACCTCATCAGATCCTGTGAAGAAGCCTCAAGTAAATGCAACATGTCAGGATGAAAATGTGAAGTTTCACTGCTTTCTTGGTGCAGTAAGTATTTATTTTCACGTCTCTTTCACCAAAATACCACAAGGAACCGATTTGTTTTTTATTTCTGTTTTCCTCCAGCAACCTGTGGATGTGAAGTATGAGTGGCTCCAAAACGGAGGCAAGATGAAGGAAAGTCATTTGACTTTTGAAATGAAAGCAGCAGAAACTAAAGACGACAAATTTGTTTGCAAAGTTTTCAACGAAGCCAGTTCTGAAACCAGTGAGCCTGTTTCTCATAGCTGTGCTAAAATAAGTAAGTATGTTGTGGTAACCAGAGCACAATGGGCTCCACAGTAACTGCTGCTTGAAACCAGTCATTTCTTTTTAAAAAATATGTTGATTATAAATGCTCACAAATAAATAATGTTAATTTTCTGTCCCTCATGGTCATAACTTTATTTTTCATGTGTTTTCCTCCATCCCAGATCTTCCTAGTGTTTGGAACATTGTTGGTGGTGGAGGAGGTCTGTATTAAACATCCTTTAAATTCATTTTTGACTTTAAAAATAGTTTATTCTTTACGTCTAGTTACATCTAAATTAAATATCTCCTATTTCAGCTCCTATGTGCAAATTGTTTCCATACTCTTAATATTCAGCTGTTTTCTTTGTATGTTTACAATTTTAATTGAAATCTGGTCCAACTTTTACCACCACTTTGACTTTTCTTGTATAGAACTGATGACAGTAAATTATTGCTCAACTGTGAGGTACCACCTATAAAATGTTCCTCTTCTCTTCACCCTGCTCTTCTTCCGCTGCTTTATTTTCTTTCTGATCCACAGATTGTGACCAGTTTGCTGCAGGGGGTGGAAACTTCATTATTCCTCTGGGATACCAACTAAAACCTACTGATACTCTGAAGTGGAAGTTAAATGGCAGCATAATATTTGATAAAAAACAAGAAAGGATAGCAACTGGGAGAGAAAGTGACATTAATTCAGACGGATCCCTTCAACTAATAAACCTGTTGGAGAACCAAGCAGGACATTATACCGCTGATGTTTTTGACGAAAATGGAAAATTACTGATCCAGAAAAGCACAAACCTGTGTACTGGGTAGGAACAAAATCACTTCCAGTTTCACATTATTGATCTGTTTGGATCTTTTCTTTGTTTCTGACTCTTGACTTTTTCATCCACAGATTGTGACCAGTTTGCTGCAGCAGACAGAGACTTCATTGTTCCTCTGGGACACCAATTAAAACCTACTGATACTCTGAAGTGGGAGTTTAATGGACACCAATATTTCATAAAACATCTGCAGTGGTAGTTATTGGTAAAACAGATGATATAAATGAAGATGGTTCCCTTAAACTGATGAATCTGAGAATGAGCCAAACGGGACGCTACACCTCGGAGGTTTCTGATGGAACCAGGAAAGCAAGAACCATGAAGGAAACAAATCTCTGTGTGCTGGGTACGTACAAAATGTCTGATCTGTTTGTCACGGTTTCTATATTTCCTCAATAACAATCAAACCTCATCAGATCCTGTGAAGAAGCCTCAAGTAAATGCAACATGTCAGGATGGAAACGTGAAGTTTCACTGCTTTCTTGGTGCAGTAAGTATTTATTTTCACGTCTCTTTCACCAAAATACCACAAGAGTCATGCTTAGTCTGTTATGTTCCTCTTCTCTCTAAACCAGTTATTTCTGTCTCACGTGGCCCTGTCAAAGTAAAGGTCACAGTAAATCATAGCAATGTTATAGAGTTTGGCTGCACTGAGGTTGAGGTAATTGATCCTGAACAGGTTTTTGTAACATAACACAATGCACTTCATAATATGTTAAATTTCCAAATAGTGTTTTATTTCTGTTTTCCTCCAGCAACCTGTGGATGTGAAGTACGAGTGGCTTTTGAATGGAGCCAAGTTGCAGGAAAGTAATTTGACTTTTGAGATAAAAGCAGCAGAAACTAAAGACGGCAAATTTGTTTGCAAAGTTTTCAACGAAGCCAGTTCTGAAACCAGTGAGCCTGTCGCTAATAATTGTGCTAAAATAGGTCAGTATTTATATTGTGGTCATTATGGCTTAAATCTGCACAAGCTTCAGCTAATAACTGCTGTCTAAAACACAACGGAATATCAATGACCTTCCTAGCAAAGTTTATTGATTCTTTTGGTTACTTCTTGTTTTTTAAAGGTTTCCCAGAAGAATTGCATGAAAATCGTTTCTGGATTCTCCATGGATTCAGAGTCGGTATGTTTTTAAATTGACATAAATACATAAAATGCACTAAAATGTCCATAAATCATTAACATTTGTGTCTCTAGTTGTTGTTGTTCTGCTGATCGTCACCGTTACTGTTTGCTGTGTCCGAGTTAAAAGGAAAAGGAAGAAGCAACTGATAAGTAATTTATTTCATTTTATTGATCAGTGATTAAGAATAATAACTTTGTAGATTGAAGGTGAACTTATTAGAAGCAGCTGAAATTATCTTAAAGATCGATGAAGAAATGAATTACAATCATAACTGTTTCAAATAATGTCTTCACAAATAACTATCTAAATATTTGGCTTTGACTCCTGATTCCTGTCTGTCTTTAATCACTGAACAGACGATGTTGAGCTTCCTCTGAAGCAGACAGACACCGAGCAGCCATCATCATCATCATCATCATCATCACCGTCTTCCTCCTCTTTCTAACCATCATCCTCCTCATCACCACCAACCAGGAGCCAAACGAGATTTCTATTCACTCAGGATCTATACTTTAAAGACTCTCAGACAAATAATTTTGTCCTTGTACGATTGAAATGAGCAATAAAGTGTAAGGAATGAAATGTAAAAGCAAATAAAAATACTTGGTGTTCTATCAAAGCAGAAATGGAGCCTTTTGGATCACTTCCTTTCTCAACTAACAGTGTCACTGACAAGATAGAAGTGAGCTGAAACAGGAAATGAACTCAGTGAGGGAAAGTTCTCCGGCCAAATGTGACAATGAAGGCAACAGCGTCTCTCTCTGTCGTCGCCGTGTGTTTGCTCTGCTGCTCGGCCGTCGCCTCACAAGGTACCAGTCTGATATTAAAAACTCTGAGTCCCTCGTCTCCATCTGCAGGTATTTGTTCAAATTTAATGTCATTCAGCTGCTGAAGACGTGAAGCTCGAGAAAAAGTTCTGACTCGGTCAACTTCCTGCAGTTTCTGTGAAGTTAAACTCATGGAAATCCGTAAATCAAAAGGACACAAATCCAAACCTGCATGTGAATTGTTTCCTTATTTTCATAACGCAGATGATTCATGTCTATTTTCACATTTATTTTGTCTTGACAAAACCAGGAACAAGTCCTGCCAGTGATCTACTTATAGATTCTGAAAATGATGTCAAACGCAAAGCAGTAAATAATAATAATAATGATGATGATAATAATAATAATGATGATATTGGTGAGAAAACAGGCCTCAAAGTTTTGTCCTTACAAACATTCATCTCATTGGCTGAAACCAGAAACAGAACCATGTGATCAGCCAATGAAACGCGGTTTTTTAACCAGCTGTGAGTTTTTCTCACACTCTGAAACCGATCAAATGTACAAACTGAATCCAAATATAAAACTTACCAACACAAAATGTCTGAAACTGATATTTAAAACTATTTTAGCAGCAGCTTAACAACTTTAACTAATAAACTTTGCAATAAAGGAAAATCATTATTTCCTCAGAAATTAGTGTTTTTTTACCATTTTTCTTTGTTTCTGGTAACTTTTTCCATTCAGTACCACAGTTTCTTAACTCAAACTCAATCAGTGTTTTTCATGCTTTATTAAACTTTATTGGTAGAGATGATTCTTGTCTGCCATCTAGTGTCCAAAATCAAACAATCTTTTCTTTTTTTCTGATCCACAGATTGTGACCAGTTTGCTGCAGTGGGTGGAAACTTCATAGTTCCTCTGGGATACCAAGTAAAACCTCCTGATACTCTGAGGTGGACGTTAAATGGCAGCTTAATATTTTATAAAAGATCAGTGATGCTAATTACAGGTAACAATGATGATATTAATCAAGATGGCTCCCTGAAACTGACAAATCTGCAGAAGGACCAAGCAGGACTCTACTCTGCTGAGGTTTTTGATCGAAGTGGAAGACCGCAGGCCACCAGGAAAACAAATCTATGTGTGCTGGGTAAGTACAACAACATTTCTATATAGCTTTCTGAACATCTGGTCACGTTTGAAATCTTTTTTTTTCTTTATTTCCTCACTATTGTTGTACAAATAGTAAATTATTGAGTTCTCGTCAGGCTGTCGATCCACCAGAAGATGTTAAACGCCTGCAGAATATCAGTATATTATCCTTCATATGGTTATGATGTGTTTGATCTCATTGGACGTTCTCAGATCCTGTGAAGAAGCCTGAAGTAAAAGCAACATGTCAGGATGGAAATGTGATCTTTCATTGTGTTTCTGGGGAGGTAAGACTTTGGTTTTACATCTTTCTATCTACTAACTACAGGACTTTCTGTGGAGCTTTTAATGTTTCTAAAAATCCAGACAGTTTCTAGATCGATTCCTGAACATTCTTTATTCCTAAACATGTCAAATACTCTGCCGTATTTAAAATGCAAAATCATCATCTCACATGGCCCTGTGAAAGTAAAAACCACAGGAAATGATATAAATACCTATCAAATATATCATCGACTAATTTTCACCCTGGTTTCCGTTTTGAGCTGCGTTTTAATTTCCCTGTAGCAACCTGCTGATGGCGAGCATCAGTGGCTGCAGAACGGCGTCGCGATGAAGGAAAACAGACTGTCGTTTGAAACCAAAGCAGAAGAAACCAAAGGAGCCAAATTTGTCTGCAGAGTCTCCAACAGATTGAGTTCTGAAACCAGCGAGCCTGTCATTCATAACTGTGCACAGACGGGTAGGCATGTTGTCTTCACCGTGGCGAATAGCTGCTGTTTGATGGCATAATCAAAACTTCCCCTCAAATTATGTGGATTGAAAAGTTTCCACATGTTGTGTTTTTAAAGGATCTCCAGATGGAATAAATATCTGGGTTTTAACTGGTGCCAGAGTTGGTATGTTTGTAGATTTAATTTCAGTTTATATGCATCATATATATTTTTGATAGTACAATCTCTGATGTTTTTTGCTGTTGTTTTTCCAGGTTTCATTGTCGTGCTGACCGTCCTCGTCTCTGTTTGTTTTGTCCGAGTTGAAAGGAAAATGACGACGGGACTGAAAGGTGATGTGTTTTTATTTTTCAGGTTTAAAAAATAGGTTGTTGAAAGTAAGAACGTCTTGGAAAACATATTAGAGTCCTTTTAAATACCTCTATCTACTGTTCTCTATCAATGACCAGATCAAACTTTTGGAAATCCCCAAGGCTCCATGTTCGGCCTCCTTCTATTTCTACTTTATTGTCAAACCTGCATTGATAAGTCTGGCCATTGCTACTCCTCTCAATTCAAATCGCATGTCACAGCTCAGTCTGGGCTTTCTCCCATTGACTTGGATTCCCTCCAGTAGAACTTTAACTGGGCCAATCAACAAACAGAAGAAGTGGCTGACAATGATGTCAGTTTTCTGCACTGTTTTAGAATAGAAGAAAAGGTTAAATTGTTTTGCTAATGTAAATTATGCAGCCAAGGAGTAAAATCAATATGTTTTTATTGTTATTATTTAGAACACGTTGCTGTATGCTCAGTTTTCTTCAGCTTTGCATCCTAATTTATATCTGATTTTTCATCTTTTAGCTGATGAGGCTCAGCTTCCTTTGCAGCGGATCGATACAGATCATCACAGTCATGATCCTCATATTTCTCCTCTTCAGTCTCTTCACCTCCAGTCTTGAGCCAATGTTTTTTTGTTTTACATATTTTTTTCCTGTCTCTGATTTGACTTTTTGCAAAAATCAAATCAGACTTTGTGTCGCCCGCCATCTTAACGTTTTAGGAACTACAATGTGGAAGCATTAAAACTCATTGCAGTTTGTGACCTTGACTGATTTGAAAATCTTTTCAAGAGTTTTAAGCAGTTCTATCAGTTTTATCATTTAGGATGTAGAAACACAAAATATGTTTCTGCAAACTGTTTATTCTTTAGTGAAGCTACCATGTGGATGCTTCAAAAGTAAATGATGTAACAATAAAATAATATTTCAATTGATTTTTTGGGGGGTTATCATGTCTTGAACAACCTTGTTGCTGAAATCTGCTGCACATGAACTTCACTAATAGATTAAAAACAAAAAAAAAATGAATTTTACTAACTCAACATTTCATACATGTCACTCACTGTTTATATCCTTATTGTATCAATAAACATTTTGTTTGAACGGCTACATAAATGTTTGTTTATGTTTTTATATTACAGTAAAAGCTCATTTACTCCACCCTGGCGGGCTGGTTCGCCCTGGGCCCCAAACAGGCTAGGACCGCCTCTGTGTGCAGAAACACTTTATTATTGTGAAGTTCTGCTCATGATTTTCAACCTGCAAGATAAAGAGAGGAACAAGAATCTACTGTATCTTAACTATGTGGCCATAAATAAGGAAGTTTTGTAAAATTTTGATGCCAATCTTGGTTCTCATGAAGGTCAGAACCCCAAAGGAGCTTTAATAGATTATAATGAAGATTTTGAAGTCAACAACACCTACAGGCTTCTTTCCGAGCATCGTTTCTTTGGTGGCTGCAGGTCGATGATGTCATTTTTGAATCTGTATGACAGTATTTATATTTAGTCAATGAGGAAAGAGAAGTATATAAAGGCGCACGCCTCTTCTTCTAAAAATGACATTTCCTATTCGCTGTCTTTGTTCTCGCTGGTTGGAAAGTAGACCAGTGGGGCCTCTTGGATCACTTCCTTTCTAAACTAAGAGTTCATGCCGCGCGACGTGAGCGATACGAGCCGCTGTGACAGGAAATAACCTCGATGATGGAAAGTTCTTCTTTTCAGCTAAGTGTGAGGAGGACGACGATGAAGATGGCATGGCTTTCTGTCGCCTCGGTGTTTCTCCTCTGCTGCTCCGCCGTCGCCTCCCAAGGTACAAAACTAATGAAGAAATCACTTTTCACTGCTGGAAGGGGAAGATGAAACATTTGTTTTAAGGATAATGTTTAATTTCAGCAGTTTGTTCTCAGTTATAGGAATTCTAGACCTTTAACCTCTTTGGTTTTTTCACGTTTTCTGATGCAGATATTTGCTCTGTTACGCGTCTAAAACAGATTAATTCACTTGTTATGTTTTCATCTGTTTGTGTTTAGGTTTTCAAGTGAAGAGATGAAACTTTTGTGCAAAATGTATTACATTGGAATGATAGAAAACTAGTAGAAAATGTGTATCCCTCAATTGAGGCAGGTCAACAAAGTGATTTTTATTCTGATTTTTCAGCTTTTATTGATTAATGTTACATCTTTAGTGACTGGCGGGGAAAACATAAAGGTTTTCTGAAAGCTTTTATCTAAATTTGCTAAAGTTTTCCAATCTCAGTTCTTCCCGCTGATGGATTTTATGCTTCTTTTTTTAATTTTTTGAAATAAAAATCAGTCGGTTTGGAGTTAAAAGTGAAAACATCGTCAATCAGAGTTAGGGGAAGATAGCTCTAGCCAGGAGCAGAAAAAGGTGCTGCTGGCGGTCTGAAACGAGGTTACAGCGGACAAACAGGAAGACGAGACGGTTCTCAGAAAACCACAATGCTAACTTTATTCTTTGGTCCATTTTGGGTCAGCTCAACCAGGCTGGAACAATGTGTAAAATTGCAATCATCAATGCAAAAATAGCAATGTTTCTTTGAATACGATATTTAAAGTGCAATGCATGCAAACATGCATTCATGTTTTTTTTTTTATCGATTGGAAAGTTTTGTTTTTTTTCTTGCACCTGATGCTCAAAACTTCATCTGTTTCTATGCCAACACTGGTAAGGCCAAGAGTCCGGAAATGTGGCGAACAGCGTCATGGGAGAAACTACCTGGTGTTAGTTTGCTAAACTAAAGCAAACTTAAAAAAAAAAAGATTTTATCATTTTATATTTCTTTTAGCCGTTTTGGCTGTAAATTGAGCTTCATCGTCTTTAGGAAACCAAACTGTGGATAAGATTTTACTTACTGATGTCTTTTGATTTTGTTTAATATTTCTACACAAGTTTCTTTACTCATAATGTCAAAGTGCAGCAGTTCCTCCCCCATAGTTCTCACAATGTTTCCTGGCATTTAGGAAACAGAAATCATTTTGATGATTGTATCTCAGCAAAAACAAGATAAATTTGGTTTGATTTAACGTCAGACAGTGAGGGAGAAATAAATGAGTATTTTTATTCAGAATTTGTAAGTATCTTCTGAATAAGGTGATGAGTTTCTGGTGATCACGGAGGAAACGGGGCTGGATCTTCTACCTGAGCTGTTGCTCCTCTAAAGGTCATGGATTTCATAACTTTGCATCTTCTGGTTTGAAACTGAAACAAAGCGTCCAGCTTCTGCTGGAGTTCAGTTGGATGTTTCCCTGCAGGTCCTGTGCAGCGACCCATTTGGTGCTGCAAGAAAAAGAAGTTCTCCTTTTCTCAGAACGTCACGTTGTGTTCAGATTTTTCTTGCCACACTTTAAATCGCTGGAAGGATTCAGAGATTGTTAGATCAGCTTTGAGGTCAGAAACTCAACTGTTTTGGTTACATTTGGAGAGGATTGTGGGTTTTGATCAAACATCTAGAGGTCATTCGGTCAGAGGTTCCTGCTTCTTTGCTCAGTTTATCTTTAATTTTATCCTTCTGGTCTATTTGGTTGTAAGAGCAGTTTGCCACAAGGAGGAACCGTGTTCTTATTTCATGCATCTTATTATCATACTGAGAGATTTTAAATGAAACGATGAGTCAGGAAACGGTTAATTCACTGCGGGTTTAACTTAACAGAGATAGAAACTCGTTCAAAGTTATTGGGTAATTGCGTACCATTTCTGTTCCTTAGAACTTTTGTCATGACTGAAAAAAGTTTGCATCCACCAGAGGAAGTTTATTTTTAATGTTAGACCAGCAAAATGACGCCGCAGCAGGTGGGATCCAGCCAGCGAAGGGAAATCAGGCTTGACTTTAAAGTCAGAGAACCCTGTGGGAGTGTGTGCCGCTCAGTGTCTGTGGTCAGAGAAAACAGGATGCAACACTTGCACCATCCAGCACCACTGAGACGCTGAAAATAAAGACTCAACGCAGAAAGCTGCAGAGTTTCATTTTGACTCGAGGCTTTGAATCCCAGCTTAACATTAAATGAAGGTAGTGCAAGAAATATGTGGCTGTATTTTCTGCATACTGTGCATCAGAGAAGTTTCCACAGCTGCTGAACCTTTTCTCATTCGCAATGGCAAGCTTGAGCATATGCTATGACCTGCAAACGGCCTGACCTTTAGAGAGCTTTAGAAGTCTAGAGGACCCTAAAGCACTTCACACTACATTCAGTCATTCACCCGTTGACTCACACATTCACAACTGATGGTTATTGGGTTTGGGATTTACCAAGATGAGATCACATTATACATCAGCTGAAAGCAAGTACAAAGCAATTAAAATAGAGGAGAATAAAGTACTGTAGTCAGATAAAACCAGAAGTTAACTGTCATGTAAAACATGTTATCACATCATCTTTACCTATTAATCATGCTCTTCTTTTTTCTTTTTCTGTCTGATCCAAAGCTTGTCAGAAATATGGACTAATGGGCCAAAACGTCAACATTCCTCTGGGATACACTCCGAAACCGACTGATGGTTGGAAGTGGAAGTTTAAAGACAAGACAATTGTTTACATGAGAGCTGGAAAATTAGCCTCACAGGATGGGGGTGAATCTCATCCAAATGGATCCCTCAAACTGACAAATCTGAAGAAAGAACAAGAAGGAATTTACAAATCTGAGGTTTATGATAAAAATGGAAAAGAATTAGACATAAAGGAAACAAAATTATGCATAGAAGGTATGTATAAATGTCTTTAAGTTGCACATTCATCTCAATTTTAGATCCTGTTCTTGATCTTTTTCTTTATTTACTTATTGAGGAAACCTGACTGGTTTCTGGTTTTTGTCATGGTTTTCATATTTCCCCAATAACTTCTGGTCTCTTTGATCTAATAAAACCTCCTCAGATCCTGTGAAGAAGCCTACACCAAATGCAACATGTGACGATCAATATGCACTGTTTGAATGTCCCCTTAAAAATGTAAGAACTTATTTTTTTGCATCTTTTTAACCAAAAAACTGCAAGATACAGTTACTTTCTGTAGAGCTTTGAATCCTTCTTGCAAATCCAGACAGACTCTTTATGCTCGTCATGATTCAGACATGAGATAATAATTTCTTCAGTGATTATTCACATTAGTTTTTTTTAAATGTTCTGCTGTGTAATGTAATTAGTCTGTTTAACCAAGCTTCCCATCGCATGTGGCCATGTCAAAGTAAAAGCCAATATCAGACATTTTCTTCCTTCTAATATTTTTTCAGGTATATCTTGTGATGTAAAACTCATGTCTTAAATTGTCCTGAGCAGTTGGATTCTTTGTTTTTTTCCCAGTGAGAGTTTCCAATCAATCTTTTATTTCCATTTTCTTTTAGCAACCTAAAGGTGCAAAGTATGAATGGCTTCAGAATGGAGTCAAGATGAAGAAACATGAAAATCCTTTTAAGATTAAAGCAGCAGAAACTACAAATGACAAATTTGTTTGTAAAGTTTTTAATGAAGCCTCTTCTGAATCCAGTGAACCCATAAGTCATCGTTGCGCAAATGGTAAATACTTTAGTCAACATGGCTAAGAGTTACTGTGGCATTTTGTGCTCCATAACTGCTTTCTAAAGTAAGATGGAATAATGAAAATTTTGTGATAAAATAATGTCTACATGTTACATTTTTCTAATCCTTGTGATCAGTAAAACATTATTTAATTTCTTCAAGCTTCTCTTTTTGAAGATATCCGATGCCCCTCAGGGATCTAGGTTTCCCTGATGACTTGTGTTGGGGATTGGTAGGTGGTGGAGGAGGTACGTTTTCATATTCCTTTGACATAAACTTTTTTTTATAGTATAATTACTACACTTCTGATGAAAAATAATATCTTTGTCTGTGTTCAAAATTGGGTAGTACAGATTGCGACCAAATGGAAATGGAAGCAGTATAAATATGGGCTCTAAACTCAGGCCATATTTTTACTCTAGGGAAGTGAAATGTAATCGATAAAATAACTGCATTCTGATAACTTGATGATTGAAAGTAATTTTCAGGGACCAGTAATCATGCCGCTGATTATTTTGTGGAAACATTTTTTTCAACAATTACCCTTGAATGAAACAACCAGCTGAGTCATCTAAGTTTTTTCTTATCATCTTCATCAGGTGTCGTTATATTGCTGATCATCATTGTCATTGTTTGCTGTGTCCGAACTAAGAGAACAAGGAAACTACGCCTGCAGGGTAATATATCTTATTGTTTTAGCCAATCATGTCAATAGTCTCTTCATTAAAGGCTGTAATTAACTCTTAATGAAAAAACACCAAGCCCTTCTTGGGTTGTCTGATTAATACTTCCTCCATTTTTTTTTTTACTAAGTATCATTAAGATTCTTCTGTTCATATTTTTTGAACAGATGAGGAGGAGCTCCGTTTGGAGTGGACCATCACCAGTCAACATCCCAATCATCCTCCTCTTCCTGACCATCCTCCTCCTCATCATCCCAACCGTCACCATCATCATCATCATCATCACCACCAGCAGCAGCAGCAGCAAGAGCAGCAACAGGCTCCGGGCAACACCGGCCCTCGACAGAGCCGCTCCAAGCAAAACCGCCAACCGCGAGCCCGAGCCCCTGAACCCAACGGCCAGCCTCAGCCCAGCCCACGGAGAACCGGACAGGTAAGATGGTTCTGGTTCTGACTGGATTGTTAAGATTCAGTTTTTACTGAAACTCAATCTGAGCCTGTGTGTCTTCATACTGGTATATATATTTTTTTGGTTTTACTTCCTTTAGCCACAGAAACCTGCCAGTGACGCCGATGATGAGCAGCCTCCTCCTCTTCCTCAGCCCAGGAAGAAGGGCCCCAAAACTCAACTAGATTAAAAATCATCCGAGATAAAGTTAGACACAGAGCTTTTACTCCTCCGGACTTTCTGGGTTGCTCCACTTTCATGTTCTGTGTGTGTGTGTGTGTGTGGGTGCGTGGGTGTGGGTGTGTGTGTGTTCAAACTAAAAAAAAAACATCAGTTCATGCAGCTTAACAAACTACAACCTGCGATATCGTTGAAAAGCTTTAACGCTGAACTCAAACTAGAAATGTTCAAACTCTGTTCCTTGACAAACTATTAAATTAAATAAAAGTTAAAGGCTCATCTAGTTAGTATTTAATCATCCATCTCCTACAGTCAGTGCTGTTTTCACACATTAGCTGACATGTAAAGCAATGACTCAAGACTGAGTGTGTCCATATAAAGATGTTTCTGGCAGCTTTAAACAATTTAATGCATCAGTTAAAGTATCAAAAAGCCCTAGCAAGATAAACATAGTTGATTCCAAGTCCTTTAGAAATATTTAAAAAGTTTTCATATCAGCCACTGAACACATCAGAGTCTGAAACCGATTCCCAGCTGCATTTCTTTAACTTCTTTCTCTTCTTTAACCCGTTGAATGTGTGGCTCCACAGGTTCTTGGTAATGTGTGGTTAACGACACATGAATCATCCCCAACGCTGACGTCAGCGTCTATATTTCTAAAACAGCTTGAAAGCTGGATGGGTAGAGCAGGAAGACCACACTTTAGCAAGCAGATGATAAAAAAACTGATGTCTAAGGCCTGAACCTTGAGGAACGCCCATAAAAATGTTAGAGAACCTACAAATTTAACCATCTGTCTGTATATATTCATATCTATTGCAAAATGAGTTGTGTAAATCGAACATCAAGAGTTTTTGCATCAGTAAATAACAGTAATAAATGACATAAATAACATCATATATTTTAATATGTTTGATTACTTTTGAGGTGTTATGAATAATTTATGCTCCTGCTGGCTTATATCTGTGTACATTGTTTTACTTTTTTTTTATTTTCCAGGGGAAAATGAAAGCAGAACTTGTGAGGGACAGATTGTATTTTGTGGATAAATTTTTTTAGTTGGTGCATCAAACTATGTGTGTAAATAAATGTTATCATCTAACTAATGAATTCTGTTTACTTTAAGACAAACTGCTCACAGTCCAAAAGAATACTATCACAGAGCATCGTGTGTTTAGTTTAGAGACAGGCAGCTAAAATCACTCACTGATATGTGACAATATGGGAGTTTCAGCGTTCTTTTTAAAAAACTAAACCCTTTATTGTTCCTTTTTGTTAGCATATGCTGCATTTGTTTTGTATCTTCCATTTCGCCAAACTATCTAACTTCAGCTTCCAGATTATTTTGTCTATTTCTATTTAAATGCTGCTTGTGGTGCATATTGAGGTACATTCAGGTTGTTCCCAGTTTGAAGACATAATATGTGATTTGCTTTAATCTGGTGATACATGTTGTTATCTACAGAAGACAATTATTGTCTTTGTTCCATCGTTGCAACTTTTTGGTTCTATTTGCATTTTTAAAAGCACAAAAAATAAAAATATATAGCACGGCAGCAACTGCGATTTGACGTTTTATTTTTTGTCAGACTGACATTTTCACCTTTGCAGGCGGCTTTGTTTTCAGCTCGAGTGTGCAGCCCGGTGATGCCTGCATCTTTCACCATATCCTGTGCATTTTTGCTGAAAATGTGTTTGTGGTTTGCTGCTCTGTGTGCATTCGCAGCGCACTGGGTGCAAGATCGCTATCGTGCCTTTGTGTCGACGTGGAGAGGTTTTCCTGCAATGGGAGCAATCGTTTTGACCGCAATTCACATTGTTTTGTTGTTGATGTGTTTTTGTTTCCCCTCATTAGTCTTATTAGCTTTCTGATTACCGGTGAGACTCAGACGGATCTGGTAACTTGGAAGGAGTTAGTCACATTTAGACGCTGCTGCACCCTGCATCTCGACACCCACACACAAGAGACTTTGTCATCCAGTGATAATGTTTAATCATGTTCACACTTTTTAACAAAAATAACAGAAATAGCATCTTTAAAGGCTGTGGTATTCACAGTTTGCATGACGCCTGCCCGCCCCATAAAGATCAACGCACTTGTTTTCTATAAGTTAGCGACTGCTTCTTTGACATTTCTCATCCTTTTTGAAGATAATCTAGATGTTTCTACGCTTATCTAGAGACGAGATGTGATTCTGTGCTGGAGGATGATGGTTTTCTTTTTTTAAAAAACATCATTTGAATCCCTAACCTGCATCACACTGATGCCTTTAGATTTTCTCTGTCAAAACCTGAGTCAGTAAAGTAGTTTTTCAAAATTTTATTTATTTAGTGTGGCACATTTTGCAAAAAAAGAAAAATAATTGTGTGATCAGCATGGTGGCATACATTTTGATGCAGCCAGAGTTTTATTCATGCTGGAGGTTATTTGATTGTTTCATTCGGTTTGATGTCTGCATGTATCTGTAGCTGCCAACAGATGCATGAAGGGACAACATGGCAGATCATGTCATGGTTTGATCACTTGAGGAAGGTCCGAGGGCCAACGTGCAACTTTTTATGCTCATCTTTAGGAAATGTTGCTACTTTTCCCAGAGGACGATGACTGAGACTGATGAGAAGAAAATGTTTAGTCAGCAAAGAAAAGACCAAAAGTGAACACATAAGCTGGATTCTGCAGAAAGAGGAACCTTTCAAAACTAAGGATTTATGCTGAACCATCGATGTTGATGCATCTGAAACATGAAGCTTGATGGGAGCTCTCACTCCCTCTGGTGGCTGATTTTCTGAATTGCAGCAACAAAGAATCACTCAATTTGAGGTTAGTAGAAAGTAACAAAAACGTATTTTTATTAGCTTTAAATGGACTGACTCCCATTGTAGAAACCTACAGATTCATAAAGGAAATATCATCAGCGTAACATGACAGTGCCTTTGTCTTTTGATCACTAAGGACAAAAGAGCCTTATGCCAGGTCCTTTCTTCCCATAGCAACAAACTAGAAACATTTTTTTTTCATTTCTTGTAAATAATCTGTTGTTTTACTTATTTGCAAAAAAGTTTTTATCCTTCATTGAATTTATTCAAGCCCATGTTGATGCATTTCAGCAGTAATTCAGAAACATGACTAATTCATTATCCTGGAGCACTCACCCCCTCTGGTGGCCGGACTCTTGAACTGCACAGACTTGATACAAAAGGAAAAAAGAAAAAGTAAAACGGGTTTAAAAAGTTTTAAAAAAAAATAGTTCGGAAGCAACTTTGGTTGATTGACAGAAAAAAAGTGTCTCATAATCTCCATTATGGGTTGTGTTGTGTTGTCCAGAATCAATGAATCATAGATAAACAGCACATGCAAAAGTATCATTTTGGTTCTAATTTCAGATTTTCTGTGGTTTAGGGGTTTCCGTTGCAAAGATTTTAATAGTTATATAGTCTTTGAAGAGTTATGAAATCAGAATTTAGTGCACAAGTTTAGATTTGTTTGGTTAATGGAAGATTAGTCAAAAAAAGAGGAAAATGTAGTGATGTGTTGCACAACTTGTTCATAGCCAGAAGATGGCGATCTGACGTCATTTCAGCTGCGCTCTAAATCACCACAGGTGAATCAGAGGCGCTAGCTTATGAATGAAATGTTCATGTCCTATTCAAAGTCTGTGACTAAAACCAATCAGATTGCTGGAGGATGCTTGAACCTCTGTGCTTCGTTTGCTGTGTTGCAGCAGATGCTAAATTGCAGAGACTGGATTCGCACACACACTAAAACACACGTTGTGAATAGGATAAGCGACCTTTGACCCTAAGCTCCTCCTTCCTCCTCGTCTGCCTGCAGAGAGGCTGCCTGAGGCATGAACTTTGACCCGTGTGGCGGCGCTGGGTAAATTCCCAGCATGGGGCCCAACCGCAGGCCTGGAGCTGACAACAGAGGTGCAACGTCATCACTGGAGGAAAGTGCAGGGAAGGGCGACCGTCAGAGAGAAAGTGAAACACAACAGCTTGTCTTGCACGACTGTCATCCTGGAATCTCCTTACGTTGGGATGACAAGCATGTTTTCCCAGAGAGTGAGCTGCCTGCACACACCATCACACTGCCTCCACCAAAAAGCAGCACTGGAGAGTCAGTCATAGAGCACTGATGTGTTTTTGTGACAATTGTGGCTCCATTTAATTGGGAAATAAACTGGATTTCCAATGGTCGAATATTTATAGCCAAGAAATATTGCTGATACTGAGCAATCAGTGATATTTCCAACCAAAAGTGACATTTCTTCATCATATTTTCAAGCAGGTGAAAGTCGTAAGCAGCCGTCCAAGACTTTTTAATCGTGATTACGTCATCAACAGTTTTTTATTTTGAGGACAAAAATGACAACAGTTAGGATAAGTAACAACAATAAGTCAAAAGAAAACTTTAATAAATGACTTCCTGTCAATAAAAAAAAAAACATGAAATTTTCAACAAAAAAATGAGTTTTAGGTTAAGACATGTTTGTTTTTCATTCAGTGTGACACTAGTGATAAAATCACTCAAGTGAAACTGCAAAGTGCAGCGTGATAAAAAAGAAAAAACTCTTAAAAGTAAATTTTTAAATGTAAATGTAACTGGTTACCACCCAACTTTTATTTATGAGTCATGAAAAGTGTCAGTGGCTCCACCTGGGACCTCCCTGCTTCCTCCTTGCTCACCTAACTTCCGGCCTCTCTCTCTCTCTTTATGTCTCTCTGTGTCTCTGTCCTGACTCAGTCTCTGGATGTGTCTGCTTGGTTTCCCACACTATTAAAAGCAGCTCGGTCATGTCAGCGTGCTGGTTATCGTGGGAACGTTCTCTCCGGGTCTTCGTGTCTGTGGATTAGGACTCGCCGGGTGTTCGATCGTTTTCTGGGCTTTTATTTGCGGCTTCTCTCGGGGTGTGTGCGGCGGGCGCGGCGGACTGACCGCAAAGAGTTTCATTAGGGTTTGACCCTCCTGTCTACGGGAGGGCTATTTTTTTTTCTTTTCTTGTCCCAGCACAGGACAAAGGACGCGGGGAAATTAAGGACTAAACGGGGACAGCAGAGTGGGAGACTGGTGAACATGGAGCCCGGTTTCCTTACACTCGCCTTTGGTCTTGTGTTCATCGGTAAGATTCCTCTTTATTTGCTTGATTGTTAATGACTGATTTCACTCCTATGGCTCGTGCCAGACTGGAAATCGTACGGAATCCCCTTTGGGAATATACGAATTTAAACTCTTTTTGTCATTTCGCACACTTATGAGTTAATAATTAAGTTATTCAAAACAAAATCCCCATTGACGCAGCCCATCAGACGATTCGGCATACATTAGAAGTGTAATAATGTCTTTGATCGAATGCATTTTAAACTTAAACCACTGTTACCTGGCGGTAGCGGCTGGTGAGCGCTTCAAAATCTGGAGGAAAAGAATCAGCGACTGCAGCTAAAAAAGCTGTGAAATTAGACTCGTTTTATTGTTTTGTTGTTTTTCTTTTGCCCGAACTGACAATGAAAACCACAACGCAAAATGTAAAGCAATACGTTTTAGTTTCTACTGACCATTATACAAATAGAGCGAAATGATCTAAAAATGCCGTTGTCCTGAATGGAATTTGGTGCATGAGAAATGATCAGCGTAATCTTTTCAATTTATGACTGACAAACATGCAATATTACAGTGGAACCACCTCCTTTTGGTTTTGATCACATCTACCAGTTAAATGAACCAAACATGAGTATAATACCCTTTATATCTGCAGTATACCCAAGTTAATGAAAGGTTATTACATTTTCTGCCTTTTAAGGCTTTAAAAGTGTTTCTTGTTACCAGATGCTGCAAACCTTTTTGGATTTTAAAGGAAGAAAGTTGACTACAACTAACATTGAATTAAATATCCACATTTTTAATAATCTTTACTGCATTTAATGTCACAAAGTTGGGGGGGAAATGGAATAAAAACACTTAGACTGAACTAAAATAATAAATATGTAATTCTTTAGGTTATCTATTCGTACTAAAGATAAATTAAAAAATAACAAATTTTTAGTGGTTTTGGGTTTAGCACTTGTATATTTTAGATCTGAAACAAGTGAATTTTATCCTAGAGTTGTCATTAAGGCCATGCTGTAAATGTGAGAAAGTAACGTCCATGTTGGGCTTTACTTAACCAAAGTCAGGTGACAAAATCATCAACTGCTGAAATTACAGAGTCATCAGCAAAACATGAGAGTAGAGCAGATTCTGCACAGGGTAGGAGTTCATCTACAGGCAGAAATTGGGGGAATGTCTCTTTGCAAAGTCAGATTATCGCCTCACATTTACTTCAACTGCACTTCTGCACTCCCTGCTTCTTTGCCGTCTGCAGTGAGACGTTATAGTTGTTGCATTTTCCCTGCTTTTGCTTATTTTCCCAGGCTAACCTTTCATTGGCCCGTCAGACTGCGTTTCCCCCGAGACCAATTTGTCCAGGCTGAGGGGACGGGGCCCCATTAGCCAGCCTTTAGTCAAAGCGAGCCGGCCTCTGTGACGAACAGCATCGTTTGTTTCTGTTTTGCCAACGTCGCCTCTGTCACCGCGGTTACAGCCCAGCCGCTGAGCCGGTTTTACCCTGCAGGAGACAAACTGGGGACTTGTTCCCTGGCCTACCTGAGTGCTGGAGTCGCCCTATGCTGATGGGCTTTACAGTGGGCTTCTCCGGCGTGAGAGCAGGGGAGAGTTGGCTTAAATTAGTTCAGGGAAAGACGATCATATGTTGCCGGCACGCATGCGGTTTTGCATTTCTGCTCTTATGCATGCACCAGATCTTGCAGAAGCCGCAGCTGTGATCTTTTAGCTACTAAACTAACGTTTATTCGTGCTCACAGCGTTAATTTTCCTTTTTTATCTGTGCTGGAGTATTAGTTCCTGTTTGGTGGTTGCCAAAGTATCACACATACAGTCAGATTCGCACGAGAAAGAAGAAGAAGAAGACTTCTGCTGGTCAGACTTCTGCTTTAATGTTGCTGCCAGACTGTATAATTTCTCTCCTGGAATAAACCGAGTGCATCAGCACAGCTTTTTAGTCATTCGTGGCCTGAATCCAGCCTCGAACAAACAGATTTTGATGATCCCGTCATGTTTTCTCACATTTTCCTCCAGAATCAGCATAAAAAGAAAACAACTACTAATATCGATCAAGTTTTCAGGTAATTTGTCTGCAGAAACCAATAGGGATCAGGTTTTTCTTCGAGCTGCAGGAATCTATAAAGTGCCTGTTTTCAAATGCTGGTTTTTCTAAAATGGTTGGTTTTGGTTTTACAACCGTATTTATGTTTATTTAATGACCCCGGGGTCAGGCCTGCAGCGCAGCAAGAACTGCTGAAGTAGAACAAACACTCTGTATATCCGTTTGAGCTAAAATCTGAAATATAAACCAAATTCAGACCTATTGAATGTGAACTCAATAGTAAAACATGCGGCTTATCAGGCCTTGGTTTGCTTCTAACTGTACAAACAGTGTCTGCGTGAAGGACACGGCTGCTCTCTATACTCCTGCCATTACTGTTGAAAATGTGCCTCCACTTTTTATACTTTTAAAAAGCAGGGGGGCAAAAAGAACACCAAAAAAAAACACATCTGAGCTGTGGTTGCTTAACATCACGGCCCACGCTGGATTTGCTTCTTTCGCCGTGTGACTCACGCTGTGAGCGTTGCTAAAGGCTCAGCAGCTAAACGGTTAAAGATGAATCCAGCGATGGGGCATCTCCAGCACGCACCGGGCTTCTTATTTTACAACATCTTCACTCCTCGGAAGCAGAAGAAGCCCACTCTCTGCAGGCTCTCAGAAATAACAGCTGGCTCCCTTCCATAAGCTCCAATAGAGACGAACTCCTCAGGTTCACAGAGAGGCCTCTGCATGTGGGCATCTTCAAACCAAAACCAGTTTAGTTTGCTGGAAAAAAATCTGTGAATGCTGCGGTATGTTCTGGGTGATGTGTTCAGCAAGTCTCTCAAGATGGTTTAACTTTATCAGTAAAGAATTAAAACAAGAGTTGTCCGGCTGAATACATGCATCGTTCTAACCGTACGGCTGGATGGGAAATTTAAAATGTTGCAAAAGCAAATGAGGTGGGCTAGCAGTTGGGCGACAGCTGACAACGTCATCCAGCTCATGTTACTGTTGAATATTGTGTCATCTGACCAGATAAGTCATTAGCATGACTGTCGTGACTCAACAGTCTTCAGTCAGAGGCCCGTTTTGATTTGTTGGAAGGCTGACTGCTATCAGAGTACTTCCTGCTTGCAGCTTCGCCGTCTTCAGTTGCTTTCTGGAGATATTTGGATGATGTGAATAACGGCAACATTCGGGATAAACAGTAATCTTTGAGTTGAATGCAACACACCGACTGTACTGTGCAAAAGAATTGCACCCGGTTTGAGTAAAGCAGCCAAAGTTCAAATAAAGGTTTTTAAAGAGCGTCAGAACGCCTGGAGATGTATTTACCTCAAAAAATGACATCAAAGTGTGGCTTCTTGGAAAGAAACTGGAACAAAATGAGGGATGAGTCAGCATAATGCGTCAGAATCCACGCACAGAAAGTTGAAACGTACAGCCCATGCTCGACTGGCTTTTGCATCGTGTCATTATGAACGTCCCTGGTCCGTGTTTCCCTCAGGTCACAACAAGCCCAGCCTGTGTCGAGTCTCGGTATCTGCTGTACGTGTCGAAACAGAGTTGCAGTGTGAAAACATCACCGCCTCCCTCTGAAGTACGAAACTCCACCTGTGAGCCGTTCAGGGAAACACAGGCTGACTTCACCGCATTTTGCTTAGAGCTTGAACGAACAAAACGCCTTGCAGAATTCCGCATAAATGTCCACATCAACTTTTAATTTTTGACATGTATAAAATGGGTGTTAAGTGCCAAACAAGTCTCTGTTGTGTATTAAAGGGTTAATCTGTGGTGTTTTGTCCGTCCTTCCAGGTGGATGCTCGGCCCGCGTGGTGACGGTGTCTCCCGGTCCGTTAATCAGGGTGGAAGGTCAGCCAGTCTCCATCAGGTGTGACGTCAACGACTATGGAGGACCGAGTGAGCAGGTGATGTCTTGGCGTTTGTTGTTTTTGCTCCGTCAAAAATGATGAACCACAGTGATGATGGACGATTGTTTGATGAAACGAAGAAGCAGGATCAGATAATGGCGGTTCTCCGAATGAACATCGGCGCTCTCCTCCTCTGCCCTGCAGGATTTCGATTGGGAGATGTCCAGGGACGAAACCGGGCCAAAGAGCCGAATCATCTCCACCTTCGAATCCGACTTCTCTGACCCTTTGTTCAGCAGGCGGGTCGCGTCCGGTGACATCTCGGTGGTGCGTCTCCAAGACAACGAGGCGGAGCTAAAGATCGCCGAGGTGAAGCTGACGGACGCCGGTTTCTACCTCTGCCGAACGCCGAGTACCGACCCGACCACCAGCGGCAACTACTACGCTCAGGTCCAGCTCAGGGGTAAGAAGGGAAGAAATCTGAGTGAAGGCAACATTTTTCCAATCAACTCTGTCCAGGCATCCCCACATCATGCTGCTGCCACCACCGTGTTTCACAGCAGGGTTTTCACAGTCCTGGTTTTCTGCCACACATGGCTGTGTTGGTCCATTGAGCAGCTCCCTAGTTTCCTCACTAGTGCTTTGCTAACTATCTATTTATATCCTCCTGCACACAGAGTGTGTGAACGCTGGTTGTAGACAATTACTGGCCTGCACACAGACATGGAGCACACACTCTGGTGGAGGAGAGCAGATGTCAGGTGGGAGTATTTGGCTTGTGTCAAATCAGAACCAGGGAGATGGAGATTTGGAGAGAATCTAAATGACATTGTACGACTGAAACGTTGCACCAAGCTGTGTCATTCAGCACAATGAAGGCTTATTTTTCCAATTAATTTCTAATTCTGTGTTGGCTAATTACTGTAGCATTTTTTCAACTTAAAAGCAATGCAGGTTCAGCTCATTAAGTTGCAGGCACTTTAGATCCATAGCAAGGATTAGCAGTGAAAGTGCGATAGCCACTGATGTTTCATAGTGACGTTGTTGAGACTGGTGATAAGTCTAACAAATGTTTGTGCTGCGTTGCTACGCTGATGCTGCTTTGCATTGCAAAAAATTTATTTTATGACGCCGTTATTTTGAAATTAAGGAGAGGTCAAGAAAGGTCAGCCAGGCCCTCTCACATTACCTAAATGCATACAGTCGATGCTGTGTTTGTGCTGCTAGCATTTTTCTGGTCTTTCCTTAATTGTAATTTTATTACGTTACAAAGCCTGTGAATGCAGTTTGATCCATCTTGTGATTATTGTTGATGTTTAAGCCAGGTTGGACTCCAAATTAGCCTTTAGCCAAGACTTACAGTTCTGCACTTTTGTCCGGTTGTGCTTATGAGCAAAGGTGCCACTAAGATAAAAATGAAAGTTTGAGCCGAAACATAACAGCAACTTGGGAAAATTCCAAACATGAAACTAAAACCACTTTAGAGAAGGTTCATGTTTAATGGAGAACAAATCATTTACAGAAACTGAATTAGAAACAAATCCAGCTCAATTAGTTTGCATTCGTTGTAAAGAGGAAGTATTAAGCCAGTAGACCATGGCCACAACCTGTTAGGCAACAGTTCACCCTTCTGGGAAAGTACTTTTCCTTTCCTTTTGTTTTTTTTTATCTGATGAATGATTTTGTGACTCAAACTCCATCTGATCTCAGCCTGCCTGATCCCGGAGATCAACTGCGACACTTCCTCATCTCACGGCACAACGTCGAAAACACAATCTGTTGGTCAGCACACGAGCGCCTGGTGGATTCTGATTTGACATAAACTGTGATGAACTGGCTTGAAGCTCAGAAGTTGACCATGCCGTCTCCACATATTTTCAGCTGCTTCCCCTTGGTTTTAATTTGGTTTCTGTTTGGAAGCTCAGACCCTGAAAACCGAACCCCCTCCCAGCTCAGTACATTTATTTCCTTTAAAGAAGTAAAACAACAAAAAACCCGTCTTGTGTGGGAGGAGAAAGACAGGATCTTTCTCGCTCTGAAGCCTACATTTTAAGAGATGAAGTGATGGAGAGGGTAATCAGACAGCAGGTTAGTTATCTCCATAATGCACCATCATGTTCAGCTGCTCTCTGCTTCCCAGCACAGCTCCCCAGACACCTTGTTAAATTTAGACCTGAATTAACAAGGCGGCCGTGTTTGCATGCGAGCGAGCTCGTCGTGTGCATGCTAAGCATATGTATTAGCATTCGCAGTGATTTGCACGCAGGTATCTGCTCGTGTACTTCAAGTCACGATTAGTCAGATTTCCACCAGTTGAGAGCTGAACGCGATTGTTGGGTTATGTAAGAACAAGGGAAGTTTGCTGAGCCTTTTAGGCTAATTTTAATGGGCAGAACAAAACACAATTATTTGCACCTTCCTTGTTAAGTGCAATAGATACTCGACTCAGTGGAGCAGGTTTCAAAGAGTTCCCCAAACATCAAAATGGATCCATCTTATTATTATGATATTTTGATAACTTCAGGGACTCTGGTGTTTCCCTTGACTTCCCACAGTGTGTTGAGATGAGATAATCCTAAAATACCAAATACAGAAAAGGCGAGATTGACATTTTGGCATTTCAAAGTAATAAGATTATCAGGAAAAACGAGGAGAAGGAGAAGTTCTTGTTTTCCTGATTTAATGAAGCTGTTATGTCTCTTTCCTGCCAGACAGCATTGTTTTCTCAAGATGATGACGTAACTTGAGAAAACAAGTTAATTAATGACGCTAAAGTAAACTCTTGGTGAATATCTTGACAAGCTGATATAATGAAGCTGCAAGGCAGATGAAAATGAACTCCAGATCTTGAGATAATTAAACAGGAATCCCAGTAAATCAAATGGAAAATAAGGTTTTCTCAAGCAAGTAACATAAAAAAAAACCTTTTATGTGATATTCTTAGATGCTGTCTGCTTTTTTTATTGATCACTTTAGTAAATTGATCAAAATGAACCCGTGTTTTCATTTGGTGATATGAGTCGGACTCTTTGTTTTTTCAAACCGAATGCATCCAAAGCAAAGTCTGTCTTATGGGATGTAAATGTGCCATCCGTGTAATTCCAACAATGCACAACTATGTTCTTCTTATTCTGGGCCATCTGCCTCTTGTTGGCCACGTTTTCAACATGACTAGAGTCGCTTTCCAAACCGGACAAATTTAGAGACGAAGCTCATGAACACTGGGAGCTGCTGAGACTTTGATGGGTCTGAAATAATGAGCTTCGTTCTCTGATGGAGGAGATTCAGATTTACAATTTATTTATGTCGATAACATGCAGTACATAGTTGTTGTTTATTGTAGAATCCTGCGCTTTTGTCACAAGATGCTTGCCATGATTTTGTTCATAACTACCTACAATACTGTCAGATAAGGTGGTGGCAGTATCATGCTGTGGGAATCACAAAAACCCGATGGGCTGAAAACCAGAGTTTTTGAAGGTTTCCATTGAAATGTTCATGTTACAGCTTCTTTGAACCCACTTCATTCAAAATTTGATGTCAAATATCAGACCTAGAAGATTAATGTTGTGCTTGAACCACCAAATTCAAACATCAGGCAACACAGAAACTCTAGCATAAAGTGAATATTTATATATAAGGATTTATCCATTGATGACAATAGGAAACTTGCAGGGATTTGGAGACTTGGCAAACGGGAACTCTTTCCATACATTTAAGAGTGCTTGTTGTTAAGCCTCGTCTGCAGTTGATTTACCTGGGTTATGGTGAAACTGTAAATTACAATTTATTGCAACTCTGACAGTAATTATTTATATCAAGGATCCATTCAGTGATTTTATTTTTTCTGGCAGGGTTTGCTTTTTACACATAATCACTTTGTATTCAACTGTGACCGACTAATCTTTCTTTTATTTATTTCTTTATCTACAAATCTTTCAATAGTAAGGTATTTAGTAACATACTGATTGATCTTTTTAAAAATGAAGCTCAGAGACAAGAGAGGTTGACATCTGCAGTCAAATGTTCTTCATGTGGTTCAGATTGAAAGAAAATGTTGTTCTGCTTCTGGCTAATTTTCTATAAAAGAGAATAGAGCTTTATCAACTTTATGCTCACAAACAACACCCACAAGCCTGTGTTCAAACTTGACATGAATGATGTAGCTCTTCACCAATAACTGCTAAAACGGTATTTAATGTGCATTTCCTCTCAAAACCTAAAAAAAAATGATAAAACAGAAAAAAAGTGCTAAATGTTAATCTTAAACTGTTGAAACAGAAAACTCTGAAAGAGGATGGTGTTCAGATGAGCAATTTAAATCGAGTGACTCATCCCTTTGCTTTTGTGCTTTTTAACGCATTGTGTTAAAAATCCAAACATGTTGGTGGAGCTAATGAAGCAGAGTCCGCATGCAGACAGGCAAACCCTACTGTGAGGTTACCATTCGGCATTATTAACCCCCCGTATCCCCGCCGCTCACGTTCCGATCCTCAAAGCATCCCTCTGTTCCCTCACTTTTCCCCATTGTGAAAGGGTCGTAAAGGGGAGGGGAAAATAAAGCCCCGGTTTTTATTTCAGACTTCTCAAAGTGAGTCATGTGGTTGATTTCAGTAAGAGAATGATCTCGGCGGTGTTGCAGGCCGCTTCGTCAGAACCTGCTCGGACGCATTTAGCAAAACAAAACAAGTCCAGCATAAAAGAGTTGAGATGACGCTGTTGTGTGAAAGTGAAAGGGAGAGTTTATTGGGTTACCTGAACACTCCCTGTTCAGGTGTGTTTTATGCTGCACCTGCAATCAGACGTTTACTGCCTTCTCCCGGAACCGTTTCTTTACTTTGTTCCTGCTTTTAGCACTGGCCCTGGTCATATTACCGCAAGTAGATTCACCAGCAAACCTTGAATTATTTCTTATAAGGTGTGTGAATTGTATCTGGTTACACGGAAAGCTGTTTATTGATGTAGAAATGTCTAAAGGTCATCATAGTATATGACTCCACATCGTTAATGTGTCACCAACGGCTGAGAGACTGAGTCATTACCCTTCAGTTTGACTTGGTATTACTACTTAAATTATGTTCCTGTTACTTTTCTTCTGTGTATCAGATTGCACCGAGACTTATTCAAGAAAATAAAACATGGTGATGGCAGCATCAAGCTTGAGGAAGCTGGATGGAGCTAAATAACAATGGAGACCTGTGTGGTTTCCCATGAAATGAATGTTCATTGTCTTTTATCTGGTTAGCGTTTGACTCATTCATTCATAAAGTTTTGTCTTTCTGTTTTCTCCCCATTAGTTATCCCCAACACCCTCAAGGTGTCCCCCCAGGTTCCATCCCCGGTCGTCCAGGAGGGACACGACCTCACGCTTTCCTGCAGCGTCACTCGAGAACTGGCCTTCCCTTCCCTCACCTACCTGTCCGTCGCCTGGTTGGTGAAAACCGGCGGCGGCTCTGAGGAAATCCTCACGTTCGGCCCCCAGAGAGACGTCGTCACGGGTCAGAGGTTCGCTCGCCGCTACCTTGACGGGGACCTCCGGCTGGTTCCCGGCAGGAACGGCACGTTCGAGCTGGTGATTTCCAGGGTCACCGCGTCTGACGAAGGGACGTACGTGTGCACGGGCTCTGAGTGGACGCGTGAGAGCGGAGGGAAGTGGACGAAGATTGTGGAAAGCTCCAAGGAGATGGGAGCCGTTTCCGTCACTCCTACAAGTAAGAAAATCTTCCCCGAGTTTGTGTTTTGAAGTCTCTTCTTTTTAGCAGTAAACTACCAAGTATGGAGTCTGAAATGCTTCCTTGTTAAAGAGTGAGCTTAGCAGCTGCCTCCTAATCACTGCTTCAGGCTTTCGGCTACATTAGACACAATTTGTGTTAGAATCTCATTCCCAAATGTTGGCAGTCAGACTGCATTGTGGGTAATGTAAGCAGCAGGCTTTAACAAATGGGAAGAATGTGTGAAAAGAAAAGATGCCTGCAACAGATTTTACAGCACCGTGCTCAGATAAATGCTGCTCGTATCATCGGATTGCTCTTTTATGACCATTTTTATGTGGACAATTTAGATGAATTCATTTTGTCTGTGTGGAAAATCTTATAAAACACCCAGTGCTTGTGTGCAAAACTGTCAATGTTTTTTTTTTGTCACGCTACAACAAGTTTCAATGTATTTTATTGAGATTTTTGTGAGAGAGAGCAAAATAAAGCAGGGCATGATTGTGAGATCGACGCTTTGACAATCTGTCAGCATCTCGTAGTTGTGCGGAAATCTGAGAAACGAGAAGACGGGTGGAACTAAACACATGTCAACCCTGATGGAGAGTCTGGAGAATAGAGGTGCACCGTCCACCAGCGAGAACTCATGTAAACATACAGCCAGAGCTAGATGCTAAAATCAAATCAAAACTCCACTTTTCATACTTTACTAAAGAAATCTTTGATTAATTTTCTTCAAAGTTATGCTCTACTTTCTCTTAGTTGATCATAAAATCTCAAAAACGTGCGATGCAGGTTGTGGATGTAAGAAGATTTGAAAAAGTAGAGTATTTTTCCAAGGCCCTGCATCCATAAACACCAGGTGTCCTCAAATTGTTTCTCTGTGAGGTGAAAGACGAGTGTTGAAGGAACACAAAGAAAGGGAGAGTTCATTTGTAACCTGCTTGAATGGCGTGCAGAATCGATCTGTGTCGAATGGCACTTCATCAAAAAAAAGAGTGACTCATTGCGTCCGTTGCTCATAAGCCCGATTTCCTTGTGGAGGAAATCAATTCCTGCCGGTCTGTGCCTTGACGCTTTGAGCTTTATTGCTCTCCCTGGGCTCAGTTTGTCCTTCGCCTCAATTCTGAATACCTTTTAGTTCTGTTGCTTAAATCGGATCAAAGCTGGTTGGCAGCCCGCCTTCAAAGGACGCCTTTAAATGAAAACTCTCCAGAGCGAGGCTCGTGTGTCATCAAGACGTCTCCGCGACAGATAGCTTGAAGACCCGGGCTGTTCGTTTTGAGGTCGCCACGCGAAGGAACGGCCCTTTGTGCCGACGAGTTGGAAGACGAGAAGTGTGAGGAGAGCGAGGGACGTGGGAGAGTTCCCAGCCTGTTGTGTGGCGCTCTTTGTTTTTAGAGGGATCCTCTTCACCGAACCTCTCTCTACTCCATCTTGCTCTCTCCCAGGAGGTTCACGACCCTAAAATGGCCCTCTTTCTGCCTTATCCTGCCTGCACAGAGGCCCTGCTAGACACAGTCATTCACTGAAGTTGCTGTGGAGACCATATCTTCTGTATCTCTTGGGTTACCATATCCTCTTAAGTGCTGGAGAGCACCACCGGGTTTCTACTGAAACCAAACATGAACCGCACAACCAGGTCCAGGACTGAGTCATTGTGGCCCAGCCGCTTCGTATTGACTTACTGGCTTCGGTAAAGAGGATGAGAAAAGTCAAACAGAGTCTGCTTTGTCCCTTTTGTCCTCCTCCAGACACCACACAGAGTCCTTCCCGTTTTACTCGCGTTGACGTTGCTACTAGAGATAATATTCAAACCGCTGATCCTATTGATGGTGTGAAGATACACAGGAAAGACTGACGTTTTTAATATACCGGACCTTCTTCTTCTTTTTTTTTAATCATCGGATGGGACTGTAAATGTCATCTCAAGCATTTCTGCTGAAGAAACGCCATGGGAAAGAGAAAATCTGCCTTTCACCCTTCAGTTTCCAGTTGTTGCTCTATTTTTATCATAGTTTCTGTGAAACACTTATGATCAAATAGACTCATAAAATTAAATGATATTGCACTGTTCCATCATTTGGAAATGAAATTAGCTTAGTAGCTACAGGCTCAGGTACAATAACAGAGAACCTCCTGAACTTATTGTCATGTTTATGTTTGCATCATTTCATTGGAATCAAAAAAAGTTTTGTGCAACTTTAATCTGGATCCTGTGCTTTTCTTCTGTCCCAAGATCGTTCCCTCAACGTGAAAGCTTCATCTTCGCCTTCCTCACAATCCTCCTCATCACTTCTGCTGTCTCCTGGCAACACGCTGACCCTCCTCTGCCGCGTCTCCGCCGACAACCTGCGCGCCCTCTCCCTGGAGGTGACCTGGCTGGCCGACGATCGCGAAATCATCACCGTGAACCGCAGCGGGGTGGTGAGCACCAACGCGGCCTCGAAACGAGGCGAGGCGAGCCTGGAGAAGACCGGAGACGGCGACTACAGGTTGGCGGTCAGGGATGTGAGCGGCAGAGACGGCGGGATCTATACCTGCCGGGTTCAAGCCTTCATCGAGGAAGGGCGCATCACTGGAGGAGGAGCAGGGCGGGGCCACAAGGTGGCGGAGAAGACCTCCAACCCCGTCACTGTGAAGGTCACCGAAATCAGTAAGTAAATCCCACAGCATGTGTTTACCGCTGTTATGTTCTGACAGAATGATAAGCTTTGCTTCAGCGATTTGGAGACTTGCATATACAGCATAAAAAGATGCAAAACCAATTCAGACTTTGAATGGGCCAAAATGCCAGCAAAGTGGGATACTTAAAATGTTTGATGGAGTTTTAATGCATTTACAGTGACTGTTAGAACTTAAATAAAGTCTAATAAAATGTTTAAAATACCCATCTCTTACATAATTTCGGTAATCATTAAGGTCCTACAATGGGGAAGGTTTACTCCTGTTTTAGTGCCAGAAAGAGGGGAGAAACAAGTGGTTCATATATTTTTGTACAGTGCGAGTCATGTGCTTTCACTTGTATGTCCTGCTGCGTCGAGGAACGAATGCAAACGCATCTCACAGTATTTCACCCCAAAATCCTGTTGGAAGTGATGACAAAATTTAGTTTATTAATTTATTCTGGAAGTGTTTCTCTCGTCTGAGTCCTGAAGCTAGATGAATATTTAATAAGCTGCACAGCTTGATTTCGGGGGGTTTAAATTAGAGCAACAGAGTCGATTGCTGTAAGGCGATGCCGTGGAGGTCGCTGCGCTTTAATTGCCGGTCAGCGTTGAGACTCAAGACCAGTTCTAAGACTAGTTTACGTTCGGTTTACGTGTAAACCAGCCAGAGTACAGTAACTCCGTATTGTTTGGCGTGCGGACGTTGCCGCAGAGCTGCGTGCGACTGTAGAATCTCAAGGGGAAACTCTCTAATCCTCCAGTCACCCTGTCGTCTCCCGCTGCGAGGACGATTGATTAGTCATGGCTTTCCTGCTGTCTGCTACCTCTGGCTGAGCTGTTGCTGTGTGCGGTGGCGCGCGCGCGCCGCTGCTCTGATGCTGCCTCCGAGAGCGGCGATGTCAAACACGGTCGACGCAGCAATCAATTACCGGCCTGGTGGGTGGTCCCACTGTCTGTGGCGGTTTCACGTTTCAGTTTTCAGTCCTTCTGTTTCAATCTTAACGTTATACTGATTTTTTTTCTCTCTCTCTTTACACCAAGAAGTGGCTTTCTGGCAAGGTTATGTGTGGGGGCAATTAGTTAGTGGAATTAGCTTTATTATTCCTGGCTAAATATGCAAAACAAGAGAAACAAGATCGTCATTCAAACTTAATTTCAAGGTTGTTTTGTAATTAGACTTTTAAACAATCATCGGGACAAGAGGAATAAATCAAGCACACAGCCGTCGTCTTCAATCAGAAGCTTATTCAGATGTGCTGCAACCCTGACTGCTACCAGAGATCTTTTAATCTAATTTTCCTTTGGGTTATATAAAGTACAGATTTAGTTATTTTTATTGAATTAACTGCAAAGCACCAAACCATTGTGGCTGCAAAACAAGCCCACATCATCACCCCTCCACCACCGTGCTTGACAGTAGATAATTGGTGTCTGTTCAAATGAATGTTGAGTTAATTTAGACATTATAACCAAATTTTATTAATTTGGCTTTACAATCACTTAATTGCGAACAGTGAAGTGCATTTAATTTAATTTCTTCTTAATCTCTAGCTTTTTTCAGTCTGTGGTATGACTTCTGGTTGCGGCTACCTGTAATTATAGGCAACAGGTTTATAGTCTGCAATTATGTTTAAAGGGTATAATCATAATTGCGGACTATAAATGAAAAGTTCTGCAATGCTGAAACGAAAGTAACTGTTGATTTTATCCAGGCTGTTTAGCCAAAATGAGTAGAAATTAACGTTTTGATGCAAAAGCGAATTCAGAAATATCAGAGCAACTGCTGCTGCATTCCTGACAAATTCCCAGTCCCCTCATCTGAAAGAAATAAATTGACTTTAATGAAGAAATGTTCCTCACCATAATAACTCTGCTGTCTGGCTCTATTTTACTGGTCTGGGGAATTCTCGCCGGCGAGGCGTTAGCTTTCACTCTGTTATCGTTGGGAAGTGGAATTAGTCTTTTTGGTCGCCGCCTCATTTGGGTGAAGCGCCTGGCCTGGAGAGAATAAACTATTTTTGGAGTCCGGTTTGTTTGGGGGGATTTTTGTGCTTCTTGGCTGCAGTATTGTCAGATCAGATCAAAACGCCTCATTTTCTCCCCCAGTGGAATTTTGGGCGAATCGGTTGCCAGATATCGCCGACATCAAAAAGAAACCGGGAAATTTATACTTCATAGATACTCAGGCAACATATCATTGAGCAGTGAATCTGTGCACGTTAGATTGGTGGTCTTCAAGCTGTTTTCTGCTTTACTGATGATTAATTATGATCATTAAGTCTGGATGTTCAAAGCACTTTTTAATACAATCCAAAGTAACAATTTGAGCTGCAGGAGGTTTTTTTCCCCCCTTGTATGTCAGACAACATGGATGATCTTCATCTGCTTCACTGGACATTGTCCGACCATGACCCTGTTTCCAATTCAATGGTTTTCTTTCATTGGTCCATTTTTTTTTGTAATATTGGATTGCTGCAGGCTGGGAAAATCTAACAAGAGCTTGCAGACGTGTTGACCCAGTCCTCCATCCATCACGTTTTGCATATTTTAAGAGTTGTATGAGTTGGCCCTTTGTTTTTGTTTCCAACGTTATCATTAATACAGTCCAAATCAATGGCTGATCAGGTTTGTTGTTTTTTCTTAGTTGTTTTTCCCTTTATAATTAAAGTTTCATGTTGTAAATGGTGTAGTTTTAATCGGTTTGTAAAAAAACATCTATTTGTATCTGTTTTATATCTTCCCTGCAATAAATTCTTTATTAACACCCTGAGAAACTTCATAGTTCGTCGATAAAAATAGTGGAATGAAAACCCTTTAAAGTTCACAAAGTTGGATAAATGAAACCAACTCAAAGCTTCAGCTTGGGACAATTTGTGAAAAATACTCACAACTTCTTATATTTTGCTTTACAAAACCCAGTTTTAATCATAAAATCTCGGTTTTGGTGAAGTAACTTCAAGCAGCTTTACAGTCAGAGTCGATTTAACGGCATGTATTCAACGTCTGGTTTTCCAGCGGATGAATCCTGGATTTGGACATTTGAACAACAATTTGAAAAAAACGACACAAATTTCCCTTAAACTCTTGCAGCATATTTACACAAATGTTTCGCTGCAGCCATTCATAAAACCAGTAGAGCCCTGCAAAATATGTATTTTCTTCAAAACGCCTGAGAAAGTAAGGAAAAACGCAAAACAACAATACAGACAATTCTGATTGGCTACCTTTTGTGATGTCACCAGAGGAATGTGTGACTGGAAGCTTACTTTCGGATTAAATGACGATTTAATACAAAAATTGCTACACAAAAATAAAAACAGAACATGAGACTCTGTTGTGTAGGTGAAGAGATGCATCTTAAGTAAGTTTTTTATTTTTTACAGTTAACTCTTGACTGGTAGCTTTAACACCATTCAGCATGAAAGCCAGGTTGGTTGCATTTTGTTCCTGTTTTGGAGTAATTTAAGAAAAGCCGGCGGCTGACTCATCAAATCATTAAACAAACATTTGATTAAAACCACCCTGTCTGTGTGGACGAAGCTGTGTGTGTGTGTGTGTGTGTGTGTGTGCCGGCTCCACATCCTGTGCTGTATGTCAGCGGGAGCCGTTAGTTAAAATAACAGCATCCTCCTCTCCGTACCCAGAAGATTCCTCCAGCCTTCAGGTTCAATGTTGCATTTCGAAATACCAGCCGGGCTTTCCGGGTGCAGCCGCCATCCCAAGTCGGTTCGCATGAGGGAAAAGCCGATTGTTCAAAATGCACCATCACAGTCATTTGTGCTCAATCTTGCTGCTTATGCATAGCCGCATGCATGAGTGTGTCTGCAGGGTTCAAGTAGTTTGGTTCCTGCAGAGTAAATGCCACATTCACTGCCTTCTGTGTGCCCCACATACTGAGGGTAACCTCTTAAGTTTTAGCCGGAGGGCGCGCATTCCTTAATACACACACACCGATGAATCACCACTTCTAATTGACCAAATATTGTGTGTTAGATAAAACTCTATGTGTGTCTACCAGTCACTTCCTGTTCTGCTGATCCAAAGCCCCAAAAGTTTCTTCCCCTTTCTGTTCCCATGAAGAGTGGCTCAGGGCACGGCCTTGCAGGGAGCGCAGGAAGACTTGGAGAACTAGTTTAGGAGGTCCCCTTTGGCAGAAACACACACATGCGTGCACTCACCCTGGGCCGTGCCTCCCCCAGCGAAGCGTGTTGTGTCAGCTGGAGTTATTCTCATGTCATTTAAAAAAGGGCAGCTTAAGTTTTCTTATGGACGGTTTTTGTTGTTGATTTTTCGGTGAATGTTCAGTGTCTTGCAAACATTTTTGAACCGATTCAAACTTTTCTACATTTATTTTATGTCTGAAAGTAGAAACAATTTGCTTCAGAAACATTTTTCCCCCAAATGTTTCATCTTTTTAGTTCATTTTCCTTTTAAGTTATATTTTCTAAGTCTTTTTTCTTTTTTCATTGAGCAGAAACAACTGAGTGTCTGATGGTAAAGATGTTTCCCGTTCCACTGGCATGCGTTTGTATTTATCTTGCTTTCCTTTCTCACCCCTCCGAATAAAATCCATCCTAATTAACAAATAGTTGCAGTTGGACGAGAGTGTTTGTGTTGGTGCACAGCTGTCCAGGAGGTCAAAGTTCAACCAGGAAGTTGAAGGTTTTTCGCAGACTCTTGTTTGTTTCTTCTTGTTTTTGGTTGAATAATTTTCTCTGCAGTGTTGGCTGAGGAGTTAGTGTTCTTCCTGCCCTCGTTGACACGCGTTTCCAAACAGACAGGTGTCTGCATGCTTGCAGCGATTCGCTTCCCGACATCGGTGGCTGAAAGGAATTTGATCGCAGGCCGTGTTACAGGAACGCTCTCGGCTCTTCTTATCTCTACGTGAAGCTCTCGCTGCATGCGGTTTTGCAGCTCAACCAGCCGTTGCGTCGTCGTCACAGTGACGTTTATCGCATGAGCAAAGAAAAGATGAGTTGAAATAACTCTGCTGGTTCAGTTTGAGGTCACAACCCCCCTCTTCTCTGTCGGAAGTGCTACCAACGAAGAAGAGAGTCGGTGTCCAGTTGGCATTTTTTAATTGATACTACATAGTACTGGCAGATGACACTATTAATTGACAATAAAATGAACTTAATCCAGTTTATTGTCGAAGTTGATGGCTAAACGCCTTGTAGCTGAGTGTAATTTTAACTTTATTTCACTCAGGATTAGCTGTGGGAAAACAATTAAGATAATTCCCGTAGTTTCCTGAACTCCTTCAAAATGTATTCTTCAAAGTTCAAAATTCTGACTTCTCTCTCAGCTGCAGGCCTGCGGTTTTGAAATCTCAGCTTTCACCCCGTTTGGCGCCCGTCTGTCCCCCTGAAACACCTTCACTCTTCCGTGGCCGTTTGTCCGTGTGAAATGAATATTTCACATTCTTCCCGCCGCATCTTACAGCCGTCTCTACGAGTCAGGAGTGAAACATATCAAACGTTCAAGCTTTAGAGCATATGCGATTTACCATTTCAGTTGGTTTCAAAGTGGCGAGTGATCAATATTTAATTTTTGGAAATGTCAAGTGAAATGTAAGCCCACAGATCTCGGCGGGGTTGGATGTCTGTGCTTTGCGTGGCTTGCATTCATCTCTTTGATGAGGGTCAGTCCGTTCTTTCCTGTTTGTCCTTGGAGACGCGCTGCGTCTTAACAAACAGCAGAAACGACTCAACCGGCTTTTTATCCCCCTATCCGTTACTATGTCTCGCACACACACATAAGCCCGCACACGGCAGTGAAACCGGATCGTCTCTTGTGCCTTTTCCTCGGTTCGGGTGAGTGCACTCCTTTGCTCTTTCTTCAACAGTTGAGAGGTCAAATCCCAGCCCAGCTCAACAGCGAGAGCCAGCGCGACGCTCACGCGTTCCCTCCCCGTCTCCTTTGTGATGATAGGAGTGTTGCTACGATGGCAGGCGGCCCACCTGTAATCGAGCCGGAGCAGAAAAAAAAAGGCAATCAGATTCCGGTAAAAGTCCAGGGTCACGCCTCCTGAACAAACATTCAAACCCAACTAATATGAAAATACAAACACATGGGCGTGGGTCGATTTCTGTTTATTTTTCATTCCAAACTTACTAAAAATCTGCGTCATATTCTTCTTGTTGAAGGTGTTTATTGAGAAGTTGAGCGAAATCCGTAAAACTTTTCTTTAGCCTCTTTAAGCCGTCAGTCAGCTGTGTGTGCCGGTCGCTTATCCTACGGAGGAGGGAAAAACATGTTGTTCCTTTAAAAAACAAATCCTGCTTCAAAAACCAAATTATCACCACAAGCAAGGTAATTGCAGGGTCTGCTGTTGAAACAGAGATCCTCCGCCAGGCAGAAAGATTACCTGGCTTAGAGAGACCACAACTGTCAAAACATGAGCTTTTGTTTCTGTTATTGGTGACACAAGGGCAGGAGATTATGAAATGTTGATCTGTACGGTGTCTGCAGTCTGGAAAAGTGTGAACAGGATTCCAGTCTTACAGACCTGGAAACAATTGGGAAATCAAATGAGGAAAAATATTTGACTTTCTAGATTTGCTATTTTATGGCCACACATCGTTGATTGACTCCATTTCATATCCAGAAGCCAAACAGTTTTGTCCCCGTATATATTTGCCTTTATTCGTTTTTTTTTTTATTATTGCAAAGATAAATAATCACAAAAAATGTCCAGATCTCTTCGTTTAAATTTATCTCACATTATTTTAGGGGGAATTTTTGTTCCCCAGTTGGAACAGTGGACTCAGATGAGATATTGCCTCTGAATTAATCCAGAATAACTCTGATTTCCCAGTTGAAGATCCTCATTTCATCCCCGGTAGACCGAGCAGAGTCCACATTCTCCTCTGATTGACGGATGATGCAAAACAGTCTGCAGCAGATGGCTTGTTTTACGACTTGTTCCAAAATAATAATAATAATAATAATAATAATATTTTAAAAAATTGAAATTGAAAATGCTGAAGTGATCAAATGACCCGCAGCTTTTGTACGCCTAATGTAAACACAGAGATAAACCATTAAGATTGATGATTTTATCTCACAAGGACCTTTTTGCATTGAAATATGGAATTCTTCAGAAAATCAATCATCTCTCCTTTATTAGGTGTTTATACAATGTTCAGTTGTTTAAAAGGTACAGAAAGTTATACAACCAACAGCCTGAATCGCTGCTACAAAGCAGGACAGATGCTTGGTTTTATGTCATTTATTCCCACATCTGACCTCCACAGATGAAACTGAGGCTTACCGGACCCGGCCATGTTCTTCCAATCTGTTACAGTTTCGTGTCAATGGTCCACAGTGAATCATAGACCCAGCTTCCGTTTTCTTCTTTTTTTTTTTTTTTTTTTTTTTTCTTCTCTACAGAACGTCCTAGTCGCCCCTGGGCATTATACACTGAGCATCCAAACCTGGCAACCCGAGACTCAACATCCGCTGCGCGGCCGTGCAGTTTAGCTAAATATGGCGAGGCTTCGGCGTGTGTGAGAGAGAGGGGCGCGTGGCTAATTGGCGGAGAAGCTTCGCACATTCTCATTGATCAAAGTGTGTGTGTTTCAGAGCAGATGGTGACAGTGCAAGAGTCAGTGTGTGTGTGTGTGTGTGACGTCCAACTGACATCACCCGCACCGCGAGCTGTGCCAAACTCACACTGGTGCACCTGTATTTATAGCTTTGATCTGTGTGTGTTTACTGACTTGTACCTGATGTGGTGAAGCTGGTTTGTGTCAAGCCCCACCTTCTCCTGCTGCAGTGAGTGTGTACTGTATATACATGCACACCGTGTGTTTCAGTGGAGATCATGGTGTGTGTTTCCTGCTCATTGACGTGTAAAGCAGCAATCTGGATGTCTGGCTGTGAGGACCTGCCTCACCGCCCACACACACTCACTATTAACGCTGCGATACACACCTCTTCTCGCGCAGTTAACTGTGTTACTTCAGGTCTATTTATGGTCCTCTGGCTCAGACAGCCGGCTCTACTTTATCCTGACACCAACTAAATTAAAAAAAAAAAACACACACACACACAGGAATCACTTTGCATTCATAAGCTGATGTTGAACTGCTGGAAATTGACAAATCGCCGGCGTGTCGGACACAGAGGAAAGATCTGCTGCTCTGGTGAAGCATGGGAACTCTGGTCGTTATCAGGTTGGAGTGTCACCCTATCAGGCTCCTTGCTTCAATTAAATTTCAGCCTGGTTGGCAACAGAACCATAAAACACACTCCACACAGTCCTGAGAGTTGGAGAGAAGATGGATCTTTCTGAAGCACAACTTGCCCCGAAATAAAATTGCTGTACATCATGAAAAGTAGGGAAAACAGCATCAGCAAAGTTGTTTGGCCAATAATTTCTTTAACATAGCAATGCCTTTTGGCAGTTTGTGAAGGAAAATGGAGTTTGCTGGTTGAACAGCCAAGCAGAACTTGTAGAGTAGAGGTGAGGGATGGCATATCGGTCGCTGGACAAGTGAGTCTTGTCATCGTTGGAGGTAAAGACTGCAGGGAAAGCAATCTGGCAGTACTGCATTTGTTGATTGGTCCGTTGATTGACGTTATTGGCTAAGCGAAGGCGGTACTTGCAGAAGAGCGCGTGCATCGTCAACTTGACGGGGCAACCCGCAAATCAACCTGGAGATTTCAGAGAAACTGGCTGCCGGAGGACGCATGCGCAAAACCGCACCATCAGCGCGCCAGCCGCACGCACACGGCTCGCCCCCGTACCTGCTGCATAGCAAAGAACACGCTGCCAATGGAGACGCACTCAACTTGACTAGAACCAGCCATTAACCTGCTAGACCGAGACTCGACAATACAAAAGGGGCGACATTGGTTGAGTTGTAACAAGTGGAGTTAGATGCCAAGCTTTTGTGGCTGTGTGTGGTTCTCCTATGCACCATCAAGACCTCTATCAAACTGTCTTGTTTCTTCTCCTATTATGGTGTATCTATGCCTTTTTAAGTGCAAGCGTAATATGACAGAGCTAATTTTTTCCTTCCTCACTCTTTTCTCCTCAGAGCCGAACTTCACGCTCACCCTGGAAGCCACCATGAAGCCCCAGAAGACAGGCGAACCCATAGAGCTGTCCTGTGACGTGACCAACATCTTCCAGCTACCACCAGGGGGCAGACTGGGTGTCAGATGGGAGCACATTGGTCTTCTTGGTACTAATTATCCTTTTCCTTTCAAAGTGAAAACTCTGTTCTAGGTGCACTTACTGATTCCATCCAATCACTTAAAGATAAGGGGACAAACGCTCCGCCCCCGAAGCTCATTGGCTCCTTGGACGCCCACGGAAACCTGGAGTCGAATTCGGCGTACAAAGACAGGCTGGACAGCGGAGTGTTGGGTCTGAGCAGAGCACGACCCAACAAGTTCAAACTGCGGTTTCTCCACACTCAGGTCAGAAGATAATTGCCACAACCAGAGGCTCCGACAACGTAGCGCTAAATTCAATCCTGTTAAAACGACGTTTTATCCCTTTGCAGAAGATCGACATGGGCCACTATGTGTGCGCCGTCTCTGCCTGGAGCGTTAGCAGCCAGGGGGAGGTAGTGCAGGTCGCCGAGTACAAAAGCTCGCCGCTGACCGTACAGTGGGACACCAAGAGTAAGCCAGCTTCAGAACGCCGCCTCACATCCACTTTTCTGACCGTTTTAATTGATTTAGACGAACAAAACCCGTCTGGGATCTTGAACTGAGAAGTCAAGTCTTTTCTTTTCTTTAACTTAATGGCTGCAGATTAAATCCTGGGCACTTCTGGTTCAAAGAGAGTTTTAACGGCTGCAGCCTTGAGAGCTTTAGATGAAATAATTGGAAATACCAAAGCAACACCAGTGAATAGCAGCATTTTCAGCTTTCGCTCTGATTTTGTAGCTGCAGTTTCCAGACTTCACACAGAAATCCCACAAAAGTCAACTTGTTGTCTCAGCTCCTCACCCACAATGCACGCACACATTTACTTCCTGCCCGCCGAGAACTTTCTGACCTCGGCTTATCTAATCAGGCCATGATGTCATCACATTTCGAAGTCAGCCTGCGTTGGTGCTGGTTTCAGAAAATAAAAGGCAAGGTTCCTATGTAGTCTGTTGTGACCTCTTCTAAACTTGATTTAAGGTCTGCTTGCTGTTTTTTAGGCCCCACTCTCAACGTAGCGGCCAAAACCATCCGTCACGCCTCTGTGGGCGGGGCCACCTTTGAGATGAGCTGCTCCGCCGTCACCAAGAACATCGGGGACTGGATCGGCTTCGCCGTGTACATCCAATCACAGGGCGGCATAGAAGGCAGCGTCAAAACCATCATGTCCCTCAGCCCCGACAACGTGGTGCAGATCACTGACTTATCTAGGAGGTACACACACACACACACACACACACACACCGTCCCTCACCTTAGACAACACACTCCGAAGTTTGATTCTGAAGTTGTCTTTCAACCTGCTCCCACAGCGACAATCTGGTTCTTTCCAAAACCGGCTCGGGAGAGTTCCACTTCCGCCTGGAGGGCGTCCAGGTGTCCGACAAAGGTTACTACTGGTGCAACGTCACGGCTTTCACCAAGCAGCAGCCCGATCAGTCCTGGACCACCGTCGCCACGTCCGAGTCCAACAAAGTCAGCATCAACTTTCAGGAAAACGGTACGTTCACATGCTTCTTCTTTCTTCTTCCTCTTTGTTTTTTTTAAACTTAGTTCATGCGATCATCTCATAGTCTTCTAAGGTCGTCAAAAAGTAGATTTATTTCAAAATATTAGTTCAAAAACTTTAAATTCTTAATAAAGTCCACACAGACTGAGATGGTTCAAGCATTTATTGCTGTTAATTTAGAGGATAAAAACAGATTAAGTTTTACAGACTAATGCATAAGACCAGTTTCAGGCTGGATCCTTGCATGTTTTTTGAAAAGTTTAGTGGAAGAAAAAACTGTGCCAGCAAAAATCTGCAAAAATATCTTAGAGTTTTGTGACGCAAGAATCCAGAAGCCAAATCTGATATCAAGAAATGCAAGACATTTGCTGCTGTCATTTATCTAATATTGGAGACTTTATTGTAATTTATGAAGCAGAATTTTCTTTAAGATGTTTAAAGGAGAATCATATTTCATTTTAAAGTGGATAAAACACAAAAACTGAACCACCATCTGCTCACTGGCTCGTTAGAAACCGACTCCTGCTCTCTGACCCGCTCATTTTTTTAAAAATTAAATATCGCTGATATGGCGTCTCTTTAGGAGCTCTGTAAGAGAGCCATCTCTTTTAACAAAAATCCAACAGAATCCATCATTTCAAAACAAACAAAATCCTTTCCTGTTTGCAGCTGCATTCATTAATTATTCAAAACCATTTTGCAGCCTTTCAGTGATTTATTTGCTTTCATAAAAGTCCTCAGATCATTAGTGAGTGAACTAATGATGGGACTGAAGTCCTGCAGTAAATGAGAGAAAGATGGAAGCGGCTCCTTTTTTCTGTTTCCTAACACGTTGCAAACACATCCTCCATCCACTCACGTGTAAAATGAAGTCCCTAATAACGTGCAAAAACGTGCACACACACCTAGAGCTCTTTGACGCCCACCACTGCCACTGGCCTACTTATTGTCTTTTGATCTGACTGGGAAGTTGGAAACAAAAAGAGGGAACTGGTTGGGAGGCGAGGAGGTGATGCAGTGGACGAGGAGGAAAAAAAAAGAAGTAGAAGAAGAAAGCTTTGTTGGTGGGAAAGTAATCAGAGTACAAGAGAACATAGAGAGGAAGATGGAAGGGTAGATAAAAATTGGAAATGTTTGTGGTTATGGGAGTAAGCAAAGAAAATGGATATATATTCTTAGTAAGATTTTGAAATCAAAGAACGGGTTCAAATGTGAAATTCCCAAATGTTGATATAGATATCTTGGGATATCATGCAATTTTTAGTTGCAAACCGCGCCGGTCTTTCAGAATGCCACGCTATTTGCTCCAAACGTTTAAATTACACTTTTGCTCCCGGTCAGAACTTTGCTTTGGAGCGGCTTGTGTCCCAGATTTGTTCCTACACATCGGATGCCACATTTTGAATTACGATATTTGGAGGGCAAAGACGCTTATAGGCTGTGGGAGTGGAGCGACACGTGGAGAACCAGATGATAACCCTGGACTGCGTTCCGGTCTCTCTGGGAAAGCAGGAGCCTTCAGCTCCACGTACATCTCACGCTTTTTGTCGCTGCTCATCCATCCTTCCCCGTCTCCTCTCTCTCTCTCTGGGACGTCTTCAAAGCGAAGCCCTTTGGCCAATCAGCCGGCTGCGAAGATCTGCACCGCCGCTTTGGTTTCTTTTTCTGTCTCCGCTCACTTAAATGTGTGTGGAATCTATCAAGTGTGTGTCCAAGTGGAATATTTTAAGTTGACCCCCCTGCCCTCCTGCTAACACACAAACACCCACGTAAACAGTGTGTCACCGTCAATGTGAGCTGGTCGAGACCCCCCATACGCTCGCCTGAGGAGATGGAAGCTCAGCTCTTCCACTCCTTCCTCCGGCTGCATCCTCAACGTTTTGGAGGTGTTGTCCTGTTTCTGAGTATGGAAATGTAAAAACCTCGTTCACACATTTCCCGTCAAGTATTTCAGCTAGAATGCGATCTGGCAGAACTGCAAATATGGAGTGGCTGCAGAGAAAAGACTGGATTATAACAGAAGGGGTTTTTTTATTTTCTGGTTTTTATGGATTCAAAGTGAACCTTTATGTGTTTTTCACTCTGCATTTTTTGCTACATTTGCAAAAAAAAAAAATGTAGCAAGTACGGATTTAAGATGTGTTCCCTGCTTTTGGATTCCAACTCTTTTACTCTCCTCTTTGTAAATGTCCCCTGAGAATACCAGAGAGCATCACGAAGAGCAAGGAACGCAGCGAGAAGATCAGAGAGAAATCTTTGGAAATTATTTAAAGCAGGTTTAAGTTATAAAACAATATCCTCCAGCGATCGGACATGACGCAGCACTCTGATAAACACAGCGCCTGAAACCAACAAGCCAGGCTCTGCTTCTGCCAAAGGTTCCTTCGTGTTACAAAACCAGCTTTCCACTGTGTTTCTATTATAGCCATTGAATTTTCAAACTCTTTGAATCTTATTTCTTAATTTAGAAACATTTTTACTCTTTATATTATTCTGGCACAGCCAGAATGTCAGGAGTTACTCTTTGGCTGTTTTACCACACTTGTAAATGAACTGGGTCTTATGAATTTATACATCAGAATCAGACTTTCTGTGACAGACGATTGGACTGGAGTTTACAAGTCGGTCGGTCGATCTCTCCATCTGCCTCGCACCAACCCATCTGTCTTTAACGCTCGGCTTGAGGCCCAACTACGACAAGTCTAGTTCACATGAGCAACAATCACATCCTAACCCAACCTGTCTTATCAATGCCATTCTGCTTTTCCTTTCACTTAATGTTTTCAGCTGAAATTCACATTTTTCTAAACACTATGTATCTTTTTAGAATGAGTTTCTGTTTTAAAATCTGAAATTTTAGCAGTGTAAATGTTTGAGAGCTACTGCAAAGTTGCACCAATGACCCAATTAAAACTCATGCTGCAATATGCAGAGGCTCGGTCTGCGCCAGCGAACTGTGCAGCCATCAACGAGCTGCACAGTTCTTTAAACTTTCATCTCATGATGGTCTCCCTTTGTTTCAGATGAAGTCATCAGCGACTTGCATTCGTAGACGTGACGGGACTCGTTTGTTGCCACAAAAAGCATTTTTAGCAAGATAAGAAATAGCAGCTTTTAGGGCAGGAAAGAACAAAATGTGCCAGATTCGTCCTCCAGCCTCCTCCCTCTGACTTAAAAATAAATCTGAGTACATGTGAGTCCAGAAATATGAGCTTTTCACAACATTACAGGTTTCTTTGTTTTGTTTTTGTGAAGCGCCGAAGGTCAGCGCAGCTTTTAACACATTTCACCGGACGACTTTCTTTCGCTCCTTCCACTGGGACTATCCACTTGAAGCGCTCGGCATGCGAAAAGAAAAATGCACTGAATAATTTACATGAAATATGAGAAAAATAGAGACCAAACCCAGCAACAGCTGAGAGTCTGCAGGTTTTGCAACGTTTAGAGCATCTGACTGGGTGTGTTGGATCAGAATGTTTTTTTCAATTCCTCCCGCTCCCCCTACATATCAGATGAATCAACCCCCTCTTCCCTTTTTTAAGAGTGTGTTTACTCTCTGAAATGTGCCGTTCCCCTCAGGGGGCAACGTGGGTTTAAAAAAAATTCAGTTTAAATGAGTCTTTTTGATCACTTCCTCTGATGTGCGGAGGCCGTTGTTAAATGTTAAGCTGACTGGAAACGATGCGCTTGGTGTTCGCAGGGCCGTCATTCTCCGTCAAAATCCACTCCGACGCCAGCAGCGTGTATCCGTGGGAAACGGCCAAGATGGAGTGCTCCGTCGGCGTCTCCGGATCCTCGCCCAAAAGTGCCAACTCTCAGACAGGTAGAACACACATTGCTGCTCCTCTCGTACACTCGTTAATGAATATTTTTATTTTTTTTTTACCTCTGAGCTCTTCACCTGCCAGCCTGTCGGCAGCTGTGTTGGTCTCCCTCCACGTTATCCTGTTCCTGCGTTTGTTAGAGATCATCCATCCATCATTTTGACCAGACACTTATTCATCTGTAAATCATTTATCTCGAGATCATCTGTTGGTCGATCAATATCCATTTGATGATTGTCCATCCATCCATTTACTGGTTCATCAATCATCTGTCCAACCATCCATCCATCCATTTATTTATCAGTTCATCCAACCATTGGTTTATCTATTCATCCGTCCATTTATTCGTTCGTTCATCAGTTCCTTTGTTCATCCATCAAAATTTTTATCTTCCTGATGTGCAAAATTACAGTTAATCAACACACACGACCGTATCAACCACTAGTGCTTTTTTTTTTTCGATCCAATATTTCTTGTAACAAACAGACAACAGATGTTTAATGTTCTTAAGTCGGGCGATGTGTCCAAAAGTGAACTCCAAAGGTCCGTGTTTATCGTTTTATCACCATGACATTAAATTATAGCCATAAAAGATTATTGGTACGGCATCTCTACCACAAATATTGATAAGCGTTGGAGGCTCTACATGTAGAAAGGATGTACTGCAGTATGTGAACAGTCAGATACCTAAAAATTCACGTCGGCGTTGAGATGCACAGGGTCTTTCAGAGTTTGGAAACCATCTGAGATTCAGCCTTCTGTTTAACCTTTAAAGTGTCTCCTCTTCCTCCTCTCCATCTCTTCTTCCTCATATGGCATCATGCTGAATTCCCAACTGCCTGCTGCCCATCTGTCACCATTCCTCTCCACTTCCTCCTCCTCCCACCTTTAGCCCAAGATTTGCTTTTTATGGTTTTTTTTAATATATTGTGGATGCTACCTTCGTATGTACATGCAAACACAATTTGCTGCACCTGTGGACCTCTGCTGAGTGAACGCAGGGGCTGTTCTTTTGCCTGTACATAAAAACATGTTTCCTCGCAGCAGGGGAGACCTGCAGGGGTTAGTGGGTTGCTGCCTTCAAAGTGTGCACTCGCAGACAGCTGCGCCGGTGAAGGGAAGCAGGCTTGTCGCTGTCACTCGCGTGTTTACTGAAAATGGGGCCTTTTTTTCCCCCAGTAAGTTATTCAGACCTGTACTGAGACGTGACATTTTAACCCGAGGGCTTTTATTTTACAAGCGCTCAACTGGAAACAATACATTTTCCTCTGCCAGACTTAAACGGTGAAAAACGTATTGTTTTACGAGGACCTGCTTACTGCAGGTGTAGAGATGCATCCAACTCTCCAGAAAGGATGATTCATAAGATCAAGACGAGACTTTAGCAACATTTTTGACTGAAACTTGTAATACTCTCGCTCTTTTTTTTTCTTTTTTTTAGATTAAAGGTTTCACAAACTGTTGTAAGTGATCTGACAGCCAAAAATAAGTCTCTGAATTGCCTCTTATTGTAATTTCCCAAAAGGATTAAAGGCTGGATACATTTAAAAACATGAGTTAAAAGAGTTAGTATTAGCTGTAGGCATATTTTGCTCAAGTTTAAAGTCACAGACCCCTGCATCCTCGGCACACAAGTGAGCATTAACACAGATCCTTCACAAAATGTTGAGGCAGCTGTTTCACACTCGTGTGTGGAAATCAGGGTGGAATCAAACACCAGAAAGTGGATATAATCATTATATTCTTGTTCATTCATGCTCTTTGCATTTCTCTTTTCTGTTCAATGATTTTCTGTCTTTGCCGTGCTTTTCGACTTGGCCTATTAATAAATGAGCGCTCAGTTCATCCAGATAATCTGCTTGTTCAATTAGAAAAATCGCTCTTCTTTTTATATCGTTGAGGATCTTTAACAGCTGTGACGCTTTCATCTGTTTCACATTCATACAGTCTCAGTATGTTGGTCAAAGAGCTTAATTCTGTTGCTACCGCAGCTTCATTCGTGTTCTGCTTAATCCAGGGGGATTATTTTTGATGTCAAATAAACAGCGTGAATGGTTTTAATTTGTGAAACTGGCTTGTTTGCTAATGATGAAAAAAAGCTCTGCACCACTCTGACCTGTCATCGTTTTTACAACTAAGAAGCAACAAACATTAAAGCTGTTTATAATTAGAAAATGCAGGTTTCTGAGAGATTTGAATGGGGAAACGTTGAAACTTTGATGGCAGTTCAGAGCTGAGACTGAACAATGGAAATGGTGTCATCATAGTTTACCCAACAGAGCAAATCCAGATCTAAGTTACCCTACTTTCCCCCAGCTGAATAAATTTAGTTTATTTTAATCTTTGATGGGCACCAAATAAATTAGGAAACACTCCAGGAACACACAGCCTTGCGTTTTTGTTTGTAAAACTGATTACTAAGATGAACAACTTTTCCATATTTTGTCAGCGATCTAGCGCCTAGTTGTCAAGGAAAGATTGTAAATACAATGGATCGTTTATTTGGTGGGGCTGGAGACAAAAAATGCCCTCGATTGAAGTTAGTTTGTCAATGCATCTCCAGAAACGCTTGCAGTTGCTTATTGCTTATTAAATCGCAGAAGCTAACATCTACAGTCGTCCTTTTCTCCAGTCTGTGAGGTTTCAGCTTCCTAAGCTTAATTTTCTTTTGATTATTTCAGAGCAATTTTTGACAAATTTGAAAATTGCTTCCTTCAGAAGTCGTTTAATTTGTAAAAATAGAACAGCAAAGCAGCCAAAATGCTCTGTTTATAGGTTCTGGTTTTAGATCAACACGTTAATGAGTTGGAAAGGCCTCGGCCTGAAACTAACTGTTCAGTCTGTTAAATCTGCAGAGATGGTTTTACAAAATGACTCAGCATGTTGGTCCATCCCAGAAAATCCCAATAAAGAGCTTCAGTACCTGGATTGTAGCTCACAGATTACTGCATACAGAGAAAGCAAATCACAGATGGTTTCCTGTGAGTCATTCGGTCATGTGACCAATGAGGAAACTCAAATGAACTAAAGTCAACAAAGGCGAGGCGTTTATGTTTATAACGCTTAAGCAAGCATCACTTCCTGTTGACGGGCGTGGCACCATGTTGCACCGTAAACCTTTGTTCCTGGAGGAACTTGTTTCAGAGTTTTGCGAGTCGGTTTACTTCCAGTTGGACTTGGACAGTCATTGTTCGAGCGCATCACAAGCTTCAGCAAAGGTTGAGCAACAGTGACAAAGTGAATAGCTGAGCTGAGAACATTCCTCCTCTCTCCTGTCGGAGCTTGTCTTTACGAGCCTTTCTGGAGATCGAAGAAGAAAATATCTCCGGTGATTCATGGTTTTGAATCGGCTCTTCGTTATGAAACTGATAAACGTCTCATAAGGAAATGGATTGCTCCGCGTGGCACACAGAAGGTCATTTCCTGATATGCTTTTGAAAGAAGTTCCTTTGGGTAATTACAAGATTTCTGAATGACTGAAATGTCCTTAACCTGCTGGATTGGAAGCATTCAAAGCTCCTGGCCCTTACGATTCTCTTTTACTTTACTCTGATGCTTCACTTGACAGCATTAGGTTGTGATATTTACCAAACCCTAAACAGAATATAGTTGTGAGTGTTTGCGTCCATCCCAAACACGATTAAACTGTTTCAAATAAAAAAAAATTGCCATAGATGTAAATTTTCCAGCGTTCTATTATAGAAAATGTTCTTCTGAACCATCCTAACAGCATGGTCAGGAGATCACCTTTTCTTTTCTAATCCTCCAGTTTATTATTCAGGTGTAAATCCCTCTGGGAGCCTTTTTAGACTTATAACTTGTTAATTTCCTCTTCGCACTTCCACAGAAAGATGCCCCCACACGGCAGCTGGTGCTTTTCTTGAGTCCTGTGTTGTGTGGGTGCCTGAAAGAAGGTCAGACATGATTATTAGCTTTGGCTTTTACTGCATTCAATGCTTCCACGGCCTTCTGGTCTGGAACGGTCTCCACACAGAGCCAAATGTGGACAAATGTGTCAGAGCTGCTCATTAACTGAGGATTTCATATTTGGTGTTTGAAAATTAGGCTATTTTTTGAAACAATGCTAATAACCAACAAAGATGGAGGCCATCCTTTTGTTTTTTTACGTCAGCATTTTTTATACAGTACTAGAATTGCAAATGAACAAATCAATTCCTTTTTAAAATGAGAAAATAAACATTTCATATCCTCGAATGCAACAACATTTCTTGATTGTTTGTAATAAAGTTTGCATCTGCTGCTAAAGAAAACAAAACGTTCAAACATCAACATGTGGAAAGCTCAGTCTCTTCTGCATTTGGATTTAACAATTATTAATCGGTTATTAATAACTTCGATGCCTTTTTAAAAAGTCAAATCTTCACTGTATTATCTCATGTTTGCTCCGTTTGTCATTTAATGGTTTATTTATTTTTGGTGGTGTGCAACCTTTAAGTGGGACAAATGTCCTTAATGGCGTATATAAACAGAAAGCCGCTATGTTTCTTCCTTCTGCTTGTTTCTCCTTTGAGTTTGTCAGCGTGCAGCCACACGCCGACCCGCCGTTCATTGCAGACTGGAATGAATGGCATGTTATTGCAGCCTCAGAAGCCTGTCAAATGCTGCACACTTGAAATCAGTAGTTGGACGGGGGATGACATCACCATTAGAGATGTTGTTTTTTTTATTTTCTGCGTTTTGAAGCACTGCCTCTGACTCTGTGACAGTTTTTCTCTCTCTCTCTCGTTTCCCTCACTCTGAAATTCTTTTGTAAAAATAACCGTATACCACCCGGTTCCTCCTGGGAAAAAAAATAAAGCTTTGTTGCTTGCTGGGTCTCAGACACAGACTTAATGTTGTTTTCTCTTTGCCTAAAAAGAAAAGCAGCCGCCATTATCAAGCTCGAAAACGATACATTTTTATTTCTTTTTTTTTTTTCATTTATGCAAGAGCATAAAATAGTGCGGACAAGTCAAAGCAGGCGGAAAACCTGCAGGTA